GGCACAGCTAGCCTAAGCCGGCCCATTGTCTACCTGCACGACCTGCGTGTGTGCCTAGTCACGCCCCCATCCAGCCCTGGCGGCCACCCTACCGTCTGAGGTGGTGCCCGTGTCCAGTCCTGCCCCTGCTGATTACCTGCGAAGCTTCCTGGAGTGATCCTTGATAGCGGCTAGCCGTCCCTCGAGGAGCTAGCTCGAGTTCGGCCCGAGCCGGGCTTGTATTGCCAAAGTCGTGAGTTTGGCAATGACCCATACCTCCCGAGCGAACCCATAACAGCACGCGTCCCCTTACAAGATTTCAAGAGTGAGTGCAGCAGAGTGGCCAAGGTAAGCTTGGTCACTTGCGCAAGAGAAATCTAAATCTAGACAAACAGCAAATATTGCAACAGCAGCCCAACTGCGTCCAACCTCTCAGTGTTACAATCCCTCTGTACCTGACTGCCCTGCCAACTGGCCGTAGCTGCCATGCGGTAGCCTAGACCCTATAACCTTAACACATGCTGAATAAACAGATCAATTATTGAGCCTCAATTTGTTGCCCTTTTTTTGGTGCAGAAATTGTTTCTTCCTTAAGAATTCGACTCTACGCCGTTTTGAAAACCGGGTCTGACCTGCGCTGTTTGCTCAAAGCTGGTATCCGACTTCGAACGCCGCCCAGTGCTGTTCTGATCGACTCGTGCGCGATTCGCATTGACAGAGATCGCTGCGCGCGCGACAGAGCGATACATGAGCGTGTGCCCGTCGTTGCGCTGCAGCAGCAGTGAGCTGCGCGGCGCTGGAGTAGCGAGACTGACTGGCGAGCGTTCGTTGCAAGAGATCGACGAAGCTGTCGTCGTCTCTGATTGCGCTCTTGAACGGCGCAGGAGGGCACGCGCGATGGCACGTGGAAAGCGCAAGCGATTCATGCCCAGACCGGCACCGTGTAGGCGATCTGAGCATGAAAGCGATGCTACTTGCTCAAGCGCTCATAGCCGCGGGCAGATAATGCCGAACGATGCTTGTCGCTTGTTGGATATTCCTTTGCAGGCACCAACAAGCGAGCTTGCAGCCAGATCTTTGCGCTACGCTTGCATCTGTCGAGCGTGCCATCCTTTGCGAGCCCGCGAGTCTGTCGAACAAAGACATCAATCGGCGTCATGGATCCTGCAGCGAGGACACAACGGCGCAACAAGCAGAATACGCAGCGTGTGCAGTCGAATGTTGGGAGCGGCGGAAGTGCTGGAGGTCCGAAGTCGAAGCCGAGTACCGATCTAATGCATTGATAGCATCATTCGCGACGTCCACGGAGCACAAATGACAGGTCCAGGATCGACGGCTGTTGCGCTGTCGGAGAATTTGTGGAAGCGATTGTTGGGAGGCGGAACAAGGAAAAGTTTGCTTGGCCCTGCGCGAAACATGCACGTCGGACACCGGAGATATGTGTGTTGCCGGTAGCCGGATTGGCAAGAAGAACGTCTTGAGTGATGTTGTGCTGTGCTGCCATGTCGATCAGCGCGTTCGGGAAGCAAAAAGCGAGACCTGCAAAGTTTTCGGCGAGCGTATCGCTGCGGGTTCGATATCGGACCCTGGATGCCGTCTTCCGCGAATCTATCACTAGCTCGCTCGATATAAGTTAGGCATCATCGAAGCGAGCCACGTTCTGTCCTCTTGTCCACCAGCAAATCATCACGATGACCGCCGCTTCCTCCTCCAAGAGCTCGCTGAAAGTGTCGACGCTGGCTCCCGTCGGCGCGATCGGCGTCATGCTGACACCGTGGGGTCTCTCCTTCCTCAGAGCACTTCTCCTCGAGCCCATCCGTATCAACCCGCCCACATGGCTTCGACTGCTGCTCAGCCTGCTCGTCATCACCAACATCCGGTCCACACCCTTCGCATGGCACTTCCGCGTCCTCTTCCCCGCGTTCAAGGCCGTCTTCATCGCACGCAACTCGCTCCTTCGCAAAGCTCCCTCGACATCACCGTCGCTCACGCACCCATCGATCCACCCGCAACTCAAGCTGTCCAAGCTTCCCATCGGCCGTGACATCTTCGGCGACTACTCGGACCACCACATGATCGCCACGCTCGACGAGTGCGACTGGAATGGTCACCTTTCCAACTCGTCCTACTCGAAGGCGCTCGACTACACGCGCATGGCGCACAACTCGCCGCGTGTGCTCAAAGTGTACTACGACGGTGGCTGGGTCGCTCTCGGCGGCTCAGGGTTCAACTTCCACCGCGAAGTGCCCATGCTGGCACGCTACACGATTCGAATGAGCCTCGAGGCGTGGGACGACAAGTGGCTGTATGTCGTCGGGCGCTTTGTCAAGCCCTCTTCCTCCTCCAAGCCGATTGACGCGACGACGGGGTTGAGGGAGGGAGAGATGCTGTACTGCACTAGCGTCTCGCGCTACGTGTGCAAGTCGAATCGACGCACCATCCCGCCTTGGCTCTGGATCGCCACCTCGGGCTACGGTGCCAAGTCCAACTGGGACAAGGCCGAGAAGCTGCGCGTGCACTACCTCGAAAAGGCGCGCAACGAGTATCGCGCCAAGACGGGCAAGAAGACCATTTCCAAGAAGGCCGACGCAAAGCTGAGGAAGAGCGCCGCGCTGCTCAAGCAGTTCAGGACCGAGGGCGAGAAGACCGGTGCCGAAGAGGAGGCGTGGATGGACAAGTCGTTCTGGGACACGCACGAGTGGGAGCAGAAGAGGAAGGTTGGGTTGGCCAAGCTCGGCGCCACCGTCGGAATTCTGCCTCCGCTTGAGAAGTAGGCGCGAGAATTTTTTTCGTATTGATATGGTCCATAGAACGTTTCGCTAATCAATGATAGAGCCCGCATGCCCAAGCTCAAAAATTGTTTCGTGTGCGACGAGGAGCCTCCCTGGCCAACCGATAGGAGACAGCAGAGCAGAACGATTCCATGACGACAATTTCAGCATTGATACAAAGACGAAGCATTCTTGCGAAGGAGTGTGGTACAAACGAGCGGGGGAAGCACGAGATACGGCCTCTGCCCTTCAGAATCATGCAAGCGGAGTGAGACAAATACAAGACGTCAAAAAGGGGGGGGACTACAGCCGAACCAGTTTAGAAGGTGGTGAAGCCGGAGCACGTCTGGCTGCCGGGAGCGAAAGGTCGAGCGTAGGGCTTGAGGTCGGGCTCGCAGTTGGTCTTGGGACCGGCGGCAACGTTGGCGGCCGCGACCAACAGAAGAGTGCTCGACTCTGCCTTCTGCTGCGGGGTGAGGGGGTCGGCGGGCAAGGGGTTGCAGTCGGCGATGCTGTAGTCGCTGCTCTGCGCCTGACCGGTGGAGCTCCTGAGCGCGCTTCGGCCGACGACGTAGGCAAACTGGTTGACGAGCGACTGGGCATGGTCAGCCACGAACGCGGGCCCGCACACGGACTGGGACTGAATGTTCTTGGCGTTGAAGAGGAAGCTCGAGTCGATAGGGCTGTTGGTGATCTGGGGCTGGACGATCTCGTCGGTCGCCGAGTAGGTGTTGGTGGTGGGTACGATCTTGTTCAGACCGCCAGCGTTGCGGAGGGCGGTGGTGAAGGCGGATCCGGCGCGCTGCTGCCAGATGGAAGGGCTGGCAGTGTCGGTGGCAGTGAGAGGGTAAGCGTTGACGGTTCCCTTGTAGTCGGGGACGAAGGCGACGAGGCGGTCGATCTGGTTGCGGGTGCTGGGGAAGAAGGTGAGCGCCCACTGGGTCACCAGACCGCCCTGCGACCAGGTGAGCACGGGGAGCTTGGTAGAGCCTGAGCCGGCGTAGAGCCTTCGCACAGCATTGACGACGTACTCGGCGTTGATCTGCGAGTCGTTGAGCATAAAGGGAGGAGGAGAGACCCAGCAAGGCGAGTAGCCGAGCATGGTGGAGAGGGGGATCCAGTTCGAGTCGAAGTTCTGACGGCCGTCAACACCGGTGCCGGGGACGAGGAGGATGGGCTTGTTCTGGGCGGAGGGCGAGCCGTTCTGGCAGAAGAGACCGGCGTCGAGGACGGCCTGAGGGGTCGACAGGGCTGGGTCGGAGCCAGACGGGAGACGCTTGACGAGGGGAGAGGCGACAACAGCCGACGAGGCGAGCGCCACGAGGGCGGTAATGATCGATGCGAACTTCATCGTGGAGTGGGGAGGGTTCCGCAAGGTGTAGCTAGAGAGACAGGGGAAGGGGGAGGTGACAGGAAGCGTGAAGGGCTATGCTGAGAGGAGGCAAGGGAGCATCGATACTTATACGGCCCGTTGAGGACAATGGGAAGGAGCAAGAAGCACCTCGTACCCACGGCAAGCCAGCCGCCTCGCATACGCAACCCCATTGTTACCCCGCATGAACAGCATCTTCCGCTGAAGAGCGCACCTACTTGACACTCCGCAAACACAATCGTTTAGTGCTTTCTTCGCTGTTTCGCTTGCATAGCAGTCGCTTCTACATGGGAAGATGCTGACGCCAAGCCGCACAAGCAGCCTTGCATTCATGCTCCGGTGATCTCGGCCCTGCCAAGGCGCTATACGCCGTCGATGCGGCGATGAAGGCGGCTCGGCGGTTCGCCTACTGTTTCTTCGCCTTCATTTCTGCTAAATTAGGCCCTTGCGAATCGGATCGAACGCAGAATGTCGTACCAGGACAGGGCGGAGCCTGAAAGGTGGTTCCATGGCAGCGCGAGTGCTCACTCGCTACCTATCACAGCTGTCTTTTGTCTTGCAGCAGAAGAACGTTTGTGTATGAGGGAGAAGAGCAGAACGTGGGCTTGGCAAGATGTGCCAGGAACGGCTTTGGACGTCGAAGGGCCGTTCTTCTCAGATTCGTGCGAAGCCTTGCACGCCTGCTCCTCGGCTTTGCCATCGGCAATACAGAAGGTCGTGTCGCTCGAACTGCTGCCCAGGTCGACCTGCACACCTTCCCGGTTCTTCTGACCTGAGCGTTGGCGCCGGCGTTGCCGATGAGAGTGCTGTTTGCGACTGACGCAATCACTTTAATCGCTGGAAAGATCCTAGACCAATTGTGAGGACTCGGCAAAGGCAGTGCGGGGTAACGCTCGCTCGCTACAAGTTTTGGTGTCAGCTCGAGACCTCTGTCCCCCGAAATAGCGGTCGATGCGTTGCATGAAGGGTCACATGTCTTGCTGCATTAGTTTGTAGTCGACGCTTTCATATGCACTAGTTGGGCTCGCCTTGCCAGCAGCTAGTCCGCTTGTGCTTGATCGGTTAGCATCAAGACGCAACGCTCAGTGTTGGTGTCTCGTTACTGTCTGCAGAGATACGATTGAACTGATCTAGTGTACAAGGGAGGCCTCGGCTCGCCGGAGATCGGATCTAAGGGGGTTTTGAGGAGCCGGACGTGGAGTGGGAGTGCCTGCGGCTCAGCCAAGCACATTCTACGGAGGCGCGGGGTTGGCTAGACGCGAACGTTTGGACGTGTCTGCTGAATTTCCGGCTTGACGAAGGTCCTGTGCGGCAGATGAAGCCTGATTCTGAGGTTGCCCGTCGCTTTGTGCTGTGTCGATCGAGATTTGATTGCTGCTGTCGATCATGTCGGAGCCCGAATGGTTGCGGGGCGAAGGAGGCGTGCGATGTTCGTCCTTCCTGATCCTGCTGTTTGCTACGGCTAATGCGGAGGTGGACGCTGCTGCATTTGTGGACTGCCGATCGACCTGCATCGCCGATAGGGGGCTGGTGAAAGTCGATCCACCCCTCCCACCACCACCACTTCCTGATAGCGAACCACTCGATGCCGCTGCCACCAAGCCTCCGCTACCGTTGACCGCAGATGAAGGCGTTTGGGGACTCGTATCGTTGCTGCTGATTGGGAAAGGCGAACTGTGCTGGCTGCTGCCCACTGCAGGTGTTTGACTCCCTGCAACAGCGCTACTTTGGAGGCGACTGTGGTGCAACCGCGCGGCTTCGTTGACGGTGTATGCAGCCCCCGCGGTCTTTGGATCACCGGGAAGTTCCCTCGACCTGCTACTTGCTCGACTGGCACTACTGCCGCTCGCAGCGCTGCTGCTACCATGCCCGTTAGCACTGGCGCCTGCCTCGGTCGCATCCAGCTCCATCTCTGCCGGGGTCTGCGCCTGCTGCTGCCCAAGCTTTGGCTCAGCCAGCACGTAGTCCTTGTGATTGCGCACGAGACTCGCATAGTAGTGCTGCAGCTCGGCGCCGCTGCAGATGAGCCTCCAATCGATGATCTGCAGAAACTCTTTCTCGAGCAGATTGATCTCCTGCAAGCTGATGCCTCCGACTTTGGCGTAGTGCTCGTTGGTATTGAAGGCGTCGCAGAGCGCCTTGGAGGCGCACAGGATGGCGGCACAGATGAAGCGATGGACGGTCAAACCGCAAATGGTGAATCCTTCGAGACGCTCGCATACGCGGTCGATATAGACGAGGAGGATGAGGACGCAGCATTTCTCGATGGAAGTGTACTTTGCGATTCGACGCAGGTAGGCCGAGAGCGAGATGTTGGGTGTGGCGCGGGAGTGGAATCGAGTGAGTGCCGATGGATGAAGGGGAAGCGAGTCGTTGTGCTCGGTGAGCTTGACAAGCATGTCGACGACCAGGACGAGGACGTCATCTAGAAGCGCATCGTCGAACGAGTGAGGCAGCACCTTTGCAGAGCCGGCTTGTATTGAGGGGTCGGTCGATGGGGGTGCTGTGGTCGCTGAGGTCGATGACGAAGCTGCTGGTGCTGGGCCGGCAGATGGCGGTCTGAGCGTCGACTGCTGATGAGGTGCGGTTAGTGTGTCAGCCGCTGAGCTGGATGCATGTGACGGCGAAGCTGCGTGTGCTGAAGCAGAGGTGAAGGATGCCGGAGCCACCGAGCCTGGCGTTGGGAACGCCGATGGAACATGGTGTGAAGAGTGATGAGATGAGAGCGAGGATGAAGAGGAGGACGACGCCGGGTGATTCATGGCGGGCAAGAGCGAGAGCGAGACGGAAGCATCCCGTTGTTGATGATCGGAATGTTGCCGGTCGGTGTGGGTCGAAGTGGTGCTGCGTGATGACAAGTGTGGATCCGGATAGCTTTGCGGATCGGCCGTGTTGCAGAAAGATGCGCGACTGATTGGTAAAGTTCGGTAGATCCGATCAGATCAAGTTGTCCGCCGAGGATGCCGAGAAGATTCCTCCTGCAAGCGGATATTGATGCGACGGAGCTATGAGGCCGGCTCTCGAGCTATTGAGCTGACCTTCGCTGTGATGACCCTAGCCTTTGGTGAGTCTGTTCACCGCGCCAGAACAAGCTGAAGTTGCAGTCTGAGTATCGAGGGTGGAGACAGTTGGCGCAAGAAGCGACCGGAAAAAGAGGAACAGCGTCGTCGTTTCCGAATATAGCTTTCGAGAAAGCGAACGGTGAGCTAGTCACGAGTTCGTGAAACGCAGCCTGAACGTCAGCAGTGCGGTGAGGGGCGAGCGCGATCAGCCAGATCAATACAAGTCGACGGCAGAGGAGGATGAACAAGGTGATGAATGGAGAAGGCTCGACCCTGCTAAAGTCCGACACACACACTGCTTCGTTGTTTGCTCGCTGTCGAGCTGGCCCGCGCTCAAGAAGGACGCAAATTGCATTTCACCTATTCCAGACACTGCGTGATCTCTCTCTCTCTCTGCTAGGACGAGGTGGCCGTTCGGCCTTCATATTCATCTCAACCATATCATCGACTCATAACGACTTCTACGTCTCGGCGAAAGCAGATGTGCTATGTCTACGTCCAATCCCAGTTTCGCCGAGCTGGATGACAATGGAAAGAACAAAAGAAGACAATGAATGATGAGGTGCAAATTGACATAAGAACGGCAGCCTCGGGTTCTCTTCTTCTCACCTGACTCAAGCAAGCAGCGATGCGGCTGAAATTCATGCAGATTGTCAACGTGCTCCTCCCGCTAAGCGCGAATCGAGCCAAGCCGCGGGTTGATCGCAGTCTAACACCTTCGATCTTTCAAAAAAGGGTTGGATCTCGAAGATTTGCTTGCCCGATATCATGCGAGCCTCATTCCTCAGCTTTTCGAGTCCAAGCCTCCACTCTTCTTATCATGCTGTGGCTCAGCAGCTCCTCCTTTCTCGCCACCAACCTCATCTAGATTCATTTGCCCATCATGGAACAGAAAGACAACGCAAACCCTATCGTCTACCAGTCGAGCGCGAGCTCGACACAGCGACGCGCCGCCTCGAGTGCCAATGCAGAGTGGTGGCGTGACCATTCGATCCACTCCTCGGCACAGTCGGCAGGTCGACCCACTCCTTCCAATGGCAGCAGCATCGCTGGCATCGCTGGCAGCTCCTCTACCACCGCTGGCGCTAGCTCCAGCTCCAACCTCGCCACATCATTTGCTCGCGCAACTCGCTCCACCATCGACCAAGACGATGAGGACGAAGAGGAAGAGCACGACGACGACGTAGACATGGCCGACAACCGCAACACCGTCTCGCCGCCCACATCACCCGAGACTACGTCTGTCGCACACAACAACCGCACCGAGATACCCGCTACTGTCTCGGACGAGCAGATCGACAGCCAAGAGATTTACGACCTCATCCGCTCCATCACCGACCCGGAACATCCTCTCACGCTCGAACAGCTGGCTGTGGTCAACGCGTCCCATATTACCGTCTCCAATGGCGACTTGGCGGCCAACAAACTGCCGCATGTGCTGCTCGAGTTCACGCCGACCATCCCACACTGCAGCATGGCTACACTCATCGGGCTTTCGCTCCGTGTGCGATTGCTGCGTGCGCTGCCGGATCGGTTCAAGGTGGATATCCGTGTTCGACCGGGAACGCATCAGTCGGAGAATGCGGTCAACAAGCAGCTCAACGATAAGGAGAGGGTAGCTGCGGCCCTCGAGAACTCGCATCTGTTCAATGTGGTGCAGGGTTGCCTGGCGAGTGCGGGGAGGAGGGGCAAGAGCGCCGATGAGATTGCGGGCTACTTTAACAACCCGCCGACGGGTGATGGTGCGGATGATCAGGATTACCAGAGCATCAGGAAGACGGTGGATGAGATCACGACGAGGATGGGCATCGCCGTTTGAACCCTTGCCTCTTGACCAGCGGAATCTCACTTTTTCGTTTGATCACATGCCTTTTGTCAGTGACGATCTTCGATTGTGCGTCTGATTGAGTGTTCGGTACAACTACAAGCTGCCCATTCGGCCTCACCGCCTCACCGGTGTCCTCGCAGCGCTGCTCACCCCAGAGCTCCCTCGCATCCCCCTCACCTCATCCTTGACCCTGTCCTTCTTCTTCTTCTTTCTAGGCCGCACCTCCTCATCGTCGGGCTCTAACAAAGCCTGGTCGATCTGGGCCACGACACCGGGCTCGACGCTGAACGCAGCCTGCATGGTCTCCCTGTCGAACGGCACGATGCGCTGTGGTGTGTACTCGGGCTTGAACAGAATTGACGTGAGCGTCGTGCCCTTGCCTTCTCTTGCGGCGCGCGCCGATTTGCGTGGTGGACGTACGCGGCCCGCAAGGTCTTCGACGTAGTGTGCGTATGTTCCTGGTGGCTTAGTGGGTTTGCGCGCGGGTGGGGCGGCCGCAGCGGAGGCGGCCAGTTGACCAGGCGAAGCGGCCAGGATGGCGGACGAGTCGGTATGCAGCGAGAAGGTGGGCGGTCCGCCGTTGAGTTGGAGAGCGGGCGTGGAGATACGACCTGTACTGGAGGCGGCGTGGGATGGATGACTCGCTAAACCCGCTGCTCCGACAGTGGGGGCGTTGCTAGGCCGAGGTGTGGCATTGCCCTGTGCTAGACCTTGTTGACTGCTCGACGGGGTCGCGCCTGGCGGCACTGACCCAGCATTTGCTGCTCCGCCTTCTCCTGTCATCCCTGCTACGATTGCTGCATTTCCTGTTTGCGCTCCCCCGCGTGGTGTCGCGCCTGGTCCTGCTGGTGCGGCAAAGCTCGAAGTCGAAGCCTCGTTCTCCGCCTTGATGGTCTCTGGATTGTACGGACGCACGGCTCTATCGTAGATGGGCATGAGACCGAACAGGCTCAGCATATCTTGTGTGCCATTGAGATACGCCCGTGGCAGGTCGGCTGGCTTGCTCGTCGTCGCCGGCAGGTATGGCGGTGGTCGGTTGGCCGAGTTGGAAGAAGATGCGACGTTGATGTCGCTGTCGTCGACCATTGCGCGCTCCTCTCGCTTGACTGCGGCCACATCGGCCGACATGATGTTCTGTGACGACGGCTGTCGACTCGTTCTGTGCTCAATCGGACATGCCGATAGAAGCTTAGTGATTGTGGTCAGTGAAGATGGAGAATGAGACGGTCGAAGGTGTCGGTCTGTGCTCTCAGCGAAGTTGGATGTCGTTGCCCCGATCCAGCATGCCTCGACCCGATGTGCCCTTTTAGAAGGGTGTTTGGTCTGTGATTTGGCAAAAAGTCGCGTTTCGTGGTCTGATCGCTCCGCACTCTGTCCACTCCTTCTTGACCTTCCACAAAACCACCAGCGTCGGCACCACAGAGGACTCTCTCAAGCGCAGCCAAAGTCGACGAGGCTGATACTTACGCTCGCAATGTTCGGCTCAACGTCGTCCGCACCCGCGACCGGGTCTACACTCGGTCGATCCGCGTCCTTCTCCTTCTCGCAACCCCCAGCGAACAAGCCTTTCTCTGGCACAACAGGCGGCTTCTCCTTCGGCGGCGGCGCCAACAACAGCACAACTACAAGCACAGCAGCAGCGAACCCAGGCACCGCTGCGGCAGCTCCAGCTACAGGTGGCTTTAGCTTCGGTGCCAAGCCTGCTACCACCACGACTGCGCCCACACTCGGCGGTGGAGGTCTGTTTGGTTCCACCACAACAACACAACAGCAGCAGCAGCAGCCAGGACAACAGACGCAGCAGCCACAACAGACAGGCTTCGGAGGTGGACTCTTTGGTGCGTCGAACAACACAGCGTCGACGTCGACCGGTGGGCTATTTGGCAAGCCTGCTGCCCCTGCGGCTGGCGGCTTCTCGTTTGGCGCCAGTAACACAGCGTCTACATCTACCGGGGGGCTCTTCGGCTCGTCCACTCAGCCAGCGCAACAGCAGCAGCAGCAACAGCAACAGCAACCGTCGACATCGCTCTTCTCGTTCTCGCAGCCACAACAGCCGCAGCAGCAGCAACAACAGCAATTTGGCAACGCTTTCCAGTCCAATCCATCGCAACCACAAATGAACCAGGTCGCCGCATCACCCTTCGCGCGGTTCGGCTACTTCCAAAAGGAACGCTTCAACGACCTGCCCGACGATGCCAAGAAGCTCATTGAGGAGCTCGAAACACACATCTCTTCGCAGACCCAACTGAGGGACGAGCTGAAGACCAAGAACTTTGGGTCGGAGATCCGCAAGTGTGCGTCAGAATGGCATGAACTCGACTCGGCGCTCAAGTCGCTCTCCGCGACACTGGATACGGACGAGCACCAGACTGTCGATGTAGGCCGTCTGCTCGAGCGCGACCGAGCCACCACCTCGACGCTGTACCCCATCCTCGTCAATGCCAAGGAGCCGCGCGGGGCGTCGGACGGCGCGTCGTTCGTCGAGTGGCTCGAGCGCTACTTTGCCGATCTTGCTGCAGAGTATCGCGATCGCATCGCGCGCTACTCGAGCACGGTCGAGACCATTCAGCATCATCTAACGTCGCTGAGCAGCAGGGAGACGTACACGCCGCAGGCGATTTCGGATGCGATCCACGCGCAGCACGAGAGCTTCATGGCATTGGCAGGACAGGTGGCAGGACTGCACGCGGAGGTGGACGCGCTCAAGAAGGATTATGCACGGTGGTACAAGCAGGTCAACAAGAGCGTGCGGGATCCGTTTGGGAGTATGAATGCCTTGGCGGGGAGCGTGCCGCCAGCGTCGTAGAAAAAAGGCGCAGAAGAAGGGACGCATTCTTTGACATTGCAATCAGACTATCTACCCAGCAACAGTATTCAAGTCGAGATGACTGTCAGCTCACAATCATATGTATCGCAGTATCAAAGCTTGCAGCTTGTCGTCGTTGAGATTGACCTCATCGCAAGCTGTGTGAGCTCGTGTGATGCGGATTGCTTGCCCTTGATTCCCTGTGAAGATCGACGTGGCTCCGTCCAGAAAAGGGTCTCGGAAAAACTGCCTCGAAAAGGAGGTCTCAAAGCTCGCATTGACCCAGCTTGGACCCTGTCACGAGCTCATCTTCCAATCTCTCCATCATCCTTGCCGACACCACGATCGCATCTCTTGCCCCGCCCCTTGGCCTGGCATCTCGCGAGCCACCCTCCCAGCCACCTCGGGCGGACCGTCGCGGCACGATGCACGACTTTGTCTCGCACATCCTGCGCCAGTACTTCCACGCGACGCACTGGAACGAGTACAACTCGTACCTCCACCTCACCTCGTCCTCGTCGTCGATCCTCGACTTCGCCGTTCCGACCGGGCTCTCGTTGTCGATATCGGCGTCGCCAACGCCGCCGTTCTTTACGACGTATCGTCTGGGTGCGTTGCCGAATCTACGGGCGGGAATTGGATATATCTATGCGAGCACACAGGAGCCGGTCGACTTTGGGAAAAGTTCCAAGGATGTTCGTCTCAAAGAGGTGATTGAGCGATTTCGCATTGTCGAGGCCTCGCCGCGGCGGAATGCGCCAGCAAGAGGGCAGAAATACTGGTTGGCGGGCGAGCGGTATTTTGAGCCGATCACGGAGCCACAAGGGACAGAGGGAGGGGAGTATTTGGTGTATGGATGCATGCATGTGCCGTCCGCGCGGCTGGACGCGCTGTGGACCAAGAGGATGAGCCCGACCTGGCAGCTCATTGTCACAGCGGTATCGACGCCACCGAAGTATCCGCTCAATGCGCTGCAAAGTGCCGCGCTCGCCACCCAGTCGTCGTTTGCGTCAGGATCGATGGGCAAGGCAGCAGGGTTGTCAGGCAGCGTGGATCGGCTCGACTCATCCACGCACACGCTCTCGTCTTCGGGGACAATGTCGGGAAGCACACCTCAACAGTCAACCACTGCAGCGGCAGCAGCAGCGCAAGATAGCTACGGACTCGGTCCGCCCGGATCGACAAACCTGCAACTGACACTGCAACGCGACACAGGACGGTGGTTCACCGAGTACAGCTACTCGATCGATGATGCATTGTGGGGCTTCAGGGTGCTGCACAACTTTGGAGCGACTGGCGACCATTCTGCTTCAATGGCCAATAGCGACAGCACAACGACCAATTCCGCGTCTACAGCGGACGGGACAAGGACGCAAATCGGCACCACCAGCGGCCTAACTGCAACCACCTCTGTCTCTAGCAGCGGCACCGACGATGCAGACGCCGGAGGCGGTCTGCGCGGGCGCTTCAGCGCTGGAGCCGAGGTCTTCGTCAGCACGGTCGAGAAATCCGCCGGCCTGTCTACGGGAATCCGCTTCTCGACGCTGCCCGATTCGCCCGGTCAGCCCATCATTGCGCCCTTCGAAGCGTCCATTCCGCCTTCAACCCCCGAAGTGGCAACAGCGACACCATCGCAGCCGCCAACGGTGATCACAGCCACGCTGAACCCCATGATGGGCCACCTGAGCACTGCATATGCGGCAAGGATGGCGAGGGACGTGGTCGTCGCCTCGCGGTTCGATTTCAATGTCTATAGCTACGAGTCGGAATGGACGGTTGGTGCGGAGTATTGGCTGAGGAAGAGAGGTGGCGAGGTAGGGGCGCAGACGAAGGGCGTCGGTGGCATAGCCGAGGAGAGGGTCGTGAAGAGGGAGAGAGAGGAGGCAGGGCCAATGTCGCTGCGCGAGCAGGGGAGTGGCGGTGTGCTGGACGGATCGGCAGCACCGAAGAATGATGCAGAAGACAAGTGGTCCTTGCGCACGCCGGCTGCGACGCCCTCTCCACCCTCTTTCGATTCCACCACACAGTCCTCATCTTCTCCAGCGTCGACTTCACCATCGACATTGCCGCCACCACCACCAGCATCGCCCCTCACAACCCTCCTCTCCCCCATCACGGGCGTCCTCAAAGCGCGCCTCTCCACCACCTCCGACATCCGCCTCCTCTGGCAAGGCCGTCTTTCCTCCTGCCTCGTCTCTCTCGGCGTCAAAGCGGATCTATCTCCCGCTTCACCTCTCCCCTCCCCCTCCACACGCGGCATCGTCAAGAGCATCGGTCTCGAAGTCATGTATTTCTCCACCGCCGACATTGACTAGCTGAAATCGTCGAACCTGCACAGCGGCAGGTAATACTTGTCCAGCGTCCAATATTTCTGTTTGACGCCCTGCCACTCTTCTTCGCGAATGGAAGGCGTGAGGGTGGACCACGTGGTGGTGAGCCCGACGCTGCGCAGGTCAAGTTCGGAGATGCGCGTGTAGACGTCGTACAGGAACGGGTTGGTCGCTGCTAGACCGTGGAAGAAGCTGAACCGGCTATCTGGGCCGTTGAGGATCATGGGTAGCGCGTCAAAGAATCGCTTGATGTCCGAATAGTCCTGGCTGTACGTGTCCCAGTAGACGGCGTCGAAGCTACCCAGTTCGGTCATGCGCGCGATATCCTCCTCGAGATCCGAATCCTTGATCCAGTCCTCCCAGCGCCCTTCGAACAGCTCCACGCCGGGCATCTTGTCGAATCCGAGACTCTTCGCGTACGCAATGGCGTCCGGGTGCGCCTCGATGATCACATGCCGCGCCGGCTTGTAGCTCTGGAGGATGGAATCGATGATGCCCAACCCAAAGCCAACGTTCAGCACGCTAAACCCCTCGGGCTGGTTCTCGCACAGCAGTCTTGCGGACTGCTGCATGATATCCGTCTCCCAGGGTGCCATGACCATGTTGTTGTCCGCGTCCAGACAGCGCACTTGCCCGAGGGGGTCTTTGACAAATCGTAGCTTCGTCTGCAGATACCTCTGCGTGTCATTGGCGACGTCCGTGGCGGAAGGCTTGAGCGTTATTCGTGTGCCGTCTGCTGATGTGACCGCTGTTCCGTCGTCTCCCGCCATCTCGTCCTGTTCGTCCTCATCATGCGATCCTAGTGCGTTGAGAAGCAGCGTCTGTCGCACGCCCTCCTCAAAGATCGCCCGGTAGCAGCTCTCGTGGTTCATACTCCATGCCACCTGGGCAGCGGTAAACCCATGTGCATCGACGGCGTTCCACAGCGCCCCATGGCGGAGAAGCAGTCTCACAGCTTCGAGATGCCCACCTTCCGCGGCGAAGTGGAGCGCAGACCATCCAGCGGAAGAAGGGTCCTCGTACCACACATCGACACCGCCCGCATCGTCGCCTTCGTCTGGGGAAGGCGAGGAGGAGAGGAGGGATTGGATGAGTGGGACGTCGCCCGCTTCGGCGGCGAGGTGAAGTTCGAGGTTGCGCGCGACGCGGGAGGGTGGGAGGAGGTCGGTGACTTCCTCCGCTGCAGCTGTTGATGATGACGGCGTGGCCATGGCTGCGAACGGTGCAAGGTGTCGCTGTGAGGAGTTGGAGCAAGAGAAGGCCTTTGGGGTCGAACAGCATCAAGGGTCCATGCGAACTTTTTCTTGTTCGCCGCCCAAGCGCAGGCCGACTTCCGATTTAACCAGATATGTGAGATCGAGCCCTGTCTCTCCTCGAGAAAAATGCCCGGCTACCGGCTTCTTTCTGGCTCGCGGTTGATCCGGTCGGTCGTCGAGATAACTTTATCCTGATCATCCTCGAGGGCATCTTCCGCCTTCGCTTCTTCGATCCTTCCGTCACTCTCCTCACACCCAGGTCACCGCTCACATAGAAGAAGATACACAATGCCGGACCTGCAAACCGCCCTCATCTCGCGTCTGGACGAGTCCTCCCTGACCCCCACGTCGGCGACCTACACCGGCAGCATCGACACGACCTGGTGTATCGGCTCCGTCCCGCAAGGAGGCTACTCTCTCTCTTTGGTCCTCAATGCCATCCTCGCCTTTATGCACACACCCGAAGTGATGGAAACGAACATCAAATCCGTCGCTCATCACGATCCACTTCTGCTGTCAGCGACATACATCCAAGCGGTCACGCACACACCGTACGAGGTCCGAATCCGCGTACTGAAGCGCGGGAAGAGCCTGTCCAACCTCCAAGGCGAGCTGTGGCAGGACGGGCTGATGCGCATCACAGCCCAGGTGCTGATGACCGACTTCGAGGTGCAAAAGGCGTCTGCGGACCGGACAAAGATTCAACCTCTCCAAGGGAAGGACGTGCACGATGCGGTGAAGAACGGGTACAGCATCACGGAGGAGTCCCAATGGGCACCCGTTTTCCCGTTGAGTGCGCCGGAGGACTGTGATCCACCTCGCTTCTTCGGCAACACTGCGGAGAGCGGAAAAACGTTCGGCTTCGGGCGGATGATCACCATCGCCAACGACCCCAAGCACGATCGGCTCACGAGGACCACCTCCACCCTCTCCGCGGGAGCCTACTATTCCCTCGTCACGCCCGAAACCCCCGTAGTGCTAGACGCAGCACAAGTGGCAAACGGTCGCCTCAGCGAGGGGAAAAACCTCATCCCTTTCCTAGCAGACATGTTCACCTCACCTCCCATGATCGTCCCAGGCAAACACAAGAGCCATTGGTACCCGACGCTTCACCTCACCATCGAATTCAAACGCCCGCTCCCGCGCACCCACGTCATCAGCCGAACGGCCACCCTCAGCACCGGCAAGTTCATGATCAATGGTCAGCACGAGAGCGATTCCGAGCTGTGGAGCCATCCGGACGATCAACACCTTTTTGAGGCTGAGGGGTCCAGAGGGAAGAATGGCGAGAGGAGAAGTTACATTTTGGCCATCGCAAGACAGACCGCGTTGGTACTGCCGTTTGCTGTCAACCAGGGCAAGACCAAGAGCAAGCTTTGACGGACAATGCGCAACTGTACGATAAAAATCATGACAAATGCTTTGGTGCTGTTCACCCCGTGCTGAGTGTGCGACAGGGATCGTGGGATGCATTGTGTGTGAGATGAGGTATCTGTTACAAATGTGGGCGGTTCGTGGGAGACAGGATGATATGCACTTGTACAGTTGTGCGAGAGAAAGGGATGCAACGAGCAAGGGAAGATGAGAGAATTTGATCGTGCGATGTCAATGAGGGAAACGTGTTTTGCTTCTGAGGCGTCGAGCGGTGTCCAGTCTGATTAGTTGGCACCACCGCGAGCAGCACCACCACGACCACCGTTAGCGCGACCACCAGCAGCAGCACCGCCACGAGGAGCACCACCGGTCCTGCCGTTGCCTCCAGCGGCACCACCACGGCCAGCGCCGCCAGCAGGAGCACGTCCACCGGCACCGCCAGCAACGTTCTTGCGACGCTCCTCGATCGTGACACTCCAGCCGTTCTTGCCAACAGCGACGCTTCCCTTGGCAGCAGCCTTGCGGGCACCGTCGACGCTGGTGAATTCAGCGAAAGCGCACGAGCGAGCGGCGATGATCTGGACGTCTTTGACGGTACCGAAAGCCTCGAGAGCCTGGCGGAGAGCGGATTCGTTGACCTGATCGGCAACGACGTTCTTGATGTAGACCGAGGGCGACGAGCTGGCACCTGCACCAGCGCCAGTAGCAGCCGCACCGGCAGGAGCAGCGGCGGACTTGGGCGTCGAGGCGGGCTTGGCGGGAGCAGCACTGGCAGCAGCGGCACGCGAAGACGAGACACCCTTGGCCTCGGTGGAGACGTTGGAGCCCCATCGAGTAGCGTCTGAAGCAGCCAATGTGGCCCAGGTCTTGGGCTTGGGTGGGCCAGTGGGCTGAGCGGGAGCGGGAGCAGCGGCGGCGGGAGCAGAAGCGGCGGCCTCGGGAGCCGTCTCGGTCTTGGCAGCAGCGGCAGCGTCCTTCGCGGCGCCGCCCTCGGTAGCAGCCGCAGGAGCTTCTTCAACAGCATCAGTCTTGGTGGGCACAGCCTCGGTGGAAGTGGTGACGGCCTCGTCGGCAGCAGGCACCTCGGTGATCTGGGCAGAGTCGTCCTGAGCATCGGCGGCAGCAGCATCGTCGGCAGTGGCGGTCTCGGTGGACTCGATGGCTTTGGAGGAGGAAGACGAGGGAGGGAGAAGGTTGGGGCGAGCGTTGGAGTTGCCAATGTTGTTGATCTCGATGGTGTGGGGCACCTCGACACCCTTCTTGTCCGCCTCGTCGATCTCGTCCTGGATCGCCTCGTCGACAGCCTCAGCCTCAGCCTCAGCCTCAATCTCGTCATCGTCCTTGAGGTATCGGAAGATGTCGTTGAGAACGTAGTAGCCGTTGGGCTGCTCAGCAAGGAAAAAGGTCTGAGCGAACTTCCTCCAGGCACCGCCGTTGTTGCTGAGCTCACCAAGCACCTGAACGAGAATGCCACCGCTAGCGGAGCTCTGAGTGTCGACGTTGGAGACAAAGACCTTTGCGTCCTGGAAGTTGAGCGAGGTGATCTTGTCGTGGATCTGCTGCTGACCGAAGCAAGGAGAGGACTCTTCCTGCTCGGTTCCGTGGACCATGGTGGACTTCTTGGTGAAGAAGCAGTGGAGGCGGCCGGGGTTCTGGTTGAGGAAGGTGTAGTACTGGGTGACGAAGAGCCAGCCTACTTCCGAAGGCTGGACGGCCGGCTTGGAAGCATTGCTACCGGCAGCAACGGCGGAGGATGATGCTGCGGAGGAAACGCCGTTAGCAGCGGTAGCTGCGTTGCTTGCGGTGACGGCGGCGGACATTGTTGAAAAATATGAGACGACGCAATGGAAAGCCAAGGGTATCGATGGTGAACAACGGGGAGGAAAGATCTGGCAGCTGAGCGCGGTAGGTACGAAGGGTGTGTACACGAAGAGGATGCGATGCAGCTCAAGAGCAGCGAGGTGGTGGTGGTGATGATGGCGATGATGAAAGGAAGAAGGATCACACGAGCTTTGAAATTGACTGTGCGCAGCCTCTGACTCTGAAAGGGTGGAGGAACTGGCCACGCCAAGCAAGCTGAGCCATGAATCGACAAGCAAGCTCGATTCATCAAAGCCTTCACTTTCGCAAAGTCACACACACTCGCACACCTTCATCTCGCTATCTCTTTATTCTCGAGCATCGATCTCGAGCTTGAATGTGAGCAACGGCCGAGGCGTGGGAAAGCAGCGGCGTCTCAAGCGCGGCGCCGCAGCTGGTCAAAGCCATTTTGGAAGAAAGCAACTTCGGCTCCCACGCTGACGGAGTTGCCGCAGACTCGGAAAGTGTTGGTCTGAGTTGGCACCACTTTTTTCCTATCGGCTCGTCCGCTTCGTCAGTCATCTCTGCATTGCCATTATTGAGAAGGCTTGAGACGGCTTGCTGACCCCCATCAGCCACTCATATGGCTGTCCCGATGAGTCAGGCTTTCATAGCATCAGCGGATCCCTATCTCTGGGAAGAGCAACGAACGAGAGTGTGCCGATCAGAAAAAGCCAGAAGAAATGCTTTCGCGGTTCGACCCCGCCTTTTGCGCTTCTTCGCTTCGACCCTGTTCTTCCAGCTGAGAGGCATTTGTGACTTCAAATCAGCCGATTACCTTTGGCGAGCTGTTTGTATTGAGATCTTTGAAATCACAGATTTTTCGCTAGCTTGTTCTCTTCTTGGCCCTAACATGTTGACACAATTGCCCCGCCCTGATGACGATCAACACACCCCTACTCCGCTCGCTCACGGATCGTCATCATCGGCTACTCACCCTGCCCATGCAAGCTCGATCCTTTCGTCTGTCTCTCCCAGACGACACGCGAGCGTCTTTGTCTAACGCTCTCACAGGAACGGCTCTCATCTCACCGAGCGACAAGCTCAAGCCCTTGACGCCCATGACCGGGGCATTGGTAGATGAAGAAGAACAACACTTTGGCCGCGCTTCGAATCTATTTTTGAGTTGGGGCGTGTCACTTTTCAGAGGAGCGTGCGTGTGTGCGTGTGCTGTTGTGCCAGCTGCTCGGTCCAAACAAAAGTTGGAGCGTGAAATCTTACTTTGACCAGCTTGCTGTCCAACTCGGCCTGTCCGTATCCCACTCATTCCATCCATCACATCCTGGCGGACGACCACGACCGCTTCCTCCGCTCCAGCTTACTTTTCAAGTCGGATCGCTCCTGAGGTTGCTCTGTCATCATGGAGATGAACGTCGACAACGCCAAGCAGCTCCTCGCTCAGCACGAGCAGGAGCTGCACCAAGCACAGGCGGCTCAGTCGCAGACGCTCAAACAGGATCCTATCACAGCTGTCACCTCGGCTCCTAATGGCACCGCTTCCGATGTCACATCAGCGCCGACGGCAACCGCGAATGGAGCATCAGCTCCAGCTCCAGCACAAGCGGGTCTCGCGGCCCCTGCAGCCCCTGCCACCCAAGCCGCTGCTCCAATCACCTATAGCGCCCAATCCTCGGTCAAGGCCCCAGTCACCTCTGTTAACGGTCGAATGCAGCTCATCAACGAAGAGCAAAAGTTCAACAGCTCCGAGTTCGCCCCTCACCTCGACAGCTGGGGTCTCGCAGATGCTGGCTTTGGTTACGACCTCTGCGCCGTGCTCGGCTCGCAATCCACCGGCAAGTCCACCCTCCTCAACAAGCTCTTCGGCACCAACTTCGACGTCATGTCCGAATCAGCGCGTCAGCAGACCACCAAAGGTATCTGGATGTGCAAGGGTCTCAAGATGAATGTTCTCGTCATGGACGTCGAGGGAACCGACGGCCGTGAACGTGGTGAGGACCAGGACTTTGAACGCAAGTCTGCCTTGTTCTCTATGGCTTCTGCCGAGGTGCTCATCGTCAACCTCTGGGAGCACCAGGTCGGACTCTACCAGGGCGCCAACATGGGTCTGCTCAAGACTGTCTTCGAAGTCAACCTCGGCCTATTCCAATCCAGCAAAGCCAAGACGGCAGGAGCTAAAGACAAGACACTCCTACTTTTCGTGATCCGCGACCACATCGGACAAACTCCCCTCGAAAATCTATCGGCCACCATTATGGCTGACCTCACCAAGATTTGGTTCTCGCTCTCCAAACCTGAAGGGCTCGAGGATTCCAACATCACCGACTTTTTCGACTTCATGTTCACCACTCTCCCGCACAAGATCCTTCAACCCGCTGAGTTCGACAGGGCCGTCGACACTCTGCGCAATCGGTTCGTCGACCCCAAAGACCCTAACTTCGTCTTCAAGACCGAGTACCACAAGCGCATCCCAGCCGACGGCCTGCCGCACTACCTCGAGAGCATCTGGGAGCAAGTCATGACGAATAAGGACCTCGATCTGCCCACCCAACAGGAGCTCCTCGCCCAGTTCCGATGCGACGAGATCGCCAATGCCGCATTCTCCCATTTCGCTACCAGCATCAAGGACTTCAGGAAGCACATTGAAGGCGGTTCCATCCTCGACACTCTCGGCGCGGACATGGCGCTGCACCGTACCACTGCGCTGTCCAAGTTCGACCGCGATGCAAGCCGCTACCACCAAGACGTGTACAAGCGCAAGCGCCTCGATCTGCTCGACAAGCTCAACGGCTCGCTCTCGCCCTTCTTCCTCGGTCAGCTCAAAAACTTGCATCGCCACATGCTCTCGTCGTTCAAGAAAAACGTGCTGGAGCGCATGCGTTCCGAATTGAATTACGATTTCGGCCAGGTGGTCACCTCGGAGAAGCAATCCGCATTGGGCAAGTTTACCGCTGCGGCGCAAGCAGTGCTGCTGGCGGAGACGGACTGGACGATCGACGAGGAGGTCGCGCAGCTGGACACCGAGATTCAGGCCATCTCGGACACCATGCGCGTCGAGGAGACGAAAAAGATGGTCGCCCAGATCGAGCGTATATTCAAGAAGAACATCGCCGAACCAATCGAGATGGCGCTCAATAAGCCCGAGCCGGACATGTGGGACAAGGTGCTCTCCGCGTTCCGCTCGACGCTGGAACAGGCCGAAGCGACCTACCTGCGCAAAGCCAAGAGCTTCAACTGCACGGAGGAGGAGAACGAGGCCGCGCTTTTGGCGCTGCGTCGCAAGAGCTGGCTGAGCCTGCGCGCCAAGGTCGACGAGCAGACCGCCGACTCGGTGATCGCCGCCAAGCTGAGGAATAACTTCGAGGATCGATTCCGCTACGATGACGCTGGGGTGCCGCGCGTGTGGAAGCCCGAAGACGACATCGATAGCGCGTTCCGCAAGGCACGGGACGAGACCCTGTCGCTCATCCCACTCTATGCCAAGATTAGTCCTACCGACCCAGCGCTGGCGGTGGAATTGCCATCGACATCCGACGACCCTTCCCACCAGACCTCGGTCGACCGTGGCGAGGAGGAGCCGTTCGACTTCGCCTCCACCCTCACCGTCTTCACCGAGACTCGCAAGATCGACATCTCGAATCGCTTCCGCAAGGAGGCCGATGCGCTGTATGTCGAGGCGAAACGCTCCACTGTCAGCTCCATCGCCCAGATCCCGCTCTGGATGTACGGTGTCATGGTGGTGCTCGGATGGAACGAGTTCATGGCGGTCATCTCCAGCCCGATTTACTTCACCTTCCTTTTGCTCCTGATTGCGAGCGCATACGTTGTTTGGAGGCTCAATCTGCAGGGCCCGCTGGTGAGCGTCGTCAAGGCGGTCGGGAGGGAGGTGCACAGGTTGGCCGATGATCAGTTGAGGAGTCACTTCAGCCAGCCTGTCCCCGCGCCAGCAGTGTTGCAAGACCAGCGGGCGGCGCCAAAGGAGAGCAAGGTGGAAGAGATCGAGTTGACGGAAAAGTCGTAGAACCACAACGATAGACGGGAAACGATTGTACGAGTCTCAACGTAGAATTTGACGAACGGTCATGCAACGGTCGAAAGTGGGCTTGTGCGGCAGATGTGTGAATTTGTGACGATGAGGATGTCGGCGAAGCCCCTTCTCGCTCGAGGCTGCTTGTGTGGGTCTGTGACAGACGTGTCGACGGGTGCCATCCTTTGCTTCTCGATCGACCCCTTTCCAGCTGTGCCCCTGTCCCCGTTGCCATCCCTGCAATCCTCCCACCATCCCTTTGAACACTGAGTCCCTGCCACCGTCCCCCCGAGCACGGCATCCCTCTCACACGAGCTCCACCTCAAAACCGCCCCACATCGCGTCCGAACAACAGATTGCTTGCCCAGTTTGCAGGCACGAGGAAGCGGTTCCGCCAGCTCATGCTCATGATCGTATACGCACTTCGCCAAAGAACCCATGCGAGGGCACCCGAATTCTTGCCCTGCGGCGAGTCGATGAGCGCGGTGCGCGAGCCGAGGGAGGCCATGCTGCCTTTGTTGGCGAACTCGAAGGGTTTGCTGGTGTTGCTGGTGTTGAAGAGATGGGCGAGGTAGGTGCCCTTTTGGTTGGCGACTTGGGCGGTTGCGGGTAGGGGGTGGGACTGTTGAGAGGCGCAATCGCCGAGAGCAAAGACGTTGGGGAGGGGGACCAGCTCTCCCACGTCTTCGGAGGAGGGGTATTTGTCGGGGTGGAGCACTGATCCTCCGATCGCAGGGCTGCTTGCGTTAACGAGCACGTTGAGCGTGTCATTCGTGAGCACTTTTCCAGATCTCTCCTCCTTCCCCACCCCGCGCAGTGCATCGATTAGCGGGGAAGTCGTCACCCCCGTACTCCAAACCACCATGCCCGCTCCCACCCTCTCTTCCCCCTCGAGCACCACCGCATCCCGCTCCACGCGAGAGATCCGCGCGTTGAGCCGCATCTCGATCCCATCGCGCGAGAACTTCTTGACCGCATAGTCCGAGAGCGACTTGTCGAACGACGAGAGGATCGTGCTGCCGGCGTCGAGGAGGTGGATCGACGGATAGGGTCGAAGGTTTGGATACAGGCGAGAGAGGTCTTCCTTGATCTGTCGTCCCCCATCATCATATGGGTGCGGGTTAAGATTTAGGCGTCGAGGCGTCGAAAAAAGCGTCGTCAGTCGTTGTTTGGACCGGTGTGAGTGTAGAAGGTTGAGAAGTTCAACGTCAGTATCGAATGCTCAAGTGAGATCAAAGCGTCGGGAAGTGGGGCATACGCACCAGATCATGCAGTTCCGCAGCGAACTCGCTCCCCGTCGGCCCACCTCCGACAATCACAAAACTCAACAGCTTCCTCAACTCCCCCTCCTGTTCCGCACTCAACTCGCCACCCTCCGCATACTGGTGCTGCTTCGTATTCGCCGCCTCGAACAACCCCATGATTCTCCACCGGATCGCTCTTGCGTCCGCGACATCTTTGAGGAACAACGCGTTCTCTTTGACGCCCTTGGTGCCGAACGTCGCGTTGTATGCGCCTACACAGATCACGAGGTGGTCGTAGGAGAGAGAATAGGTTGCTCGTTCGCCAACTGCCTCTGTCTGGCCTGTGGAGGAAGGGGGCAGAAGTGGGTCGGAGAGCTTGAATTGCGGTCTGAACGCGGAGGTAAGCTCGATCTTCTGAGCTTTGAAGTCGACCGCGTCGCACCACGCGTGATGGTGCTCGATGGCCCGGTTGGAATGGATAGGTTCGATGGCACTGCGAAAGTCCAGTGTTGCACAGGATGCCTGTGCCAGCAACGGGGTGAAGGAAAAAGCCGTGGTCGGGGAGACCACTTTGACGTCGAATTGGCGGATCGTAGACCAGGAGAGGTTTTTGAGGAACGCATAGCCGCCCCAGCCCGTGCCTAGGACTACGAGGCGCTTCTTGCGCGGTGGAGTGGTCGTCTCGGTTGCGTAGGCGCGCTTGGGGATGATGATGCTGGTCGAGGCAATGGATGGGGTGAATGCGGGCCGGGCCTTGAGGGTCCACAAGAGCGGAGAGGCGCTGCTACGTGTGAGCGCCATATTGGAGATGCTGTCGACGCTGGTGATGTCGAGCCAGGGGGCGATGGAGGTGGTGGGGGAGTGCACCCTTTGCTTTCGGCTTGATCAAGTATCAAGAGCCCCTTTCTTCCGTCAGAAGCAGCCTACAGCTGCTGGATTGTTCCTGACAAATGCGAACGTCGTGGTCCATGCGCACAGATACGAGCGCCCTATCAGCCTCAAAGTTGCTGCCTCCCACATTGATAAGAGAAGCGTCGATCCTGCTGACTCTTCCCGGTCAGCACCTTCCGGACCATCCGAACGAATTAGCCGCCTTGGCAGACCCTCTGCAGCGCGTCACTCTGCAGAAACCTCGTCTTGGACCCTGATTGATCAAAATTGCCGGCAAAAGCTGAAAGCTGTCGGAGTCAAAGACTGACACCTCGGGTAGCGTTCCGATTGCATCCGGGTGCGGAGAGCAGAGCCAGCACCTTTCAGCAGCTTGTCCAATTCGAGATGAGCTGGTGTGAAAGTCGATCCACGGTACATTGCTGCACACAAGTGGACAAAGAAAGGCAACAAGGGCAGGTATGTAAGCCTCGCTCACACGCATCGACAGGCCGGCTGACGACCTGGTAGATGTTCCTCACAGTCTGTACAGCTCAATCGTCATAGGCTTACCACACTGTAAAAGCACCATGCAGAGACACCGAAACAATGATGATGCGATAATGCAGGAGAAGAGTACAGACGATGGATGATATGCTGGTCTACGAAGAGACGTAGTATGAGGATGCGGAGTGAAACCCCGGGTATGCACGGTGGTTCGTGATAATGTGTATGCAGATGCAGCAACAAGGGGACTACCCCTCAAAATCGAACACTGCTGGAAGAGCTCGAGAGGTTGCCGGCCTTGGACTTGCGGGGGAGCGTGACTCGCAGCGTGTTGCCGTCAAACTCGGCCTTGACATTGGCCAAGTCGCAGTCCTTCTCCGAAAAGTGAACGCGGCGTTCAAAATGTCCGCCTCCTTCAGCGTCCCACTTGTCGGCGACAACGTGCAACGTGCTGTCGTGTGCGTTGCGCTTGGTAGCCAGCGTAATGCAGTTGAGCGAGAACCCAGGTAGAGACACGAGCACGACGTACTTGCTACGCTCGGTCGCCATCGCTATGCTTGCCCCGGCTGGAGCGGATCTTTTGCCGAAGAATGGCATGCACGAAGGACTGATGGGAGTCGAAATGCTGCACGAAGAGGTGCGCTGCCTGCTAGTCGGGTACTGAAGACCATCATCGTCGTTCTCCACGATCTGGGGAGAGTCGCCCGCGTCTGCTTCCGATCGCGCCTTGTTGAAAGCAGGAGCTGCCTCATCATTCAATGAGGGTCTTCTCGCGGTCGTAGTCGCGGAAGTCGACTCGTCCTCTGCGACTGAGTCTGCATGGTCCGATGTCTTGATGATTCGCAGAGGTGTGCGGTCCTGCTCCTCGAGCGCGGCCGCGGTCAGCTTGCTCTTGGGCGTCGGACCGTTCTCTGGCGACGGTGCTGTCTCTGGCGTCGACGGACCCGAGGAGCTGGACGAAGAAGGACCGTAACGGCCGTAGGGGCCCATTCGGCTGGTAGGCCAAGTGTCGCGCTCGCCCAAGTCGTCTTCTGCCGTCGACTGGGAGAGACCTGGCGTCATACGTGCGGCTTCGAGCGAGTCGCGCGCAGGCGGCGACACTACGCCAGTCGAGGAAGACGACGAAGAGGATGAAGCATAAGCAAGAGCAGAGCGCTCAAAATGCTGAGAAGCAGACTTGGTGAACGGGCGAGCTGAAGCAAGCATGACACGCCTCGCGGTGTGTGCCTTTGAGTTGTTGGGCTCTGCGCTGGAGAAGCTCGCATGTCGACGAGCCGCCGAGTCGGAATCGGTCGAAGAAGTCTGACCAGCTGATCGAGGGGTCTGAAGCGCAAAGAGTGCTGAGCGCTGATGGGAGCCGTCCGACGACGTGGGCGATTCGAGACGGTCGGAGAGCGCAGGCGATGCGAGATTCGGCGACAGGCCTAATGGTGGGATGGCGGAGCTAGAATCACGCGAGGCATGGTAGCGGTCGTCGTCCGGCAACAGACTTCGCCAGCTATCTGACCTCACCGAGTCCTGCGACTGTCTGTTGGACATGCTGAGATTGGACATGGACATGGTCGAGGGCCCGCTGATGATGCTGCTGAAGGAGGTGCGAGAGGTGCCGAGAGACGAGCTGGACATACGATCGCTGGTCGAAATGCGAGGCGACGACTTGGCTGCTGCGTACGCATCGATATCGAAAGCGCTCGAGGTGGGAGGCAAGCTGTGCGGTGAGAGATCTTGCCGGGAGATGCGCGGCTGGCGATCGGACGCAAAGTAGGGATCATGCTCGGGAAGAAGCGAACGCCACGAGTCGGGGCTCGTCATGCTGGTGCGACTTGAAATGTCATTGTGCGAGGGTTTCGAAGCTGATGCGCTGGACGAGAACAGGAGAGCAGAAAGATCTGAAGCATGCGAATGACGTGGGGACTGTGTCGCTGTTGGAGGCGGCGAGTCATCATCGTTCAAAGGCGACGAGGCCCTTGCTGTAGCAGTGGTGGCTGTCGAAGAGAACCGTTCGAGCTTGGCGGGTCGTTGAATGACGAGCCTGTCGAGTTGGATCGATGCGGCATCGAGCTCTCGCGGCGGTGGTGGTCGCATGTTGATATGAGACCCAAAGGATGAGATGTGGGTTTGGCGCAAAGGAGTGATGCGACACGGTGACGCGAGACGGGTGGTCAGACGAGCATCTCCAGTAGACTCTGACCTGAGCTCTCGTATACTGAGTGGACGCCGTCTGGATCAGATCTGGTGCCACGGACGCCAGTGATGCTGGTGGTGACGATGATGATGATGCCGTTTGGTTGCCAGACTTGACTCGAATGCGGGACGAGAAGGAACAGCGCAGAAAGGGATCTGTTGGAGGAGGTGGCAAGGAGAGGGGTAGGGTGATGATGGCGACAAAGGGAGAGGAGGACGACGGAGGCAAGGGTCAGCTGGAGGGAACAGGAGCGAGAGCGTGAGGTGGCAATGGCATTGCTAGCCATTCGAAGGGCGCATTGTCAGGTCCGCTGGCCGGGAAGCAGGACGAGGAGGGCTGCAGCATTGAGCCGGTTAGAGAGAACAATGGCAGAGCAGAGCTGCACGGCACAGCGCTGCGCTGCGCAGCGCGGTCTGTGTCAGGAGCATAATCTTTGTTTGCCTTTGCTGCGCTTTGCTGCCCTCCTGCCTCGAAAATAAAAATAGAAGTGTATTATAAAAAATGGGCACTTTTACGGCCAAGAAACCTTGTTTTAGCGAAGAATGGCGTAGCCGAAGTCGGGCAGTGCCTGCCTCTTTGCTCCTGTCGAGGCTGCACGAGAGGCAACGAGCGCATAGGATTGCATGAAAGGGTTGGCTTTGGCTTGGCTTGTGACCACTTTGGCAGTCAACGTCAGCAGATCTGTCACAGAGCTCATCAGTGGCGGATCGCTTCCGTCGATTGAGCATCTCCAGATAAAGCTCGGACAGTCCTGGCTATCCGGGCAGCGGCGAACCAATGACGAGAGATAGACAGAGCCACCGACACAATTCTAGAATCACACTGTCACTGGGCCCTGTTCGGTCAGGGGAGGACCTATGCCATGTCGGTCAAGTGGGCTGCTGCGGTCTCCGCTCTGGGCAATTTGCGCGCCTCACCCCGTAGAAAAAGGTTGACCGAATTGCAGGGACAACGCGCAGTCAACATGGCTCGCACGCACACCGGCCAGCCGGAAACGAACACAGCTCGTGCTGCGCAGACCTAGACTCTAGCTGCTGTTGCAATGTGTTTCATACAGTGGACCCTCTCTCTGCCGTCGGTGGCCGTATTCTCGCCCTCGTTCGGAAAGTATGAACCCATCTCGAACAGGCATTGCGTCAGATCTCGCAGAAACGAAAAGAGAAACCAGCCCCTGGGGAAAAAGAACAGTCTGCAGCGCACAAAAATGACACACACTGCTTTCGAATTTTCTCTTTTGGTGTGGCCTGCCTCAGGTCAGCGTTGAGGTCGGGGACTGAATTGTGCATGTCCCCGCCTGGCTGCTGGCCTCTCGCGAGCTTTGGATCCTCTCATCCTAGGTTAAACCCTTGATGGACTTGCAGGACCCTCCGACTCGTATGACTGTGCTGTGATGTGATTCGGAAGCTCCTCGAAAGTGCTTTTCTTGGAAGTGCGCGTGTGGACGTGGTATTGTTAATCCTCGGAAAGTCCACCCTAAAGGAGCGGACAAAGGCGCAGGGGCAGGCTCGACTCCAGGTCAAGGTGGGTTGTTCGTTGGTGCTCCCAGCCTCATTTGCGCTTGGCCTCGGCTTCTTGCTACGAAGACAGTCCCGACAAGACGGGCTGCTGCCTCGGCTTGCCCCGTAACGATTGCTTTTCCGTCCAGAAGCTTCTCATCGACCTTGAATGCAACTACCTTGCCTTCAGAACCATAGTCAGATGCCATACAAGGTGTGTCCTTACCATGTCGAGCTTGCGTAAACAGCGCAGCGTCGTCTGCAACTCTGCATGGCGTCTGCATGAACGAAACAGGAGTTGACAGCCAAAAGCCCCTGACTGCTGCGCTTGCCAGATCTCATTTCCGAATTTTAGCTTTTCTTTGATAAACGCGCGAATGATGACGACATTCGAGCCAGCAAGCGAAATTCTCGACAAAGGCAGAGGAGGGCTGAAATGCAAGATTACACCACCGATTGCATCTTGCATTTTGAGACACGCGGCGCTGGGTACCAGTCTTTCTTTCCCTTAAAAGATTGCGTCTCTCCGCTTGCACCTCGCCCACAATTTAGAGCTCAGCTGGTCCCGCTCCCTGCGGCGCTCAGCGGTCCGTCGAACCCGCCTCCATTTCACTTTCCGACTCTTCTTGCTCTCTTCTCAGGGGGAAAAGGCGACGACGGGTCAACATTTGCTTGTGCAGCGACCAGCGAAGCTCGCAAGGCCGGCTGTGGTCGACCAACTTGACCGACAGCAACAGCCTCGTTCGCTGCTGCAAACACCGCTCGGCTCGCCTCGCTACGACCCTTTGAACACCTTTGCCGGACCCTGTTGCTCTTTCTGCTTTGCTCTGCTTGCCGAAATCGCTCGTTGGCGCTTTGGTGGCGGTCATTTGCGAAGGGGTTCGCCCACCTCGCTAGCACCATCTTGGTCGCCGTGGGGCTTGCTGCCTTGGCTGTATCGGCTGCTTCGCTCTCTCGCTTCGTTGTGAGGGCCCGGCTCGGCTGCACCGTCGGCTACCACCTCCTGCCGTAGTCAAAATGATTCGGCCTCTTGGGTTGAACCCTAGGGTTAACGATGAGCCACTCAGACCCTTGGCAGCGCCACGTTGCCCAACGATGAGGAACAAAGTGATGACTTTTGAGCGACACCGATAGCCATCTGTACGCCCTCTACAGCGGATGGTGCTCACCCTCGACATTCCTATCCACGAGTCAAACAGCCACAGCTGTCGACCTCACGACCACATGGGAGCTCGCCACCTCACTCGTCGGAAAAAGCTGCTTCGTGCTCAACCTTTCATCGTGTCAAGCGCACTCAAGACGCGCAGTGACGACTTTCTGCTCTGGTGTCGCTTCTCGCTTCCATTCTCTAGCGTCGCCGCTCGGCCTTTGCTTCGGTACCGTGTCGGCAAAGCCTTCGGCAATGATGGGATGGCTGGCTTGAGTTACCACTTGAGCGCTTTGCATAAGCACGGCGTCTTCTTCGACGTCCAAGACAAGCATGAAATTGTTTTGAAAGCAGACACCTCCAGAGTTGGTCCTGCTGCTCTCTGTCGTCTTACCGATGCTATTTCAAGGTGCAAGGAGGCGGCGAGATATCGCAAGCACGTTCAAGGTGCCTACCTCTATGCGACTCGGCACGACGACGTGCTGCCTGTCTCAGTGACACTCCTTCAAACGCGCACGTCCCTGTTCCATACGCGACGTCGGATGTTGTAGCGAGTGACCGGCTCCGTTCCGACACGTTCGTCACGGCTGTGAACGCAATCACAACGGAACGGGTTCGTCAGCGAGGTATGGTCACACAAAGCTGTCGACAGACAGCTGATTCTGATCAACGTCGCTCCATCTTCGGTGAAATTGACACATGCCATCTTCCTGCATGGCGTGGCGCAGGATGACTGTGCTTGCTGCTGCGCGATGGAACATCTCTTCTTGCAAGTGCGGCTTTTCCACGCCCTTCACTCATCCAATCAAAGCTTCTTTGCTGCCAGGGTCTTATTCAGTCGGGAGCCGTAATGGGTCTCACAGGTCGATCGCTGGCCGATCAGCTGACTCATGACAGGCTGATGGTGCAGGCAAGCCACAAAGCATTGAAACCGGAAGCTGTTCCGACAAAGGAACGAGGCGGCTTTCTGATTCGAGACCACGCCGCACTCAAAGTTCCATCTCGAGGGTCCATCTTGGTCTTGTTGCCGACGTTCGACAGTCGATCATATGACTCAGCATTACCTTGTCCACACCAAACGCAGCGCGAACTCCACGCTACAGCCGAACACAATCTTCTAGCCCACATCAGCCCGACTGATCGCGGATAGCTCACACTACCTTCGCAAACCGTCATGGAACAGAGCTGCTCCTCAGTGGCCACCTGAAAGGCCTGAGGCAGAGCAGCCGACGCAGCAAACGCTGGCGAGAGCTTCACATGGGTCTACAATGCCTCTGCACGCTATCAACGAGCGCGCGATCCAGATCGACCCTATACTCCGGCCTGTGCGCCTGTTCGAGACAGACGCGCAACACAGCTGCGACGCGGAAGGATTGGCTGGGCGCTTCAACAACCCTGCAGGAGAACGGCAACCTCGACGGTACGCAGATGCTTGATGCGTTGACTTTGACGTGGAAGCCCTAAAAGTACAATGTGTTGATGAGACGGAAACATGCTGATGAATATCGGCGGTGCTGAGGAACAGCGCAGTCGGGACTTTGTCGTTGCGTAGCAGGTGGGCGATGTGTCGGTTCGGAGAAGTCGCTACTTCTTCTTGCCCTTCATTGCCGCACGACGACCCTCGCCTGAAATGCGAGACACGTTTGGAACAAAGATCGAGCAACAGGATCAGCAAGGCATACTCTATCGACGCATAATCAGCCCGTGCGCCCAACATCCCTCGCGAGACCTGGGATGTGGACTTGCTGTCGTCTTGTCGAAACTTACCCTTCTTAGGAGGACCCTTGCCAAGCATCTTCTTCCTCTCAACGTCCTTCTCGCGCTGAATCTCTCGAATATCTTGCAACCTTCCAAGCGACGGAGCGAGCTTCTCTATCGACCTGAAGTTGACCGTCGGTGGGTAGTAGGTCAGCATCGATGGACCTTGTAACCTTTGACGCAGCACCTTGGATCCTGTTCGTGCGTGTGTGGGGTTGTATGTCGTGCCGAAGATCTTGGCTTGCAGCGCTTTGAGCGACGAGACTGCGCTCGCGGATGGTGCAACCTTCATCTTGTGTGTGTGGCCCGTTGGCTGATGTGTGCCGAACAGCGATGCTGATGGTGTCGAGCGCAACAGGAATACGGGTCGAGAAGAGTTGAGATGCAGGCAGCAGCTTGTTCCGCAAAATGTCGAGGTCACGTGAGTCATTCTTTTTTCGCACGAATTTGTTCGCTCACACAGATTCGGGTGGCTGAGCCGCCGCCGGCTTTCAGCAGCTGCAGCAGCTTGGCACCTAAGAAAAGGCACGCACGGTCCCCGTTCTGGACTTTAGCCAAGTCCACGCTCAGTACAGCCTGCTGCACAGCTTCTCAGCTTACGCCCATTTCACAACTCCCGTGGTCATTCGATATCCTCTTTCACCACTATATCAGCCACAGCACAAGGTTACGACACAAGCGTGCTCGAAAGACATCGTCCACACAACGACCCGCACGCAAGAACAGCACTAGACTCAATCCAATCCTCGCAAGCATGGCGTACCCCGGGCAGGGCGGTCACCACTATCAGTCGACGCACGGCGGCGGCGGCGGCGGAGGCGGTGGATACGGACAGCAAGGATACGGCTACGGTGCACCTCCGCCCCAGCAGGGAGGTTACGGGGGCGGATACGGCGGTCCTCCCATGCAGCCTCCCCCTGGTGGTCCTCAGGGGCAAATGGGCTACGGCTACGCTCCGCAATCCGGCGGCCAAGTTGGCCCGCCCGAGTATGCCTCGAGTCACGTCAATTACAACCCTCAGGGTGGTATGATGGGCAACCAGCGTTACGAGTACTCGTCGATGCAGGGCAAGCGCAAGGCTCTGCTCATCGGCATCAACTACTTTGGTCAGAACGGCGAGCTTCGAGGATGCATCAACGACGTGCGCAACGTGCAAAACTTCTTGAGGCAGCGCGGATACAAGGACGACGACATGGTGGTACTGACTGACGACCAGCGGGATGGACGCAGCATTCCGACGAGGCAAAACATGACGGCGGCCATGCACTGGCTGGTACGCGGAGCGTCACCAGGCGATGCGCTCTTCTTCCACTACAGCGGTCACGGTGGCCAGGCGAAAGCTTCTCAAGGCGACGAGGCGGACGGATACAACGAGACCATCATCCCTGTCGACTACCAGCAAGCGGGTCAGATGGAGGACGACGAATTGCACGCTATCATGGTTCGCCCACTACCCGTGGGATGCCGTCTCACAGCCATCTTTGATTCGTGTCACTCTGGAACGGCGCTCGACTTGCCTTACGTCTACTCCACCTCGGGCAACATCAAGGAGCCCAATGTCATTGCCGGTGTGGGCAAGGGTCTGATGGGCGCTGCGATGAACTACGCACGCGGTGATGTGATGGGCATGGCCAAGGGACTCTTCTCCACATTCACCTCGGCGAAGAACACCAACGGCGCCGAAGACATCACCAAGCAGACGCGATCGAGCGGTGCCGACGTGGTGATGCTGAGTGGCTGCAAGGATGCACAGACGAGTGCGGACGCTACCGAGGCGGGCAAGGCGACGGGCGCGTGCTCGTTTGCCTTCCTGTCGGTGATGAACCAGTACCAGCAGTTGACGTACAAGCAGATGCTCAACGCGGTGCGCGACGTGCTGGCGAGCAAGTACAGCCAGAAGCCGCAGCTGAGTTCGTCGCATCCCATCGACATGGACCTCCTTTTCGTCGTTTGATTGCTTTTGCACTGTATATCCTTGATCTTGCATCTAGTCTTTTCATCTACGAAAGTGTGATCGCAGTGTGACCACCACGAAGAGGATGCGACTGTGGCCCTTTCATGTACCAAGTGCTGGTCACACCTCTTATCGCCCTTTCCCACGCACAATCATCCACTTTGCTCCTCGGCGTAGCCAGTCTGTGACTGAGTCGCCTGTCATCCCGGATCCGCTGTATCGTCACAGCTGCAAATAAGCTTTCGGGCTCATCTTTGGATTGAAAGTCGGTCGATCCGATGACGTTTAGAGCGTGTCACGGGCCAGCCGAAGAAGCCTCCACAAAGTCACTTTTTGGACCGGTTTTCAGCCGAACTTTTTGGGGCCTTTATTCATGTTTGCTTGCTTCCCCGCTTTGAGAGGGGAGCGTGACAGCAGCCCAAGAATCTTGCTCATTGGCTCGGCTTCAGCGGCCAATCGCTCAAGTCACAGTCACATCAAGCCATCCATCTCTTCATCTGCCACCACAACCATCATCCGAGCCTCCGGACTGTCGACCCAGCAAGTATCGCGATCAAGAGGTCACAAGCCCCTCGACCACCGCCATCATGCTGGAATCCGTCTTCCAGCCCATCGCCGATGCGGCCGGTGCACCCATCGACTACATCAAGCTTTTCATCTCTTTGCTCTCGGCCTTCCCTCTGGCAGCTGTCTTTCCATACCTGCCATCGCCCGCAGCAAAGCATCTCTACAGCTTGGTTATCTCGTTCATCTTCTTCGTGCCCATCCTCAATCTCTATGGCGGCTTTCTACAGCTCCTTGGCTCGGCGCTGCTGACCTACTTCATCTGCATGTTCAAGGTCGGCGGCCAAAACATGGGCTGGCTCGTGTTTGCACTGCAGATGGGCCACTTGACCTACAATCATGGTGTTCGCAAGTTTGGAGGCATCCCTCTGTCGACGCTCGAGATCACGGCGATGCAGATGGTCGCTGTGATGAACCTCACCACGTTCGCTTGGGACTGTTACGATGGTCAGATCCGCACAGAGGCCGAGTGCGATGACTCGCAGAAGAAGAGCCGTATCACCAAGATGCCGTCCATCCTCGAGTTCCTGGGCTACGTGTTCTACTTTCCTGGTGTCTTGATCGGCCCTTCCACCCGCTTCTGCGATTACCGAGCCTGGAGCACCGGCGAGCTGTTCGCATCACCCAAGGGCAAAGAGAAAGCTACCGGCCGCACTGGTCCAGCTTCTCTCCCCAACGGCCGCCTCTTCGCCTCTTTCCGTGAGCTCTTCGCCGGCATCGGCTTTATGGCCATCTACTCGGTCTTTGCGCCCGCCTATTCCTACGAGAAGCTCATCGGTCTCCACGGCGGTCTGCACCACCTTCGCTGGTACCAAAAACTCGTCTGGATCCAAGTGGCCGGCTTCATGGCGCGCACTAAGTACTACGGAATCTGGTCGCTCACCGATGGCGCGTGTATCCTCTCCGGTCTCGGCTACAACGGCGTCGACCCCACCAGCGGCAAGACGCGCTGGAATCGATGCCGCAATGTCGATATCCCCAAGATCGAGTTTGCCAACAACTGGAAGGAGCTGCTCGACGCGTGGAACATGAACACCAACGTGTGGCTGCGAAACAACGTCTACAAGCGCATCGCTCGCCCTGGCAAGAAGCCCGGGTTCAAATCGACCATGACCACCTTCTTCACCTCTGCGTTCTGGCACGGGTTGGAACCGGGTTACTACCTCAGCTTCGTCCTGGCCGGGTTCATGCAGTCGGCAGCAAAGACGCTGAGGAAGCATCTACGACCTGTCTTCTTCTCTCAGCCCAACGTGGCCAACCCGACCTTCGCCAATGTACACACCTTCTCGGTGCCGCAGCTGGCGTACTGCACGGCATCCGTGTTGGCCTCGCAGGCGACGCTCAACTACGCCGTTGCGCCGTTCATGCTGCTTGAGCTGCGCGCGTCGATTGCCGGCTGGAAGGCCGTCTACTTCTACGGCCATATCTTGACGTTTGTCACTATCCTCGCTTTCCAGAATGGACTGGGTCGGGCGCTGGACAAGAAGAGCGGACGGGCGAAGCTCAGCAAGCGCGGCGAGTCGGAGAAGCCAAAGGCGTTTGCGAGCGGGTTCACGACCGATGCGGACAGCGATGCCGAGGGCTTGCGCAACCGCACGAGGAACGGTGCAAAGAAGCTGCTCGACGAGCAGGCCGAGGACGTGACGGCGTTGGCGCCCGAGCCAATCTCGTAAGGCAAGTTTGCTGGATTTGATACCGCTGCTGGTGTCTAGCAAAGGCGCACCTCGGGGTGCTTGATAACAATCAATACGAAAAGACATTGAAAAGTCAAAGGAACATGGACGCTGATCACGGGTCTCTGAAGCGGATGATAGTGTTTCGTCGGAGAGTTACGCGTCTGAGGTACTCAGCGTCGGTTAAGAATGTCTAGAATCTAGGTTTGTAGAGAGGTTGAGTTTGCGAGTTGGCAGTCCATGCTTGCGTTCGCAAGTCCAGGCTCTGCGGGCCACTTTGATCGCTTTTGAGGCGGACCAAAGCGCGCCATGTCCAGCGTACTGCGTGTCTCGTGCTTCCTCGGAAGGGGCTTTCAACAAGCAAGCACACAGCATCAGACGCCGAAGGAAGGGCGATCTTGCCAGCTCTCGCTGGACCTTGCCACACATATGGGCTCGTTGACGCACGTCTCTCCGCAACAAGGCTAGCCTGTCTCCAGTGCTGGCGACAAACTGAGCGAGCTCGATTGGCAAGGCTCTAGCGTGGGAAAATGACTGTGCATGCACACGCAACAGCTGCGGCTCTCGAGTGCAGAGCGTCATGAGGCCCTGCTACTCACCGCGCAAAGCCTGCTTCAAGGCATTTCTTTCACGTACCACTACAAGGGCCGCTCGCATCGTTGAGAGCCACGTGATGGGGCCAAAGAGTCTTGCCAGCGATATCGGGCTGCGTGAAACGCTCCTTGTGCTCAGTCACACGCCGCGCTGCATACCGAAGTGTGCCAGTGCGAGGATCATCCTGCGACTCAGCATGGAAGAGGAGGCCCTCGATAGCATGGACAGGTGACCCGTTCGCATGAACTACAAACGCAATCTCTGCCAAAACTCTCCTCGTTGACTGGCTGTGACAGTGTGGGGCAGCACTTGGATCGGATGCAGCGTTGACAGCTTCTACACCTGTCACCCACGCATTGATTGCATCACAATGTCGCCATTGAGCGAATGACAGAGCGCCAAATCGCCACTCACGGGGGCAAAGGCATCTCTGTTCGGCCCCATCGACCGACGAACGGCACCCAAGCGAGGACAATGACAGCTTTGCATCCAAGCGACGAACAGGGCCCGAGAGTGTAGCTCTGCGCTCCCAAAGCGACATTTGGAGCTGCGCGGCGGCGACCTTTCACCCGCTACAAATTTCGGATAATTTCACGCGCCTGTCCAAAACCGCTGAGATCTGCCTCGCTCAAGAGCCGCAAAAGGGGGGCAATTTTCAATGGCCGCTGTCAAAGATAACCCCGCAAATCCACCCAAGACAAGGCTGGGCGCAGCCGCGGCTGTAAGCGAGCTTGCACGAAAAAAGGGAACCGCCCAGCAGAGGCTTTTTGACATGCTCTGCTTGCGGTGCATCTCGAGCTAGGAGTATATAGTCCAGATCCTCAACCTAAACCAGCAGCTCTCTTCCCCACTACCTGTTGCTGATCGCACGAACACAGCAGCAGTCACAACTCGAACCATGGCGACAACCACCGCCACCACGACCACGGCGACCGCCGCGCCAGTCGCGCCCGCCACCCCCAAAGTGGCCAACAAAGGCCGCATGACCGCCTCCTGGCACACCAAGCCTTCTTCAGAATGGACCTTCCACGAGCGCTCGCTCATCTGGCTCGGCGTGGCCACCGCCAACGACCCGTCCAACCCCGCTCCCGCGCCGCCGGTCTACCCGAAATCCGCACCGGTCCCCGTCTACCCCGTGTGGAAGATGCACCGCTACATCGCGCCGCGAGCCCTCGGCCCTTTGCTCGTGCATCACTTCTTCACCCAGTACACCGGCATCCAGGTACCCGTGTGGGTGGCAACGACTCTCTATCTCGCCTACTTCATCGTCTACGGTACGCAGGTGTTCGCGTGGAACAACGCGATGACGACCAAGTTCGGCACGTTCGACGGTGCTGCGGGCCGAGACGGTGTGCCGGATGTCGACACGACGAGTGTCGCTCTGGGTCTGTTCATGGTCGTCATCAGTCGGGCGACCATCGCTATCCCTTACCTGTACGAGCCTTCTGCGCCAGTGCTGGACTGGTACACGGTAGCAATGTTGCCGGTGAACTGCTTCATGTTCGCCGTCGCCGTCGACTTCTGGTTCTACTGGTACCATCGTCTGATGCACGAAGTTCCCTGGCTTTGGAGGTTCCATCGTAAGCACCATACCACGAAGCATCCTATCGCCGCTCTCGGTGCGTTTGCGGATCATGAACAGGAGTTCTTCGACATGGTTGGCATCCCCATCCTCGCCTGGTTGAGCTGGAGAATTAACTTTGCCACTTGGTGGGTCAGCACCTGCTACATCCTCTTCATCGAGGCCTCCGGTCATTCCGGTCTGCGTGGCTACTTCCAGAACCCCACGACGTGGATGTTGCGCTACTTCGACGCCGAATTGTGTCTCGAGGATCATGATATTCATCATCGTCAGGGGTGGAAGAAGAGCGGAAACTACGGAAAGCAGACCCGACTGTGGGACAAGATCTTCGGAACCCAGAAGCCTAGGATCGAAGGCACACCGGATAACATCAATTGGGACGATCCCATGGACTTCCCTGCGCCGGTACCGGAAGAGAAGAAGGAGTAGAATTGTGGAAGAAACCCATTCGTTTTTTGTTATCATACCTTGCATTCGTTTTAATTATCAGGCACTCTCCATCGGACATGATGAGCAGCGCTCAGAGACGTCTGTGCTTGTTCGCTTGACGCAGGTGCTGCTGACGTCGTCGATTGTCGTCTTTCTTGCTGCAAGCTGCTGACCGCCGCAATCCTAATCGGACTTTAACGTCAAGCCTTGGCCATGATGGCCATCCTTGGTGGCACTGGTCATGATGCAATGCTTATTCAAAGGTGTTCCTCCTTTCCGGTTCATGTCGATCAACCTGCCGGCGGACGCTTGCCTGGCGCCCCATCTGCCCGCAGCACGCGTCAAGAGCAGCAGCAGTCCGAAGGCAAGGGCCAGGAGAAGCAGCGTCGAAGGACCGCCAGCTGCACTCGACAGATCGACGCACCATCCCAGCCGTTTCGGCAGTGTGAGGAAGATCTTCTTCGCGGTCTGCCACGGTCTGGGCCAGGAGACTTTCCTCGAAACCCTGCACACGCTGATTGACTAGATTCTAAGGTCGTGCACGGCCATCGATCGACGGCTCGAGCAAGGCTGCGGTACCAATGTCGATGCTCGTGACGTGCGGCCAAATCGCAAACGCCGGTCCTGCCAATGTCAGTCTTCCCACGCAAACAGCATCGGCCAAACCTCAAATGCAGGTCCTGCCAACGTCGATGGTCGATTACAAACCCTCATCATTCACCACGATGGCACACACACACACACACACTCGATTGCTCTCATCCCAATATCATTGAGAAGGAAAGTAGCGTTCAGTGCGTCTAACGAATGCGTAAGCCGCGACGCAGCCGTTCGGCGATGTACCAGCTCTGTGCGTTGGCCAGCTCGTCCGCGTCCTCTCCACTTCCCATCTCTCCGTTGCCTGCTACACTCGTGCTCGCCGCGGTCGGGGCGGTCGCTGATGGTGGGGGAGGTGGGGGTCTTCTTCGACCGCCACTCTTGCCCACACTTCCCGCAGCTTGACCGGGGGGTACATCTTCCGTAGAGGGTGAGCCGCTCGCCGAAGACCCGGCGTACGGGCTGGCGCACCTCGAGCCGCCCAATGAGACCGACGGGTCCGAGGACGACACCTGCATAGCTCTCCGTGCTTGGCTGGGTGGCTGTGGCGGCTTGCGTCGTTTCGGCGCTCCGTCTGCCACGACGCTCCCGATCGTAGACATACCGTTCGAGTCAGCAACGACCGTCGAGTCGGATCCATCGGCGAGATGCCCCACATGCGCATCGAGGATCTGCATGGTCGACTCGCTGCTCAGCGGCGAGCCGATGCGGGGGGCCGCTTCCTGCGTCTGCAAAGACTGATAGAGGTGCGGACCGACCGAGATTGCCGATTCGTGATGATTCCTGCCAGACTCGGGCGAGGGGTCCTCCGCCATGTGCGCATGCCACGAGCTCGAGGTGGAGCCCACTTCGTCGTCCTCGTAGTCTCCTGACGTCGACAGTCCTGAGTTCTGCCGTGACCCTATCGAGGGCGAGTTGACCCGAGGAGGCGTACACGGCGCGGACTGGGCCGAGATCGTACGTTTACCGTTGCTGTGCTGCTTGCCAGTAGCTCTGCTGAGCGAGGCTGCAGACGTAGGGCGCAGGAGCGTGCCTCCGACCGACTCTTCGCGTGGATGCGAGAGCGACGCTACCCTCTTGTCGCGTGTGCGCATGGTGGAGGGTACATTGAGGGACCCAGTGTGTTCGTGGTCGAGGGCAGCGGTATCGAAGGTGCCCTCCGTGCTCATGCTCGACGGAAAGAGCGTCGTGTGGATGTCGATGGGACTGGCCACCTCGTCCTCTGTTGTGATGGCCAGCGAATTAGCTGTAGCTTGCACTGAGTTGCTGTTCTCCTTGATCTTTGTCGCCAGCATCGGCAGACCTTCTGTTGTAACTCCCGCGTGCATCGCCTTGACATGTGCCTCGCCTCCTCCGATAGGCTCAACCACTGCAACTCGCTCCGTTCCATCCAACCTGTCCAGCTCGACACACCATTCGGCCCGCAAACACCGCTCCACCAACCTCGTCGTTGTAGTCGAGATGTCATTCAGATGCCCATGAGCAATCAAGCCCTTCAATAGCCTCCTAATCTGGGGCCGCTTATACGGATACGTGCACAGCTGCGTGTTGGTCAACAGCGGATGCAATACTCGCAAGTAGGTGTGCCGCAACGACTCGCTCTCATCCGGCAAGTCGTGCAGCTCGCGGATGAAGATATCGACCAGAACGCGGAGGTCGTTGGTGTAAAAGTAGCATGCGGTCTCCTTGGTGGTGAAGAGAAGGTAGAGGAGCTTGAGCACAAGCAGCTGCATACAGACATCTTCGGCGTCGGAGCTGCTGGCGCGGTTGAGCATGAAGATGAGGTTCTCGCCAAAGGTCTTGCTTGCGTTGAGTCGCTGTTGCAGGACGCTGAGTACGAGGTTGACGGGTCTTGAGCTGGTGGGAGTTGCCGAATTGATCTGACCGGGAGCGGATGAGGCGTGAGCGGGAGCAGAGGAAGTAAGGGTGGACACCATGTACTGCTCGTTGATGGCGACGAGAAGCTTGATGAGGCGGTAGTTGAAGTCCTCATCGTGATGGAAACGGGTCTCTTCAACGAGGTCAAATAGGTGGTGGATGAATCGCTCGTCGAAAGCTTTGAGATGATCCGGCTCGAGTTTCTGAACACGACAGACCTCGTACAGCATGCGGGCGGCCTTCTCGCGCAGACTGATCTGAATGGCGATGTCCTTGGAGGCGGACGAAGAGGTGAGACCTCGCGAGGTGTAGGAAGGCCGTGAGCTTGTTGAGTGTGAAGACTTCGATGCTGCTGAACGCTCCTGGTCCCAGTGAGCGCCGCTCCAGCCGACTGCGCCCGACTCTGAGATGCCGATCTTTGCTTCTGCCTGTGCTGCATAGCTGCCCGCCCAGATCTGATGCACGAGTCGATGCAAGAAAGCGCGGACGCCGACAAAGGAGACTGCCGAGGCCGACGTCTGGATCGACTTGTATGCGGAAGGAAACGCATCGCCGTACTGGAGCACGATCTCGTAGGTCATGAGCAGGATGGGGATAGAGGTGGATGTTTGCATGATTCGTATCGCTTCCTCTGCGGCGAGCTGATGCATTGCGATGTTGGTGGGAGTCTCGCCGGCTGCTGTATCAACATCATCGCGAAAGGCTGTCGAAGAGAAGAGGCGGTTGATGCAGTACTCTTGGTTGTATTCGGAGGTGAGATTGTCGTTGAACGAGGCGGCACAAAGATGGAGGAACTTGGCGAGAATGCTGGTGGTGTAGGTGCGCTTTGCCTGGAAGATAGCATCGTCTTGATGGCCAGTCGCTTCGTATGATGTCGATGCATGCGGAGTATCGTACTGCGACGGCGGGTGGAAGGGCGTGTCAAGGATCTCGTCGAGTTCGGCCCAGAACTGCTGTGGGTTTTCGATGGGCGCATAGCTGGCAAACGGATCCATCGTGAGAAAGGTACGCCGGTAAGTACGGCGGCAATGCTACGAGCGACTACCTCATCCGGCCTGACCTTGCCCGACGGCTTCAGCGAGCGCAAAGTCGAAGTGCCGCGAGGCTGAGAGGTGATGGCTTGAGATGGTGTTGCGAGGTGCAGCTTGAAGCAACCCCGCACCGGTCACTTGCAGCTGCCGTGATTGGTGTCGGTCACACGCAATCTCAAATGAGGCTACGATCTCACATTGTCGCCGAGAAAGGTACGACTTTAACATTTGACGATCTCATCACGGCATGCACGGCTGAGCAAGCAAAATGCGTTTTTGTGCGTCAACTCGACACAGTGCACGTCCCTCAATGACAAGGCGAGATCTTCTTCTTGCTGGACCCTGGCATGCGGGTGTCTTCTCCGGTGCCTGTCAACGAGCACAGCCAACGGCGTATGCAGCTGATGATCAGCACTCCGTTCTTCTCGCTGTCTTTGAGTGTTGCTCCTCGTGTACGAGCCTGGGAGTGTCAAGCCGTTACCTAAGTGTCTGATGCCTCTCTTCGACATGTGCTGCGCTGTTCTTCCCGCCCTTCCTCCTTCCTCCCAACCTCGATCCGATCCTTGAGCTCGTCCACCCCGAGCCCACCCCTCTATCAAGAAAACTTTTCCGCAATGAGCGACATTGAGCTTCCCGTCGAGTCGCCGCTCACCTCGGCATCCAAGCTGCTACAGAGCGTGGTTTCGCAGCTCGACACATCCAAGCCTGCCACTTCGGAGCAGCTGGCCCAACTCAAGATGGTCTCATCTCTGCTCTCTGGCCTCGACCCATACCTCGACCAGGTGTCCTCGGCCGCGCCTGCCGTCCAGCGTCCTCTGCTCAAAGCGACCGCCACGCACGACTGGGAAGGCGCGTGGTCTCGCAAGGAGACGCTCTTCCACCTCTCCGCTGCGTGGTCTGCGGGCGCATACGAAGGCAACTTCGTCGGTCTCCTCACAAAGCTCACGCACGCTAAGAAGGCGCTCGAGATCGGCATGTTCACAGGCACCACGACGGTCTGCATCGCTCAACAACTGCCCGAGGGAGGCAAGGTGACAGCGCTCGAGATCGACCCTTACCTGGACAACTTCACCCGCCCGCTGTTCAACGAGACTGGTCTGGGCGACAAGATCGACGTCAAGGTCGGTAACGCCGTCGACCACCTCGAGACGATCGCCAAGAACATCCTGACCGACGAAGAGGCGTACGACATCATCTTCATCGACGCCGACAAGCCAGGGTACAAGAGGTACTTCCAGACCATCCTCGATAAGGGACTGCTCAAGAGGAACGGCCTGTTGGTGGTGGATAACACGCTGTACAAGGGCACGCCGTGGACCGAAGGACTCGTGGACCAGGAGATGTTGGCGATTGGGAAGGAGAACGCGGATGCCATCAAGGAGTTCAACAAGGTGGTGAGGGAGGACAAGCGGGTCGAGGTGGTGGTGCTGCCTGTGAGGGACGGTGTCAGTCTGATCATGCGCAACGAGTGATGTCAAGTTGCTGCGTAGTTCTACAAATACAAGGATGATGGTCATGCAATGTCGTGCGGGTATGCGTTGATGCTGATGCTTTTACTCTGACTTGAGAAGCTCGACGAGAAACTTGTTGACAGACTCTCCGATCGAGCTGTCGTGATTGGACAAGCTCTCGACCTTGTCTGCCAAGCAGTTATCATTGCTGCGCGCCACTACGCTGAAGTTGGCCTCATGTTGGCGCTTGTCCTGCTGCCTGAGTTGTTCGCTGTTGATCAAGTCATCAAAGTCCTGCACCCTGATCGGCTCTTGCGGGTTTGTCACAAAGCGTATCGCGGAACACCCTTCGAGCGTCACAACGCTGCCTCGTTTGGTAGACAGCTCGACTACCGAGTCCTTCGAGTTGTGCATGCGGAACTGATGGCATGAGGGGACGCCGAGCAGAGAACTGGTGAGTCCGTGTATCATGATGCTGCCCTCTATCGGCGGTAGCAGAAGAGACGAGTTGGTCACGGAGCGGATCTGCACCGCGAGGATCGTATATGTTGAGGTGAGCGGTCGGAGGTCGACAATCGAGTTTGAGATGTCTGTCACATCAATCGAGACGCTTTTGCTGGACTCTATCGCCGAGAAGATGATTGAATGCTTGTATCGAGTGCCGCGCAATGCTGATATCGTCACATGACTCGACTGTCTACCTTGGACTGTCGGGACCGTCCCGTCTTGCGTTCCATCGATTGCGTTCGTAGTCGGAAGAGCCTGTGGTGCTATCGTTGGTGATGACTGTGTGACTGCTGCGACTGCCGGCTGCTTGCGCTTGAACGCGAAGCCAGCCTTCTTCTTTCCCACGCCACTGCCTTCAGGTCGCTGCCCTAACCCTTTCCTCTTCTCCTCCAATGCTGCCGAAATCTCTTCGAGCCTCCTCTTGTGCACGCCCTGATCGTGGCTTGGCAGGATGCCGCTATCGACTGCTTGAGTCAGCTCTGCGCTCAGTCCAGCATATGTCTGCACCGCCTGCTGAAGCTGTTCCTGCGTCGTCACGCTGTCCGAGAGTTGGCTCAGAAGCACATCGGTGCTCGATCGAAAGTGTGAATAGAAAGCTTGTGCCGAGGAAGCATTGGCGAGCGACGCGTTGCCAATAGACGACGTCGATGCCATCCTAATTGGACGACAGTGGCGATGCTTGACGTTGTCGGTGGCGTTGCTCGACGAGTAAGTATCCGTGTTGTTCTCAGTGAGCGTTGCGAAGACCAACACGCACCAACACAAGCATGCAAAGATTAGATTGCGTATCGGCGATCAGGCTTCTGCTGCTGCTATTTTCAAAGCGACATCACACGGCAGCCGAGCAGAGCAGCAAGAAGAAATGAAATTAGAGCTGCATAATCACGCACTCACACGCAACGAGTCACATTTCTTCCAGTTCATCTGTCTCTCTTCCCTTTCACCTCCTTCACTCACGTCATCCTCTCCCTCAAACACCGCCAACATGTCCACTTTCGGCTCGCACTTCCGCGTCACCACCTACGGCGAGTCACACTGCGCCTCGGTCGGCTGCATCGTCGACGGCGTGCCCCCCGGCATGGCCCTCGACCCTCAAGACATTCAAACCCAGCTCTCGCGTCGTCGACCCGGCCAGTCCAACCTCACCACGCCTCGCGATGAGAAGGACCGCGTCGAAATCCAGTCCGGCGTCGAGCGAGGCGTGACCCTCGGTACGCCCATCGCCATGCTCGTGCGCAACCAGGACCAGCGACCCAACGACTACACCGATGAGACGCTCGATGCCTACCCGCGCCCCTCGCATGCCGACTTCACCTACCTCGAGAAGTACAACGTCAAAGCAAGCTCCGGAGGCGGACGCAGCTCAGCTCGTGAGACCATCGGGCGTGTCGCTGCCGGTGCACTCGCCGAGAAGTACCTCAAGGAAGCTTACGGCGTCGAGATCGTTGCATTCGTATCCAGCGTAGGCAAGGTGCACATCCCGCGCTACCCGGGCGAGCAGCTCGCCAAGGACGTCGCCAACGGCGCTCCCATCGCCACCGAGACCAAGGATGGCGTGCAGGTCGAGGGCAAGTCCTTCTACGGCGAATCGGCCACCGACGGCCCACCCCAGACCAAAGTCGATAACATCATCAACACGGACCACCTCACCGAGGAGGAAGCGGAAGAACCGCTTTCCGTAGAATTCCGTCAACTGCTTAGCTCGATTACCCGCGCCAAGGTGGACGAAAACGCCATTCGATGCCCGCACGAGCTGGCAGCCGAGCGCATGCGTCAGCGCATCCTCCTCGCCAAGGCCAACAACGATTCCATCGGCGGCACGGTTACGTGCATCATCCGGGGTGTGCCTTCCGGCCTCGGTGAGCCGTGCTTCGACAAGCTCGAGGCTAAGCTGGCACACGCCATGCTGAGCATTCCCGCGACCAAAGGGTTCGAGATCGGTTCTGGCTTCAGGGGTACCGAGGTGGCGGGGTCGAGGCATAACGACAAGTTTGTGCGCAAGGCGGATGGACGATTGGGTACCGTGACCAACTGGTCTGGTGGTATTCAGGGTGGTATTACGAACGGAGAGGATATCTACTTCCGTGTTGGATTCAAGAGTCCCGCGACCATCAGCCAGAACCAGTCCACCGCGACGTACGATGGTAAGGAGGGAACGTTGAACACCAGGGGAAGGCACGATCCTTGTGTCGTGCCTAGGGCCGTGCCGATCGTGGAGGCCATGGCGGCGCTGGTGATCATGGACGCGGTGCTCGTGCAGAACGGCAGGTTGGCCACTGCCGAGAGGCTGAGCGGGGAGGCGGTCGAGGCGCTGCCAAACAGCATGAAGTGGCCGCAGGGCAAGAGGAGGAAGACGGAACAGTAGGCGTGCACCAAAAGCAGCGTTTCCTTTCATTCACCCAGGCCTTGTATAGTCGGCTTACCTGCTCAATCGCACATCTTTCAAGCAGTGCGTCTGCCGTTCAGCTGGTTGAAAAGCTCGTTCGTTCGAGAAAGTTCTCGACTCGAGCCCGAGCTTCTCATCTTCGAACCAAGCTCGGCGCTTGAGCAGGGAGACGCCTTTGCATTCATCCCAAAAGTATGAAGGGCAAGAATCTTCATTTCTGCCCCTCGGCCTCGATCGCAGCCACGGGGTCCCAAGCGCGGTACAGCTCGCACGTCTTCCTCTCCCTCCGCACGATGTTGCGACCATCAGGACCGATGACCTTGGTGCGCCAGGGGGTGTCGCATGCGCGCTTGTACTCGGGCGTCTGTTCGATGCCGCTCTGGTCGTATTCTGTGGCCGATCGAGCGGAGCGAGGACGGGCACGGTTGAATGTATCACCAGTCGAGCATTTGACGGGATTCGACCAATAACGGGGAGTGTGATAGAAGAAAAGAAGCGTCAGTGATACATTTTCGATGTCTGGAGCGGGACACAGTTTGTGTGTGTGCTCACCATGCAGCCCCAAGCACCGGGGTACGCCCTCCGCATCGCCCTTCTTGGCCTCCTTGCCATTGACGCCATTATCGATCAGCGTAAACCGTCTGCTCCTCCTCCAGCCCTTGACCTGGGCCAGCATGGGCACGTGCTCCTCCGCGAACCACCTGTTGTACTCCTCCTGCATCTCTTCGACCACATCGACCGAGTTCGTCACGAGGTACCCGGGGGTGTCTGCTTGCGTCTGGACGTTCAAACCGAGCTTCTTGCGCTCGACCTTGATGTTCGCGTCTGTGTCGCTGTCGTAGTCCAACCGATAGATGCGGCGATCGACAATGGCGAGCCGGGTAAACAGCTCCGCCTCCCTCTCGCTCCTCTGACTCCTCAGGCTGGTATACGCCTCCTCACCGAAAACGACGTTCGAGCTGATCGTGTAGAACGCTCCCCAGGTGCTTTTCGGCGCGATAGGCACCTCGGCCGTCCCCGATGCTGGGTGCAGCGCGGTGGAGGTCACCTCGTATCGGGTTGCAGAGCGGAAGGTGGGGAACCGATGGATGCGAAGAGGTACGTGCTCCGTGTCGTACCATTCGTGAAACTCTTCTAGCGACACCGAGGGTCCAGGCTCCATAAAGACCAGCAGCAAACCAGAGTCGGACGCTTTGAATAGGTCCGTCATTGTGAAATCCTTATCAGGCGGGCTTGCTAGGTTCGAAGGGCGTGATGGAGATGGTGGGGCTGAAAGGATGCGCTGGACAGACAGATGGCGGTGGTGGAGAAGGACGTTTGCAGAACAGCTGCAGTGCAAAGATGGCACCGAGAGGCATGGAGATAGAGCGGGGTCCACCAGTTCTAGGTCGGGCCGTCTTTTCCGCCCGTGCGCCGGTAGGAAGAACAATTTGCCGCTTTGATGCCGCATCAGACCATTCACACCGGCTCATGACTCGCATATCCTCGTTCAGTGGCATGCTTCTTTGCGATCAAACGCTCACACTGAGAACAAGAATGAATGTAGATTGAAGACAACATCTCCGGCTCAGGCCGCACCAACGCCATTCACCTTCTTTGGCGCCTTGCCCCTGACCTCCTTCTCCTTGGCCAAACTGCTCTTCCACCCCTCCTCGAACGCCGCCTCGTTCATCGCTGGATCCGCAATGCTAGCCGCGATCTCGTTCTGCTTATGCCTGTTGGTCGACTCGAGCTCGCCCCTCCACTTGCTGACAATCTCAGACACCCGGCTGGGCGCGTACGTCCTCGCAAACAGGGCGGCTTCCGAGTGGCGGCCGGCCTTCTCGAGCACTTCGATGCACGAGTCCACATCGGACAGCGAGAGGTAGGCGGCAAAGGCGACGTTGGTCGATCCCTTTTCGGTTGCCAGCTGGGCGAGACGCGTGAGCAGCTCGCGGTCGTTCGTCGACGTGGCTACCAGCAGCATCGACGAGAGGTCCTGCGCCTTTTCGAAGCATTCCTTGGCCAGAGCGACGTTCCATCTTGCTAGAGCCTTGTCGCCGATGGTGCGCCAGCGCGACTCGGACCCGACTTGAGGACCACTGCGAGCGATCTCGAGCGCAGTGTCGAAGTTGTCAAGGGAGATCGCAAGATCGAAGCGGTGCTCTGGGTCGGTGGACACATCCAAAGCCAGATCCTTGAGGTCTTGCGTTTCCAAAAAGCGGGCGACACGATTCCTCTGGTCGGCTGGCACCTGCTCGAGCAGTTCCGCTGCAGCGTCGAGGTCACCACGCAGAATGGCGGTCTGGTACTCGACCAAGGCTAGCGAGAGCGAATAGCTGAAGATGGCCAGATCCTTGTTGACCACGTAGACGCGACCGTGCTGAGGAATGTAGCCGAGCAGGAAAATCTCGTTGTCCGAGTGTGTGATGGTGTGAGTCTGCTCACCGACGAGGTATTGCAGTCGGTTGGTCGAGTTGGTGTAGAGGAAGCATTCGCCCGTCCACTTGGCGGTGCGGACGCTTTCCGACACTTCTGTGACGACCTCGAAGGCGGTCTCGACGCCCTCGTCCTCGACGTCGGCGCCCGAGTCGAGGTGAGCAGCGTAAGCCTCGCGATCGAATCGAAGAATGTAGAACGAGTCGTCGCAAACCACAGCAACGAGCTCGCCGGTGGTGGACCAGTGGACCGCCTTGGCCTCGACATCCACACGACGAACCAACGCGCCCGTCTCCCAGTCGTAGAAGCAGACAAAGCCACTGCCGAGCACAGCGAGCAAAGCACCGCCTGCCACCGCCTCGATGTTGTACGCCAACGTGATCAGACCCGGGCGCTCCTTAAAGTTGCGGAAGACCTTGAGCTTGGACCCGCCCTCCTGGACGGCGTACGTGTTGCTGTCGCCTGCCCAGGCAAAGCCGAGACCGGAGCCGAATGCCTTGTTCCTCCATGCGAGCGCTGTGTAGATGATATATTCTCCGTCACCGCAGACCGTGACGAATCGTCCGTTAGGACTGTGTTGCAAGAGCTGCGGGTATACCTCGGTGGTGCCCATCTCTCGCACCGTGACGGGAAGTCTCTGTCCATCAGGAACCGTCTCCTCTGCTGTTGCGCCAACGTTGGCGCTGAGGACTTCCGAGTTTCGCGCCCAGACGACCTTGCCTGCTGCGTCCATGCTGACGCTGGGCTCCTCCTTGCCGAGCTTGATGACCACGGCACCCTCATCGTAGCCGATGGCGACATCGTTGCCGTTCCTCTTGTAGGCCACACACCAAACTCGTTCGAGACCGTAGTCGAGCGTCGATTCGAGCCTGTAGGTGTTGGAGTGCCAGAGCTTGACGGTGCCATCCTCGGAACCGGAGATGATGAGTGGCAATGAAGGGTGGAAGACGGCAAAAGAGACGTTGGATGTGTGGCCGGTGAGAGTTTGAACGCAGGATTTGGAAAGGTAATCCCAGACCTTGACGGTGCGGTCGTCGCCGACGGTGAGCATGTATGGCTTGTCACCGCCGTGGAAGTACTCGACGTAGTTGACGCCCTTGTCGTGCGCATCGAGCGTGAAGTTGGCGACACTGGTGCCGAGAGTCCAGACTTTGACGGTTCGATCCAAGGAAGACGAGGCGAATGTGTTGGAGTCCTTGGGGTTGAAGCAGAGGTTCATAATGTAGTGAGTGTGACCCTCGAACGTCTGCATGAGACGCCAGTTCTTGTCCCAATCCCACATCTTGATGGTCATGTCGTCAGAGCCAGTGATGACATAGGAGCCGGTAGGATGAACAGCGAGACAACGGATGTAGTCCGGATGCGCCTCAAAGCTGATGACCTTTTCGTGTGTGTTGTAGTTGAAGGCGCGAAGCTGAAAGTCGTCCGAGCCGGCAACGAACCAGTTCTTGCGCGCAATGAACTTGACGCATCGTACTGGTACGTTGGTGACTTCGAAAGTCTTGACGATGGCGCCTGTCTCGTAGTTCCAGATGTTGACGGAACCCGAGTAGAGACCCGCGAGCAGCCATGGCTCTGTGGGGTGAAAATCGAGCGACTTGACGCGCTCCGACTTTGCAAAGAGCTTGCGCTGGATGTCAAGAAGCATCGGCATGATGGGCGACTATGGGACTAGCCCTGATGCGGACGACGGGGGAACACGAAGCGGTGCCGTCTTTCGTTTGTGTAGCTACTTGTTGGAAGCTGAGTTGGCTCGCTGCGGGCGAAGCTGGTGCAGTGGGGTCAGCGGTATCCTGCTGTGTTGGATCCGTTCGTGTGACGATCAAAGCAAAGGCAGCAACTCGCTGTGACGACTCGAGAAGCACAGGAAGGGAGTGATGGTGACGTGTGTGAATATGAACGAGGAGGGGAGCGGCAAAGTGTTGGAAGACTTGACACGCTCGCTCGCTGCCTTTGGACTGGTTGAAGCGAAAGAGAATTGGCTCGAGCCAAGTCTCTGAGTCGCTGGCGCTTGCTTGCTTCCCGTGCGTTGCTGGTCGGTTGGTCCCTTCGGCGAGTTACACGTCTTTGCCTTCTTCTCAGCCGGACCAGGCGTCCAGCCTGATGCTTCAAATTTCGTATTCAAAGTGAACACGTCCAATTGAAACTTTTTAAACAGCGATTTGAAGCCGATTTTCCTAGCCCCCAGACTGTGAGCGTGCTGAGCCTAACAAACCTGAATTTTGGCCGTCCAAATCAGCTGAGACAGTTTTGTGTGCGCGTCTCTCTGTGTGTTTGACCTTCGAGTCAGATCTTCTGGAGAAGCAAAAGGTCGAGGCGAGGTGAATTTTGGCGGTGTTAAGGCGCTCCGTCGGAGCATCTGGCCGACATCGCAATCGTGCGATCTGCTGGCTGGTTTTTTCGTCACGCCTGGCAGCCAAGTTTCTCGCCTGAATCGCGTCTTCAACGCGCTGCAGCTGCATTTCCAAAAAAGGGCTCTTTCGATGACAGAGCAGCAGCAGCATCACGCCAGCCAAAAGCATGCTGTCGATCCCTGTTTTGTTTGCTCGGACTTTCGACCCTGCCTGGCCTCTTTTGCCGCCCCAAGTCATGCAGACCCTGAGGTCGCTTCTCAACTCGTGTCACTCGCTTCAATGTGGTGGCATTGTCTCTGTACCAGATGCTTCCAGTGATCGCGCAAGCGTCTGTCAAGACTCACAGACAGTCTTGGTTATCAATCCTGCCAATGCTTGGGAGAAGGTGTGCAGCCTGGCATCAACGGAGGAAGGAGGGCGTGCAGGCTCAACGACGACACCTTGCCACGGATTTTGACTTCCGCTTCGTCAAGAGGCCGAGAGCCAAAGGCATCAAGAAGCAAGCCAGGCGACGGACGCTGATCGAGGGCAGTTGGACCAAAGGAGAGAGGGCGGCGGTATCCTCCGATAAGTAGCTGAGAAGAGCCACTGCATGACCAAATCACATCCTCGCCGCCGAAAGCAGACGGAAGGAGAAAAGAGAGCAGAAACTGAAATTACACACACAAGATCGGAGCTGAGCTCTCTCGCATCTGGATATTTCGCCTGTCTCAGAGTGCGAATCAACGAGGCACAGAGACAAAGGCAGGCACGAGAGCGGTAGGCGCGAGCAATCAACACGCCCTCGCCTTGTGACTGTTTTTTCTTTTTTTTCCTTTCTCCATGAGAGAGACAGAGTTACGTGTGCCTGCAGACCAACACTTTCGCGCAGCAAAAGCAGCAGCAGCAGCAGCAGCAGCAGCAGCAGCAGCCGCTACATGCTCAGACTCAGACCTCAGGTTCCAAATCCATCCATTCAGCCATCGATTCCATCTCTCGGCCTCTCTGTGTGTGTGTGTCTCTCTCCCTCTCCCTCTCCGCTCTCTGTGCCGCTGGTCATTGTCCGTCTTGAGCCACGCTTCCGTCATCCTTCGAGCCTCCAACACTCTCTCGAGCTCGGATTGATCCACCGCTCATTGCTCCGTCGCCATTCTTGATATCCATTACCTTCGCCTTGCTTTCAACCAACACTTGTCCGCGTCTCACAGTTTCTGTCCTCCTTGCTTCTCTGATAGTCGACAACATTTCAGCATTCGCTCTATCCCGGCCGTTCGTCCATCCCTCGATAGTAACTCCGTCTCGGACTCTGCCGAAGCATCCGCCCAGACCCATCGGCCAATCCGCACTCAGAACACTCATCTGCGCCACTTCGGTTTCACCCTCTGTCAGCAATCGGCAACTGGCCTTGTCCTAGATCGGAACATACTACAAATCTCCTCTGAAGCGCTGGCGAGCCGTTGAAGGCGTTGAAATCCACCGTCAACATGGCGCGTCCAGACGCTACGCAGCCTTCGTCGTCGTCATCGGCCTTGACGTCCACAACGAGCGCAAAGGAGACCACCGACGCAGCCACAACTCAGTCGCAGCTTGCCCCCTCGACCCCGCCAGCGCAGTCGGCCGCTCTGCCCACCCCTCCCACCTCTCACAACGAGTTTCGGCCTCCTCAGAATCCAGTCGCCTCCTCCTCCAGGATCAACGACGATGACCAACTCCCAGACACAAGTCCGACCACCACCGTCTCGGAAAACATGGGCCCTCGCAGAGCCGCTGCTCGTCTCAGTGGCGGAAGCACTTCGTTTGATCGCAACGCCGACGACTCCTTTTCGTCTCAGCGCAGAGCCAGTCGGCGCTCGAGCATCGACCGCAACGACGAACGCACAGTAGCAGCAGAACGTCCTCTCGATCGCAGCTCCTATCGTTCGCGCCATTCGCCCTCTCACTCGCCCGCTCGCTCTCTCACTCCTTCTCCCATTTTGGGCTCAGCCTTCGCTGCTCGTCCATTGTCACTCCGACCAGACGATAACGAAGACGATGCAGACGACCACGACATTCTCAAGCTCGGCCATCTTTCCTTTCCCATGCTCGGTGTAGGCGTCGGCCCCACCAAGCAAGAGATCGAGATGCTTGTCTACGGCTCGTCAACTACCAACGGTGACGCTGCTGACCCCCCTTCACCAGCTGAAGAGTCAGGCAGCCTCGAGGATGTGCTTGGGTCGTTGGCCAACATGGGACTGGACCAGCCCAACGAAAGCTCAGCAAGCGAAAGGGAGCGAGAGCTCGCCGGGATGGTCAAGATGCTCGCGTCCCGATGCACAACCCTCACCGACTCCCGCGATCGAGCGCAGTCCCAGCTCAAGTCGACGCGCTTCACCGCCCTCTCTGTCATTTCGTCGATGAAGCAGGCACATGCTCACGCTCTTGCCGCAAACCGCAACGTCACAGATCGCCTCGAGGCCGAGCTGGACGGATGGAAGGCTCAGGCAAAGATGCTCAGTGCCTTGCTCAACCGCGCAGAAGCCAAGGGCTTCGACGAGAGGCGTTCCAGCTCGGCTACTGCCGCGCCCGTCGTTACATTCGCCGATCGAGCAAAAGCAGCTGCCGCCTCCGGCCCTACCTCGAGCCACAATAGGGTTTCCTCATTCAAGAGCGATAGCGCAGGTCTCAATGCGGACACGAACCAGCGAATCATGAGCAGTCCGAGCTTCAAGTCCTCCCCGCGCGAGAACAATGCTATCATTCCATCGCCTGGCACTACGGGCCTTGGCATCTCCAGCTCCGGTCTAGCCGAAGTCGACACCGACCTCTCTCCTACTGCTGCCCTTATCCGCGAGAGGAACAAACTCATTACGGACAAGAAGCATCTCAAAACTCGTGTCAGGGATGCAGAGGCCCAGGTCTACAAGCTCGAGAGCGAGCTCAAGGCTCTCCGACCGTATCTCGTCTCTGGCGGCATCAAGACGAGCGATCTCCCAGCTGATGCCACGGACGCCGATGCACTTGGCAGCCACACTCCCGGCAATCTCAGCCAGCCTGGCACCGCTCCGACCACACCCAGTCGTTCGGGCAGCCGCAGAGACAAGAACCGCAAGAAGCGCAACGTTACCATGGGCGACGCAGAGACGGAGCACCTCATGTTGGCTGCTCGACGACTACGCGAGCTGCGCAAGGAGCAAGCAGCCGCTGCGGCGGCGGCCTCCAGCTCACCTGTCGAGTCGGGCTCGCTGCCCACCTCTCAGGAGAGCGGCAGGCCAACGTCCACGGCTGCTGCTTCGAATGGTCAGGTCCTCGCACCTGCTGCGGACCTCCCGGTCTCGCATGCTTCCCCTGTCAAGCGACAAGCAAGCGAAGACAGAGACATGCCGTACCGAATGGAACCGCGCACGCCGCCGTCCAGAACAGCCGAGCGACCGCCCAAGACGCCCAAATCCGTTGCCAGCATTCCCAACACTCCACGCACTGGTGTGCGAGCTCGCGAACTCGATGAACTGGCTCGAGGAGACGATCGCCGAGAGAGCTGGTCCGGCCGTCACCGCAGGGTCGACTCTGCGTCTTCGTTCACCGGGATCGACGAGCTTCTTCAGGCTGCCGAAACGCTCAACCCAGGCGCTGCGGCTCCTTCGCCTTCTATGCGCGCCGGACGCCCTCCGCTTCCTTTTCCTCCTCCGGGCGGCGACCCGACGTACTACCCTCGCGAGCCACCTCACCGCGGGATGGGCTACCCTCCGCCGCTCTCCGTCACCACGCAGCGCGGACCTGGTCCTGAGTATGATCCCTACGGCTACAGCGCTGCACCCTATCCCGTCCAGTCGAGTCCGCTCCGTATGGCTCACGAGAGTCCCAAGCGCCGACGAGTCTCGTCTGCTGCCTTCGACTTTGAGCCCTACGGATCTCCTTTCCTTGGCGAGCACGCACCTCGCATTCGAACGCAGACCGAGGGAGCGGATCCGTTCATGCAAGGACGCCCATACCACGACTATGCCCCAAGCGGACCTCCTAGCGCCGGCGGCAGTCAGGTGTTGAGCGCGCTCGATCTGCTTGCCGACCAAGCTACTGCGAGCCAGAACCCGTCGCAGGGAAGCGACAAGTCAGGGGAGTACGAGGGTGTCAGTCCCATCGGCAGTCTCAGCAGCGATGACGAGATGATGGATGGCGAATCGCGACGCAAATCTGGCTCGCGGTTGTCCCGCGCGCAGGATGGATCTCGCGGCTCCAAATCGAACGGCTCGCAGGGCACCTCTCGAAGTGGCGAGAGCAAGAGCTTTGGCGGCAACCAGAACCCCGAAAAGAGACTGCCGTATGTACGATGGACCTCGGAGGAGGACACAAAGCTGCGCGCGGCGATCAAGGAGCACGGCCAGCGGTGGGAGCTCATCTCGCGTGCGGTTGGCACGAGGTCGTACCACCAATGCCGACAGCGATACCTGCTGATGCGACGCAAGGAGGCAGCTGCCAAGGCGAACGGCGACGATGGTGAGGGTGGACACGGTCTCTCGGCCTCTGCGTCGGACCAGCAATCGCAGGAGTCGGACTACGGTCAGGATCCTCATCCCAGCAGCTCGAGTGGACGTAGGAAGAGCGGCTCCCATGGCCGTCGTGCGTCCCGTGGAGCTGATCCGTACGCCGCAGAAAGCGGTGCCACCTCGACCCCGCTGCACAAGCTCTCGATCGGTGCGCCTGCGCCCGCCGGCAGCGTCTATGGCCAATTCTCGCCGACCCACCGACAGGACGGCTTCATTCCGTCTTCGCAGACGCCCACACACAACCGGATGATGTCGCATCCGCACGCTGCAGGACCACTGTCGCCATCGATGCAGCCGACCTCGCCGTACGCGGCCCAGACCCCGTCGGCTGTTAGGAGGGGTCACTACCCGCCACCGTCGCCGTTGGCGGCGCATTCGAGGCAGCTGCCGCCGCTTCAAGCGCCCGCACCGGGGTACATGTCGCAGGGTCCGCCGTCGAGCCCGCACTCCGGCAGCGGGGGCGGCCACCACAGGCAATTCTCCGGCGAAGGCAGGCAGCAGGGTGGTGCGCCGCCAGAACCCACAACGCCTAGCTCCACCGCAGCCAGAAGGATGGGCGCCGCCCTCTACAGCTGATCTGCTTCGTTTTCACCGATACCACACATCGCATGGAACCCGCATTCTTTCTCTTCACTTTGAATCCTGACACACCTCTCACGGAAGGATCTCGCACATCTCATGTTCCGCCTTTTCACATTTGCTTTCAAAAGTCTTTCTTGCATCACGTGTTCGGTCTTCTGACGATGTCTGTGCTTCTGCTCGAATTGGCAAGATGTGCATGCATTGAAGCTCTAAAGAGCAACGGTCAGAACTTGCCAGCCAGGCTTCTGGCCGCTTCGGACGCCGAAATCCTCGATCGCCCGCTGGCTGTTCCTGACGAGCCCGAGTTGAGCGTGCCGAATGGGTTCGGTCGCGTGTTGGCTGGATTGGGACGGTGTAGGAACATGGACTGGGTGCCAGGAGGACCGCTGCCGCCACCAGCACCGGCAGCAGAGTTGAACCCGGAGGCGAAGGGATCGTCCTGGGTGCTGTTGCGAGACATGGGTTGCCCCGATGCTGCGTGCATGGATTGCGAGAGACTGGGCGTGCCCATGGGGGAAGGGTCTGACCAGGCGTTGGGCGTGGTGGGCATGGGTGATCGCAGTGCTGGCGGTTGCGGCGGTGGCGACGAGACGTTGTGAGACGTCGTCGAAGCTGAGCTGGTCGATCTGCGCATGCTGTCGGGCAAGAAGGAGGGTGGTCTGCCGTTGTTCTGCCCAGACTCGGATGGACCGGTGTTGGGAAGACCGTCCGGTCTCGACTGAGTCAAAGAACGTCTTTCGCCGGGACTGCTGCGATCCGAGTCGATGTGCGCGAATGGTGGTCTCGCGGATCCGGGCGTACCTGCCAACCCTTGCGAAGGTCTTTGAGGCGTTTGAACCCTGCTATCTGGTCTCCTGGCCGAATTGTCCAGCTCCTCTTTCAAACCTCTCATCTCCTTCAACAGCTGCCGCGCGAACATGACGCTGCCTCTCGCATGCTCCGCCAGCGCCTGCTGCAAGTCCTGATGCGCGTATCTGCTGTGGCTCTGCAAGCTGTTGTGCAGCTCTTGACTGATCTTCTTGAGATGGAGCGCGAGTGCGTGCTCGTGTCGCTTGGCCTCTTCGAGCTCCTCAAGTGCGTCGTCGACTCGATCTGCGCGGAGGTTGCGTTGCATCTTCAGATGCTCGGCTTCCCGCTTCTTGTTGACGGTAGCTTTCTGTGCATTATGATGTTCTTCTACGAGGGCGTTGCGCGCGAGCATGGCTTCTTTAGCTGCTCTTGCGTTGATGGACTGATACGCCACAGCATCACCGATAGTCAAGAGCTCAGTGTTGCTTAATGCGTCTTGCAACTCGCCGAGACTGCGTGCGGTGTAGGCTGTGCGTTTGAGGACGTACGGAAGACCGAGACGCAATGATGGTGGTCGAATCTCCTCCACTGCTCCAAGATTGTTGAGCTTCACCGAAAAGTCGGTCAGAGCGGCGGTCAGCGAGCGACGGGAATGAGCGAGCTTCTCGGATGCTTCGGCAGCGTCGGCAAACTGCATTTCGAGTCGAGTGACTTCCGCTCTGGCAGCCACGAGATCCTCGTCGTCATCATAGACGCTCCTTGACGTGCTGAGACCCTTGGAGCTGCCGCCCAGACCGAGGATGCCGAGACCACCGCTGCTGATGCGAGACCCCGTCGATGCAGAAGCTGAAGTGGCAAGGACGCCATTTGGAAGACCGCCGGTTGTATCGACACCGCCGTAAGCGACGGAAGCAGCGCTCGCCATGGCATTTGAGAAGCGCTTTCGAGCGGCTGCAGAGCTGCCAGTTCCAGGCGGAGTGGGGGAGTAGGCAAAGTCGGCCTCGATCAAGTTGCGAGTCTCTGGGTGATCTCGTAGGGCTGGCTCTGCGAGGACCCGGGAGAACCATCTGCCGAGCATGAGGCGGAGAATGCGGGTATCTTCCAAGCCACTGGCTGTTGTGGACGGCAGAGGCAAGGCGGGCACAATGATGGCTGGGCTAGAGAGCGAAAGAGCGAGAGCAAAGAGGCAGAGTTGCCGGTAGGTGCGAGTGATGCCAGGGTAGGAGGAAGCGCGAAAGTGTGGCAGGTTTGTGAGGGCGTCGAAGCGGACGGTGAGATCCTTTTTGGCCCTCTCGATGGTCTGTATGCGCACACGCAGAAAGACCTCTCTTGGTTTGGAATGTGGCTCGTAGACCCGAGATGCGTCTGTGTCGGATCGGTTGGCCCATTGTCCTTTGCGCTGATCCATGTCAGGATGCATCGATGGCGCGGATGCAATTTGCCCGGAGCTTGTAGCAGGTTGGTGTCCATTTGCTAGCTGAGGTGTGGGTGGGACTGGCTTGTCCAAGTCGGCGCGGACAGGATGGCTGGAAACGGAGCGATAGGCCGGTGCTTCATTAGTGACAGCTTGCCCCTGCTCAGGCTGAGCTGGCGGTAGTTGAGACGCCATGACGAGCTTCCGGTCAGCAAGACCCGGTTGCGGCCGATGGGTCGAGGCTTGAGCGTGTATGAGGCTGTGGAATGACTGGATGGCTTAGCTGCTGCGCATTTTGGGAGATCTGACCGAGCACGCAGTCGAAGAGGCAAGTGCGGGACCGTCTGCGAATCGAAGATGGTGAAAGTGACGATGGCAAAGTGGTGATGGGTGGTGGAGGAGAAGGGTGTGTGACTGACTGCACAGGCCACGCGTGAGTGCGAGTGAAAGCAGCGTCGATTCAGGGACCGGCGTGAGGGAAATTTGGCTCGCATGTTGTCGCTTGCACAGCACCCTGAACAGCTCACGAGATACCTACACCGTACCCGCTCCTTGGAGCTGGCGCTCGATCGATGAATGATCAAGGCGATGCTCGATCAGCACTTAGGCTCCTCGGAAGTTCCATTTGACTTTCGTCATGTCACACAGCTGGATCGCATCCGGACAGAAGCTCGGCTTTCAAAAAAGGTGCGGGTGATCCGCTTGTGAAGCGTGCTTGACGAGCAAACCAAGAGCGAGTCTGAATCACAATTCCACCCAAACCCAGCGCTTGTTCCGATGCGTGGTCGGCAAAAGCCGAAGAGCAGCCTGCCGTACCCACCACGCTCTGCAGATCACGCATTCCATCTACTCGTTCCTGGTGATCGAAGCAGCAAGACGAGCTCAACCGAGACCTCTTCGGCGTCCAGTGGAGCATGCAATCGCCGATGAGGTCGGATCTTGTTGCTCAGCCATTTTCGTCCGACTGCAACTGAGCCGATCCGCAGTTCCCACGCTGTGCCGTGCCTTACAGGATCGCGTCGCCTGTAAGAAAGCCGTCGCTTGGCTCGAGTCGCGTTCTCACTCAGTCAACTGAGCAAGCAAGCTGCGGTTTAGAGTTTGGGCATTGCGTCGCAATTACACTTTCTGCGACAAAAAAGGCGGCTACACAACGCAGTGTTGAGCCTGAGACACTACTGTGCTTGCGTCGCGCTTGAGCCACTTTCTTCGAATGGAATCAATCAATCAAATGACCGAATGAACTCAGAGTTGAATAGATGCAGACTGCTGATGCTGCTGGTTGCCGTTCTCTGGTTCAGCCAGGCTTTGCTTCTCTTCTTGCAACTTTCAACACCATCTTGTGCTCGTCCTTCTTTTCAGCACATTGCCATCCCATTCGCTACTCTCCTTGCAACAGCTGAGTCACCCTATTGCTATCACACCGGCCACCACGACTGCTGCCTTGCTGTCCGTGCACGCTCAACACCAACCGCTCCATTTCAGCTTAACCCTCGCTCGACGCGCTACGCGAATCCACACTTGCTACCGATCGAAGCACCGTCCATCGTTCATCAAAGACAAGCATCGCTGCTCATAGCTCCTCAGCGCTTGCTTTCCAGTACCTCTGCTCGTCAAACCCTACTGCGCCTCTCTTTAGTCACACACTGTCGCTTTGATCGACCTTCTTCCGCTTTACGATCATGTCTCAACCTCACCCTCTCGATCCGGCCATCGTCGCCGTCCTCCGTCCCGCCATCATCCAGATCCTCAACAACGCTGACCTCAGCTCCATCTCGGCCAAGAAGGTCCGCAACTCACTCTCTCAGCTACCACCACACGCCCTCCCTCCAACACTCGATCTTTCCGCATCCAAGAAGCAGGTCGACGAGGTCATCCGCGACTGCTTCGATCACATCTCCAAAGGCATGCCCGCTCCTCCTCAACCCACCCATGCCTACAATGGCGCCTCCTCCGCGCCGCCCTCGGGTGGTCTCGCTCTTCCCGGTCTCGGCGGTGTAAGAGGTGGCCACACTCCCGCTCCCTCTAGCGCTTCTTCCGCTACCTCCAAACCCGCACCTGCCAAGTCCGCTTCAGCGTCCAACGGCTCCAAACCCAAAGCCGAACCAAAGCCCAAAGCGGAGCCCAAGCCAAAGAAGAAGGCCCCCAAGAAGCGTGCTGCCGCCGACGATGACGACGACGACGAGCCTCGCAAGAAGAGGGCTGCAAACCCCAACAACCCGTTCAACAGGCCTCTCATCCTCTCGCCCAAGCTCGCTGAGGTGTGCGGTGGTGACGAGATGCCACGCCACGCCGTCGTCAAGCAACTGTGGGCGTACATCAAGTCGAATAACCTCCAAAACGAGAGCAACAAGCGTCAGGTATGTTTCCGCATAAGACATCCATTCCGCACCTGCCTGCTGCGCTCTAGCCTCAGGGACTGACATCTTCTTTCTCTGCACCTCCCTCTTTTCCGCATCTCAGATTCTTTGTGACGCCAAGCTCACCTCCATCTTCGGCAAGGAAGCCGTGGACTCATTCGAGATGGCCAAGCTCATCGGATCTCACCTCACCAAGAAGGAAGAGCCAGCCGCACCAGCCGCATGAGCATTTCCTTCCGTCGACAAGCACATACCTTCCATCATAAAATACGAGGCTCGGCCTCGCCCGAGCTCCACATTCACTCACACTCGATCCTTCCCCTTCTCCAAATGCATACAGAGTCTTATAAGCTCTGCACCCCTGTACTCTACCCGAACCCCCTGGGCGTTGTGTAATGATTTCGCTTCCCATTCTGACACTGTTGTTCCCTGACGCAACGCTCGCAAAAGGGGTAAAATGAATGACGATGCATAAAAGTACACGATGCGAAGTGCGCAACAATCCAAACAACAAGGAAGCACATCTCTAGATGCTTCTAACAACTCGTCTCACATAGAGTCCTTCCACCAATCCGCCTTGGCAGCCATCCTGGGTTTCAACCTCACAGTGCCCTGCAGTGCTCCTCCAGCCGCCGAACTCATGCTCCTCTTGTTCAACGCAGGCGAAGCAGCATCCACCGCCTCGCCGTCGGCAGGAGCCTTCCACACCTTGTTGCCCGCTGACCGCGACGCCAACCTCGCCACGGCCGCCGGCCCGCCGTGGCCCTTGGAGCGGAGTGTTTCGTCCCATTTCGACTTTTGACTGCGAAACACGGCCATGGTAGCACGTGCGTCTTCCACCGACGAATGCGACTCGCCTTCTAGCTGAATGTCGATGCCCAGCACCAGCTTGGCTAGCTTCTTCAAGCTCGGGTATTTGGTCTTGGCGAGATCGCGCAGTGGTTGGAACGTCGCCGTGTCTCGAATGAGCGGTCTAGGGTGCGAGAGCAGCAGCGCTTTCAGATCGTTCTGGATCGCGTGTCCCACCAGCACCTTGCCTTTGATCAGATTCGCCACCTCGCCTTGCACCTCGCTGAACGAAGGCGCATTCTTGAGGTCCTTGGGCCGAACGCCAGACACCCACGTTCGATAGTCGGTCACCTTCTCCTGCGGTCGAACGAAGCGATCCAGAATGGTGGCACCGTGAAAGTTGACAATCGAAACGCGTGCCAGGACGGATTCAGAGCCATTGACGCCTACACCCACCATCTCGCAGTCGATGGCGAGGTAGTTGCCGGGCTCCTTCTTGGCCGGATCCGCGTCGGCGGATACACCACCTAGAATGACACTCTTCTTGAGCTTGGCGTCCATGATCCCTTCCCACTGCCCACTGCGCGACATTTTGTCGGATGCACTTTGCCTGACGAGCTCCAGGTCTTGTGGCGAAATATCCTCGGCGAACCATGGTAATGAGGTGGGAGCAGGGCTGGAGGACTTGCTGCCTCCCGACTCTTCGTTTTCGATGACTGCATGTGTCTTTGTACGTTTCACCTTTGGTCGTGATGTGGACAGCTTCCGAGCGCCTTTTGCTGAAGACGAGGAAGAGGCAGAGGTGGATGCATCCGAGCCGAGCGTCTTCTTGAGAGCTTTCCAGTTGCTCCCTGCCCCGCCTGTACTAGTGGAAGCTGCTCGCTTCATGCCGAAAGGCGTGAGCTCGGAGCCGTATGCGATACGCGACTTGAATGTGGCTGTGAACGATGGAACTGCCAGTAGAGACCGTGAGGCAATCGGTGTACTTGATGCCGAGGATGCGGCAGGCCAGCTTAAGCTTAGGCTGAAGAAAAAAGAACGAAGGATGATTGAAATGATGACACTGGCCTTGATTGACCAGGACTGAAGGAATAGAGAGGGTGTATGTGACCTTCACGCGGCGAGGAGAACTAGCAGAGTGATGCTGATGGAGAGGTATGTTGTGGTGGTGGTGGCTGAACGGTGAAGGAGGAGGTCAAATTGTGGAGTCGTGCAAGAAGAAAAGTTCAAACCTAAACCAAAAAATCGGCCTGCACGACACAGGACCCTGAAAGAGTCATGCTGACGTATTCCACACTGGAATCTGGCGCCTCTCGCGGCTTTACGAGCCTTCGGGATCTTCTGAAAGACCGGTTGAGCACGGATAAGAATCACGACTAAGGTGCGGGGTAGCTTGCTTCCTGCTTGCTTGATCTCAAGCGACATCACATCACATCATCATCGTCATCGCGAGTCTGACTGCAACAAACATGAATGTAGCTCAACAGATCACACGTGTGACTGCTCGGTCGACACGAGCCAGCAACCGCTCGTTCCTTCCATCTCGCAGTCACTTCCATTCGACTTCCTCGGCAGCTGCCAAACCAAAGGTCCTTCTTTTGGACCAGATCAAGCTGGCGACTCCAGAACTCAAACAGCTATCGAACATAGCAGATGTGGTCGAATCAAACGCAAAGTCACGGCAGGAGCTCATCGACAAGTTCAAGAGCGGAGGCGAATACGCAAAAGTCGTAGGCATCTACCGCCATTTCGGAGGGGCTCGCTCCATCAAGGTCACCGGCCGCTTCGATCAGGAGCTCGTCTCTCAGCTTCCAGATTCCCTGCGCTATATTGTGCACAACGGTGCAGGCTACGATCAGCTAGACGTACAGGCCCTCTCAGACAAAGGCATCCAAGCGTCCAACGTGCCCACGGCCGTAGACGATGCCACCTCAGATGTTGCCCTCTACCTTCTTCTTGGCGCTCTCCGACGCTTTCCTCGGGCGAAGTCCCAGATGAATGAGGGCAAGTTCAACTCTGCCTTCTCTTTCTTGGACGCTAGGGACCCTCGAGGCAAGACGCTCGGCATCGTCGGTGCTGGTGGCATCGGTCGAGCATTTGCACACAAGGCCTCCCACGCTCTGGGTATGAAGATCGTCTATCACAATCGCAACCAGCTCGACTCAGACCTAGAATCGCAGGCAGCAAAGGGTGGTATGCAATACTTCAAAACGCTTGACGAGCTGCTCCAAATCTCCGACGTCGTCTCACTGCACTGTCCCTTCACACCGGCTACCAAGGGCCTCATCGGCAGAAAACAACTCGAAATCATGAAGAAGGACGCCATCCTCATCAACACTGCAAGAGGACCCGTGATCAAAGAGGAGGAGCTGGCCGAGGCCTTGGAGCAAGGCGTCATCGCCGGCGCTGGTCTCGATGTTTTCGAAGCAGAGCCCAAAATTCACGACCGTCTCTTTGCCCTCAAAGACTCCAAGGTCGAACTGCTTCCTCACGTCGGAACTCTGACTTTGGAAACACAAACCGAGATGGAAGCCGTGTGTTTGCGGAACCTCATCAAGGGCCTCGAGACCGGCAAGCTCGGCTTCACCGTGCCGGAGCAGAAGGGCGTTACTTTCAATTGAGGTTCGGTTTTGGCACCCGGCCTGTATCGTTCAACTAGTAGATGCAATTGCAATCAAATTTGGCAGCAACCAGTGGCGTAGCAACATGAGGATTGCCACCCTGTCGTGCAATGATTCGGACAGCACAGCGCCCCGCCGTTGCAGCAGAACGCCGTCGCCACGCTCCGTTTGCGGCGGGTCGCTGCAAGAGACGAGGCAATTGTCAACGGAGTCTGGCAGGCTTGCCGACTCCACCGAAGTCAAACACTGTTCCTGTCTATTCCTGTCCTCAAGACCAACAACACTACCATCAAGAGTCATTTGCTCAGAATGCTGTCTCGTCTTGTGCTGTTCGGCATCTACCTGCTTGCAAGCTGTTTGGTCCATGCTGTTCCCATGGATCAGCATGGAGCAGACGGTGATAGGCAGCGGAGCATCCCTGGCTGGTCTCTGAATCCTGCCTCGGCCGTTCAGAGTAGCAATTCTCCTCCTTCTGATCGGCAATGGTCCTCATCCCAGTGGCACCAGCCATCTTGGAGCAACCCTTCCCTCTCGCAGCCCCCTGTCACTGATGACTTCTCCTCTTCAACCGGTCGTCAGCTCGATGAACATGATTTCCATCTCTTGGACGCTATCCTCAATGACCTCGACACTCCCCAGGTGACGCCGAATGATTCTGAGGAGGAGTTCGTCAGCTCGTTGATGAACGACCCTGACCACGATCAAAGTGCAAGCTTCAACAGTGAATTGGGGACCCAGCATGACCTTCCCTCTTCATCGACAGCTTCAATCGGAGACGTACAGGCTGGAAACCGTCACAGCGGTTGGACGCCGCAACGTCCGCCGAGCATTATGTCACGGGAGCCCGAATCTTTCTCGAGCTTCCGCGATCTCAGGCCGGTTGGCTCTTCAGAACGCTCTCTTCGCCTCATACACGATCACGACGAGGTTCTCCGCCATCGAATCAATTCTGAGCTTTAAGCGGGCAAAATGCGGTGGGCATTGCCTCAAGAGATGGCCGCCCTCACGCGCAACCACTACCGCAACAGGTGGCCGGTCAAGCACATGCATCGTCAACTTCCTTTCGTCTCTGCCTTCGTCCATGACGGCTCCTCGATACCTGTGCTTATGACAGCGCACTGGCCGGTTCACTCCACTCAAATCGGGCCCCACAAAGTTCTGCGAGGTGAGACTTTCCAAGGTAAACCTCACTACTTCTTTTGGAGTGTATATGATACGCCTTCCCTCCGAGTAGTCTACAGCTACGGCGCGGGGCGGCTCGAACGAGCTGACTACAAGGCGGTAGATGATCACCTCAAGCCTCTGCTCGAAGCTGCCGACAGAATGGCTCTGCCACACGTCTAGGCCCTCGCCTGCAGAGCTCGTGTCTGGGGTGAAGCGAAGCAATGCTGATGATGAACAGCAGAAGTTGCGCGAGCAACTCCCTTGCCTCTTGCCGACCTCGCTCCGTCAATTCCTTTCTGCCCAACAGCGCAATCAAATTCATAATTGACATGTTGCAATCTTTGGGTACTTTGCGTTTGCGGGTACGAGCCTGATCCTGTTCTGCATCTAGCGTCTTGCTTACGATCTAGATGTTGTCCACCGGAGCCTACCTGAGCCAGAGCGAATCGGTTGGGATGCAGCGGATGCTTGTTCAGTGTTTGCAGCTGCGCGGCGATGCCCGCGAACTGCGTCTCGAAAGCCAAACGTTTTGAACGGAACGGCCTGCAGCTTGAGGATTGCATACCCTCAGAAGCTGTCTCCTTTCTCAACTGGCTCGTTCGCGTACCCACACTTCCTGAATCGCAAATGCATCAGCCGAACTCGCTTGAGGACAGCGCGGAAGACACCGAGGCTGTCTGCCAGAACGTAAGCACAGTCAAGGGGCGCCAATCTTCGTACTTCAATGACTAACGCGATCCTCATAAGCGCTCGAGGCAGGACCCGTACTTTCCGCTCTATCTTCTCCTCGATCAAAGACCTCGCCATGCTTCTTCTCCGTCACATACCTGCTGCGCACAACGGAAAGAAGGGCGAAAGGGCTCTTCGAAGCCTCCTGTTGGCCTTCGCCGTCTTGAGCGTTGTTGCTTGCGATGTCCTCGCCAGTCAGCACAACGCTGTGCGATTCCATCATGATCGACTAGGACGCGATCTAGCAATAATCCACCGAGCAGTGCTGCAGTCCTTTGACGCCGCTCCATCAAGTCCCGGTGCCGGCTTCGACATGAAAGAGTCCATCGAGAGCTTCAGCCCTCCACTTCAAGAAGCGCCAAAAACGCTCAGCATTCCAGATGCGCAACTTGACACCGATTCACCGTCATTCGGCGGGCAGCGAGAACCGGCTTTGGCTCAACACGCTTCTCCAAGCGACCTCCAAGTCGTGGGCAACGGTCTCACTGGACTCGCAGAGGCTGGCAAGAGCCTCCTCGACGGCATCGCGCACGTCCTTCAACAGAGTCAAAGCGCCTGGGCCAATCGCGAAAACGCAGCAAACCTAACGCGACGGCTCCAAGAGTCTCTTTCCTCTGGCTTTGGCGGCCAGCTACTCGCTCAGCCTTTCTCACTGAGCGCTAATACGACTATGCAGCCGGAAACCTCTGCAGATGCGATTCGGGCTAGAGCGGCCTCGTCTCAGGATGCCTGGTGGTTCGAGCTTATTGATCACAACGGGAACGCAACGTTCAATCCGGACCCCAAATCGTATCGTGTCTTCCGCAATGTCAAAGACTTCGGAGCCAAGGGCGAGTAAGTAACAGTTGCCGTTGCTCTTTGTTGAGGTCGCCCATGGAGGATCATCATGCTGACCCGCACGTTTGACTTGCACGAATCTTTCAGCGGTGTCACCGATGACACAAAGGCAATCAACCAGGCCATCAGCCAAGGCAATCGATGCGGCCAAGGCTGTGCGAGCTCGACGGTGTCTCCAGCTGTGGTCTACTTTCCACCCGGCACATATCTTGTTTCGTCTCCCATCATCTCGTACTACTACACACAGCTAGTTGGCAGCGCCACAGACAGACCCACTTTGCTGGCCGCCCCTAACTTCCAAGGTATCGCCGTGATCGATGAGGACCCTTACACTTCCGACGGCTCCAACTGGTACATCAACCAGAACAACTTCTTCCGTGCCGTCTTCAACTTCGAGATCGACCTCACACAGATGCCGCCTTCTTCGGGCACCGGCGTTCATCACCAGGTGAGCCAGGCGACCGGCCTCTTCAACATCCACTTTGAAATGCGGCAGGACGCCGGCAATGCTCAGCAGGGCATCTTCATGGAGAATGGCAGCGGTGGCTTCATGACCGACCTCTCCTTCCGCGGCGGCAGGTACGGCGCTTACCTCGGCAATCAGCAATTCACTTTCCGCAACAGCTCTTTCGAGAATTGCCAAACTGCCGTCACGCAAGCCTGGAGCTGGGGTTGGTCGTATCACGACATCAAGGTCAAGAACTGCTCGCTAGGCCTCGAGATGCGTTCCAGCCCGAACCCGCAATCCGGCACTCAAGGAGCCGCCTCCATCTTGGCCTATGATTGGAGCTTGAGCAATGTCGTTACCGCGTTCCATATCCTCACTCCTGACTCGGGGACCCTAATCTTGGACAACATCGCGATCAAGAACGTCCGTGCTGCTGTCACAACCGGTCAAGGTGTGACCTTGCTGGACGGGTGTGATGAACCCTCGGTGATCGAAAGCTGGGTGCAAGGCTTCGCAGCAGAAGGTCGCAAATCACTCCAGCAGGCACAGAGCGGCTCAGATCTGGAGATATACAGACCGGCAAGCCTGGTCGCATCGAACAAGCCTTCGCAACCGTGGTTCAGCCGCAGTCGACCTCAGTACAAATGGGCGAGCGTTTCCGACTTCGTCAACGTCAAAGAACTTGGCTGCGCTGGAGACGGAGTCACCGATGATTCGGCATCCCTCCAGGAGATTCTGGACGACGCAAGCGCTAGCGGCAAAATCGTCTACGTTCCCCACGGCACGTATTACCTCGAGTCGACGGTAACCTTCCCACCTGGAACCAGAATTGTGGGACAAGTCTGGCCAGTCTTGATGGGAGGCGGTGCGCTTTACCAGAATGCAAGTGATCCTCAGCCGGTCGTGCGGATCGGTCAGCGAGGAGATTCTGGCGTCATGGAGATCTCCGACATCATATTTTCAACCAGAGGCCCGGCTCCTGGTGCCATCGTAGTCGAGTGGAACATTCGCGAGCAGGAAGGCATGCAAGGCTCTGCTGCCATCTGGGACAGTCATATCCGACTTGGTGGGTTCGCAGGCACCCATCTCGAGGCGGACAAATGCGCTCGAGAATTGCCGCTGAAGGAGGGCTGTCGCGCCAGCTTCCTCGGTCTCCATCTGACCACGGACTCGAGCGCCTACATCGAAAACGTGTGGGTCTGGACAGCAGACCACGATCTCGATTACGGCAATCGCGCCCAAGTCAACATCCTCTCTGGTCGCGGCATACTCATCGAATCGTGCGAGGGCCCCGTATGGATGTACGGCGGCGCTTCGGAGCATGCCATCCTCTACCAGTACAACATTGTTGGAGCGAGCAACATCTTCATCTCTCTCGCTCAGACCGAGACAGCCTACTTTCAAGGCGCGGGTCGAGCTGTCGCCAGTGCGCTCGAGCCGCTGTCCCTCGAGAAGTATCGCGATCCCAATCTGGATGCTTCGTCCAAAGACTCGCCGACGTCGCCCTTCCAGAACTGCGCCGACCCGTATGAAAATCGTGGTCTTGGCATGCGCATCGCCGACAGCACCAACGTCTTCGTCTATGGTGCGGGTCTCTACTCGTTCTTCGACAACTACGATCAGAGTCGTGTCACAGCTCGGCGCTCACAAAAGAGGATCCTGTGGCTCGAGGACCTGGATGACGATGCCAATGTGTGGGTGCTCAATCTCAACACGGTCGGCGTTGATAAGATGGTCACTGTCGACGATGAGGACGTCGTCGACGAGGGCGTCCTCCGTAACGGGTTTGGCAACACGCTGGCGGTGTGGTCTTCTCAGCTCTAGTGTCGGCGGCAGGATCACTTTACACTGTCGCTCATCATCACCATGTCATCGTTCCAATTGAACGTCTTCCCGACTGCTGCCCTTGCTCTGTCTGATGTCACCACGTGTTGAGCTGTCTTGGCGCGATAAGGACAGGCTTCATGTCGAGCCCAAGGTCTAGCCCTCGCTGGAGCGCCGTATGCTACCTTCGCTTTGTGAACGACCTCAAAACCGGTCCATCGACGCTTTCTGATCCAGCGTGGTGGCTCCCACCTCGATCACTTGAAGCTTGAGAGCGATCAGCGTCGACGCATCGTCGCATGCACCAAGGTCATTTCGAAAGCTCAAAAGAAACGATTTCTGAACGACAAATCGCATCGGACAATCATCAGCGCAGCTTTTTGTCAGCTACAAGGGCGCAAGGTAAAAACTGTGTGAAACGTCTAAATGCTAATGTGATTGACGTTGAAAATAGATTCGAAACAGCTTTTGCAATTTAGAAACAAACAAAAAGCGTTTTTGCGCCTAAAAGAATACGAATGACTGACTCGCCTGGTACCACACTTGCCGAAATCAGTAAGTGACCGCGATACGCGTACGCCTGCTCTCTGCTGCTTGTAAAATACCCAGGTACTGCAAAATATCGAGCAGGAACGCGCTCGTAGCGTCGTTGCGATCTGACCCGCAAATGGGCCGCCATGTGTAATCATTGGCAAAGCCATAGTCCACAGAATTTGCATCAATTGACGCAATTTCCAGTCTGATGAATGAAAATTGGGGACGAAACAGCCCGCATAAGTTGTTTAGGTGTGTTTTTTTTTTGAAAATTTATTGTGTCGTCTCAATGGCTAGACGTTTCGTGTTCGGACATTTACAACACCGTGGGTTGCGGTCTAGCATGCAAAATACTAATGACGGCAATAAAGACGCTAAACAAAGCCGAATTGGTCGATCCGAGAGGTGTCGAATCGACGATGCTCGAGACGTTGGACCCAAGCCAAACATGATCGAAGCGCCCCAGACTTTAGGGCGGGCCCCAGAGTTTAAGGGCGGGCCATTGACGATGAGTCCTGTACATGCCATCATACCTGCGTTCAGAAGATGCCCGTATAGGTCGGCGCTTATGTGGTGAAAGCAAGACTGGATCTCGAGATGAAACGGGGGTGTTCGCTCGAAGAGGCTCCCGTCATCGAGAGAGCTACCTTTCTGAACAGGTGAAGACCGGGCATGGAGAGGGAAGGACCAAGCCGCACGCGGAACTCATGGAGCGAGAGTGTTCTCGGATCCTGAAAATGCCACGCGCGCCCTCATGCTGTGGAGCCGTCCCGATCATACGACCTGAGTCCACGCGATCTCATACGCCAAGACACCGGACGAAAGGACGCAGACCGAAGAGCCGGGTCACAGCGAGCGAGTCTTAGCGTGCGAAGTCGAGATCCGGGAAGCAGGAACCCGCTCTGACCTCAGTGCAAAACACCGGACGCGAAAGAAGAAGGATGCACGTCACATGTCGGCGACCTCCACGTCGGAATCGCGCTTTGAAAATGAAGTCAGTGCACAGTCAGCCTGCTTTGGAATGAAGGGCGGGGGATCTTAGGTTCTGCCTCATCGCCGAAGCTCGTCTCTCTTCCTGACCACACTCACGCACACACACCATCACGACGCCGAGTCTTTGCTGATCTCTCGTCAGCTTCATCCATCGGAACCGCCTTGCAACGAAGGAAGGGCATCGCACCGCAGCCGAATCGCAATCGTAGCACGGACCATGGCTGCTCGCGAGAAGTGAGTGTTCTCCTTTGCAGCTCTTCCAATATGCTCGTCCCTGACACAGCTTCTGACTCCCTTGCTTCGCAACACATCCATCAGAAGATCAGCTGATGCTGAGTCCGTCCCGGTCACCGTTGCGGATGGCATCCACACTCATGGCGTAAATATACAGGCTCGTCCGACCACGGTTCAGCTCGGGACAACAACGCTGACGAAGAAGCGATCACAATTCGCTGCTGTCTCCTTCTCGCCATCCAGGTCTTGAACCAACATCCAAAACTGTCTTCGACGAGCGGAACTGATTCGTCCGCCAAGAGCGCCAGCAATGGATCGAGCTCCGACCTCGCCTTCCGAGTTGGCATCTCGGAAGATTCGAATAAGAAATGGCGACGAGCGATGGAAGACGCACACGCTTTCATCTACGATTTTGGTGATGTTCACGGGCAAGGCTTCTTCGGCATCTTTGACGGGCACGCAGGCAAAGACGCTGCCGAATGGTGCGGCCAAAACTTCCATCAGGTAAGATAGATACATGGTCACTCACCCTTGGACAGATTCTGATCGGAGTTGCATCGGCGTTGCACCGCATTGAACAGTACCTTCTCAAGACGCTCGATAAGAATGAAGGCAAACCCGTCCCAGACATTCTCAACATCACATTTCACAGTGTCGACAGGGAGCTTGCGAACCTCGCAAGTCAGAAAGGCTCCTCCAGCGGGTGCACCGCAGCGGTAGCATTCCTGCGACTGGAGGACGATTCGGGGCAAGCCCTGAAGCCCGGCGAGGAGGACAGGGAAGGATCGACTAAGGACGCAGACGGAGTAGCGACAGCTGGAGAGCAATCAACCGAGCGCGGCTCTGGCGATGGCATCTGGGGCAAGCTATCAAAACGCTTCGACTCGTCTGACTCCAAGAGCAAGGGCAAGCAGTCGTCATCCCCCAGAAGGGTCCTTTACACAGCCAACGTCGGAGATGCAAGAGCGGTGCTTTGGTAGGTAGACACAGCGAACCCGGTCCGAGTGAATCGGTAGGGCAAACCCACTGACACTCGATCATTTGCGTCCTGCCACACTTCGATCTGTGTGACAGTCGCGGAGGCAAGGCCGTGCGACTCACGTACGACCACAAAGGCTCCGATGCACAGGAGGCGAAGCGAATCACGGACGCTGGCGGCTTCGTCATGAACGCCCGAGTTAACGGCGTGCTTGCAGTCACACGATCGCTCGGCGACTCGGCGATGAAGGAATTTGTGGTCGGCTCGCCATACACCACCGAGACTGTACTCAGCAGCGAAGACAGCTTCCTCATCATCGCCTGCGACGGAGTAAGTATCGACAAGCCGAAGACTGTCACATGCGCTCAAGCTGACCCTAGCTCTCCTCCTTCCCATCCGACACAGCTCTGGGACGTGATCGAGGACCAAGAAGCCGTCAATCTGATCCGCGACGAGCAAGACCCACAAGCTGCCTCGCAGAAACTACTGGAGCACGCGCTCAACGAGTTCAGCACGGACAACACTTCTGTCATGGTAGTCCGCTTCTCATCATCGTGATGAACCGGCTGTTTCCCCAATTTCATTCCATGCCCGAGCAATCGCCTCGCCGTTCGCAAAGTGAGAGCAGCATGTGTACAGATTTCGTCTCGAAGACTCGTCCGTTGCTCTGGAAACTGTAGCTTCAGCCTGCTGTGTTCTCTCAGACGCCAGCGCGACGGCACAAAGGGATCGAGTCTTGCGACACCTGATTCAGAGGGGCACAACAACCGGCAGTTTCACATCTCGGACACGGCAGAAAGTTTCCAGAAAGAATCGCTGATCGTGGACATTGGGAAGGAGAACAAAAATACATGAACAGGTCAACGCAAAGCACGCAGCCTTCGAGACGCAACATGAACGTGAGTCTATGCGCGCGCTGAAGCTGGTGAATACGAGTGAGCGTGTGGAGTTGGACCGCGAACGAAGGTGCGACACCGGTATTCAGGGCGCTTGGAAGTCGACTACAACATTACAGAGGGACAGGAGACCGTGGTATATGAATCGCCATTCGGCTCGTCGAGTCGGGTGGGCTGGGGGACGGTACAGCGATTGGCCGATTAGGACTCGAGACCGTTGCTGCTCTCGTACTCGCGACGCAAACGCTCGTAACGAGCCTTGTCAGCTTCGGCACGATCCAAGTACGGCTGCTTCTCGGTCTCGCTGAGACTGCGCCACTTGGCGGCAGCAAGGACGCTCTGCTTGGTGGTCTCCTGCTCGCCCTCAAATACCGCCTGCGTCATGTTGGGGTCGGCGCGGATGGCTCGAAGGAACAAGAAGTAGGCCGAAAGAGGCTTCTTAGGAGCGTTAGGGTCCTTGAGGTTACCCTTCCTCGACTTGCCGGCCTTCCTCTGCGCCGATCGGTAGAGGTTCTCTTGACGAATGTCCTCCGGCGTGAGCTTGGACTTCCAGTCAGCCATCTCCTGCTCCCACTGCTCCTTGGCTTCAAGACTGCGGCGATGGAACTCCTGCTTCTTGGACTCGGGGAGAGCGGCGTAGCGTTGACCGGCATCCTTGGCGACGTGAGCCACATTGAGACGCTCGTCCGGACTTTGCGCCTTGATCTTTTGAAGCTCTTCGGTGAAGAAGATTTGCCACGCCGAGGGAGCCTGCTTGGGAGGCTTCAGACGCGACTTGAGGGTCGAAGGCTTGGGTGGCTCCTCGCTCTTCTTCTGCTTCTTGGTCGGCTTGGCCTCGGCGGCTGGCTCGGGTTGAGCGTAGGGGTGAGCTTTCGACTTGGCCTTGGGCGCGTCAGCGCTGGCACCCTTCTTGCCGGCCTTACCCTTGGGCTCAGCGGCAGCCTTGACAGGCGCAGCAGCCGCAGCCGCGGCGGCAGCGGCGGCGGCCTTCTTGTCAACCTTGGGGGCCTTGGGAGCTTTGGGAGCCTTGGCAGTCTTTCCGCCCTTGGTCGCAGCCGGAGCACCAGCGGCGGCAGCAGGCGCAGCAGCAGCATTCGCCGAAGGGGGAGCACCAGCCTGGCTGGGAGAGATGCTTTGGAGGTTCTGAGGCTGGAAGTACTGTTGGTAGTGCGACTGCTGACCAAAGCCGTGGTGGCCGAAGTCACCGCCAGAAGAGCCTCCACCGGGAGCACCCATCATGGGGTTGGAGCCGGCGCCACCGACCATGCCGCCCATGCCGCCATGAGCAGCCTGGCCGGGGACATGTGAGTAGTGCTGCTGAGGCGATGAGTGGTGGACACCGTAGCCGTACATGGACATATGACCGGTGTTCTGCCCACCAGAGAGGTGAGCGTGCGATGGGTTGGGCGAATGCTGAGGGTACGACAGCTGGGAGGGCATAGCGTGCGACTGGCCGTAGCCGTAAGCGTGGTGGCCCATGCCTCCGTGACCGCCGTTGCTTTGGCCGGCGCCAAGCGGGGGCAGCTGCATGCCTCCGTAGTGAGACTGCTGATTGTTGTTGTCCATGCCGATGTTGCGAGAGTGCTGTCACGATGTTGCGAAGAAAGACGCAAGGTCAGCAAACGGATCTGAATAGGAAAGCATCGCAGGCGGCGCACGAAGTGCGCCGACTTGCTCGTACAAGAGCGACTCGAAGACATACCATGGCTGCGGGGTTGAAGTATTGGCCTCCTGACACGTCGTCGGAGCCTGCGTGACCGTGATGTTGATGACTGTGGTGGCCGAGTTGATCAGATGGTTGCATCCTTCGGGCCTGAGCTTGAGCGGCCGCTTCTTGCGGCGATACGAGGTGCTGTGAGTTCATGGAAGACCAGCACGTCAGAAAATGGGTCTCGTCGCGAAGCGTCGCGTATCACTTCAATGCGCAACTGGGATCGCGAAGGGCAAGCAAGACAGAGAACCACGTGGGCGATGACGGCGCGTCACGAGACAACGTCAAGGGTATGCAGGCGAGATGAAGGCGACAAGAAGGCTGTCAGCAACGCGTCTCAGGTGGCGTAGGAAACGCGTCCAGGGCAGCGGGTCACTTACACGCGTCTGAAGTGAGATGCGGGCGACGACGGCGCGAGAGCGATGGCGATGCGTTCAAGTGGCGGAGGGGACAGCCACTGAATCAAAGAATGCGGCGACAAACACGAACCAAGTTAGAGACGAGGTCGAAGGGAGCGTATATGGACCCGAAGGTGGACGGGCCGAAAACGAAAGTCGGTACCAAAACCCGGGAAGGGGGAGGGAGAAGATGAAAGATGAAGGAGAGTGGGTGGAGGAGGAGAAGAAGCGGATGGATGCACGTCGCGGCGCGGTGTGGTGTAAACTGTGATGGACAGCCGATTGGGGGAAAATGACGGGCAGCGCGGGGTTTGTGGCAGAAATGAAGGGACGGATGGATGGATGGGAAATGAGACGCGACAAGATGACGGCACCAGAGCAGTGTCTGCATCTGTTCTGGTTCTCTGGCGCGGCGGAATAGCGCGACGAGATCGGATCCGCGCAACTCGATCGCTGATTTACGATCAGAAAGGTCGAGAAGCGAGCTGGATCTGTTAGATCAAGCAAGAAGAGTGCGGAGGGTCTCGTCACAACTGAGCCATCCGCTCGTCCATTCGCGATGAGGCTGTCTGCTTCGACCGAAGGACGTAGGATCAAGCACCGTCAATCCGGATGAAGTCCCGTGCAGGTGTTGATCTGCAAGGGTCTCGGACATAGGCGGCCTCCTCTTTGAGGTTGAGTCAAGAGGGAGGAAGTGCAGCGGCGGAGGACAAGAGCAGAGGCGCTGATGACGAACACAGAGATTGCGAGGAACAATGATGGCGAGCTGTCAAACCACCACGGCACATCACATCGCTTGCAGCCACAGCCGAAGTGAAGAGCTGCCTCGCGACGACGTGCAGGATGCCACATGGAGGAGCCAGGAGACGAGGCGAGATGAGGAAGGCACAGGGACAGAGTGAGGGCAAGGAGCGCCCACAGACAGAGAGTGTGGTGACAACAGCGACGACATGAAAGGGAAGAGGGCGGGTAGAGTGGCTGCGTCGGCATAAGACGAGCCAGTGGGAACGACGAACAAGCAGGCTCGGGAAGAGGATCTCCTGTCAAAAAAGGGGGCCAAGGCACTTACCGACGACGAGCGACAAACGATGAAGGAGGGAACAGCTTTGGTGGGTCCAAATGCTGTTGTGCTGCGTGATTGTGAAGAGTAAGGCGGAGGGGAAAGGCGAGCTAAGGTGAAGTGTGATGGTTCTGAGGCAGAATGCAAGGGTCGAGTAACCGCCTCTTTGTGTGCGAAAAGCAAACCAGCGCGCAGATGACGGACAAAGTGCGAGGCACCAGCAGATGAACTGAGGGGCAAAATCGAAACACGAGATGAAGTTTCCAATCAGATGCGTGCGTGGGTGGGTGTGCCGCGCCGGACAGCCACAAGCACAGACGAGAGGGGAAGGAGTCGCGAGAGGCTGAGGCTGCAGCTCAGTCTGTTGTGGTCTAAGTGGGCGGACGGCAGAGCCAGTTAGAACTGAGCCGAGGACATGCTGACTGTAAGAACAGGGGCGGGCCGTGCCTGCAACTGAAAAGGCGTGAAAAATAGAATTTCGCTTGAGCGTGGCAGACAGCGTAGCACAACTCGAGCCGTTGAACCCCTCCCGTTCGCTCGCTGGCACAAATCCGCGACAGAAAAAGCTGAAGAGAAGGAACGAGGCCAGACCTCTACCGCTCGAGATCTGCATCTTGACAATTTGCCGTCTGCGATAAGTGACTCAAGGCACACCACCTCTGGCTCTGATCCCCTTAACGAGCTGCAAGGCAGCCATTTTGATGAATTGCGTCGCCTGAGCGAGACAAAGCATGAGACTATCGTCGGCCATGTGTGCCGCTCCTGAGCGTGGACTCATCTACCGTGAAAGCGACAGTCACGGTTCGCGTGCTTCCACCGGGCCTCTCGAGGCCGTCTGCCAGCCGATCTGAAACCATCGATATGTCCTGGCAAGTCCACCTTGCGGTTGGCTGTGAGTGGCAGTCTCGGATCGCACGACCGAGTTCCACGCTCCAAAGTTTTCGTAGCCGTGGTAGTCTTGCTCGGATAGAATGACAAGCTTTAGAAGGCCCGACTCACGCTTCTCTCCGAAGGCTTGATAGACCGCTAGCACCTCTTGCTGGTGGGTCGGCCTTAGCGGGACCATGACGTGCAGCAGAGGCGAGTTGCTGTCGGCAGTATCAGGCCTCCTCAGCAGCTTTTCTGCCACCGAACGGATCCAGAGAGGATGGACGGGATCGTACACGCAGTCTGGCGGTGTGCATGAAGTGTAAAGTGGTCAGTCAACAGAGGCTGAAACAGCGTTGTCCGAGAGCAGTATGCAAGGCTCTTTGTACGTACCTGCTGCGACGAGGATATCGAAAGACCCTGTATGAGATTCGACATCAAGTCTACTGGCCCAATCAGCCTCGTTTGTTGTGGTCAGATGGCTAGGCAAGGTCTGAGAGGTCAAGTCGCGAGCTTGGCTGGTCTCTTGCGTGCACAGCTCTCGATGCACACTTTGCCAATCTAGACAGCGCGACACGACCGAAACGGGCGCTGACGAATCAGATGTCGTCACCGACGGTCGTGAAGCTAATGATGACCAGCCGTTCAAGCTGATGTTGTGCGCCAAGTTCTCGAGCACGGTGGGATGATAATCGGTGCAGACGACTTGCGTCCGGTGATGAGACCGATAGCGACGGGACCAGGATGCCAGGGCGAGACCGACGAGACCGGTCCCAGCACCAAGCTCGAGGATTCTGAGATCTCGACCATTGCTAGCTTCAAGGGGCAGGAGAAGCTGCGAAAGAAGAGGAGCAGCACCCCAGGTATGAGTGCCAAGAGAGTCGTGGATCAAGGCACCATCTCTCAGTTTGACGGTAAGGGTGCCATCATCGAGCTGGAAGATGTGATCCTGTACAGACGCACCGGCGGCCATCCTGCCAGCGGCGAGCGCGATGAGCTCAGCGCATTGCTCCGACAGCCTCTCGGCCTGTGCTGCTGCTTCGTCATCGTCATCGTCGTCCGAGCAAATCAGGCTCAACTCGGAGATGAGCCGGGTAAGCCATCTCGTTACGTAGCTTCGTTCGAAGGAGTCGACCTCGCCCGGCGGATGCTCGAAGGCAGGCTCGTTAGCCTGGATGGCCTCATCGATCTTCTGTGCGAGCTGCGGAGGCGCATGAGTGATGAATCCCCCACTCGCGCCAAGGAGGCGAGCCAAGCTCTCGAGATTGTCGCGGACGCTATCTAAGCATTCGGACGACGAAAGGTCGAGCGTCCTCAAGTCTCGAAGGTCGCGACTCGGAAGGAAAGCTGACGCACCCGACATCCAGTCCCACTGGGCCGCAGTAGGTGGACTAGAAGAATCACAATGTGGGCAGAGTTAAAGAGTCCACGGTGATGTTGAGCCTTCGGGTTGGTCTGTGAGAGCCTTTGGGTGGCTCGTCTGACTTGAGAAGAAAACTCGAGGAGTGGGTTGGACCCTGGATTGTGAAGCCTGGTCTGAGACCAAACAACAGGATGGCTCTTCGAAATTACGCAGCGGTGCAGAAACAATGGTACAGATCCAGCTTTAGCTCTAACAAAAAGCCAATTTTTTTGCGAGCATGGTGACTCTTTTCGAGACTCGAGAAGATGCCGGCCAAGCCATGTTTCGGAAAAGGTGGATCCAAGAGAGGAATTTCGCTACCGTGGATTTGGCCTGCCTCGCTTCGTGGCGAATTTCCATGGAGCAAACACGGTCGATCTGAAGTTGAGTGATTGCGTCTATGTTAGCCGCTGGCTGCTGCAGAGAGCACACACCTTTTTCGCTTCATCTTTTTGGCCTGTCACTCACATATCGACACAGCCTCGCCAAATCGCGAAAATCGATTTGTGGAACCTCAAAGCTGACAACAACCTGAATTTCCTCAACATGATGTCAGTGCCGAAGAGTCGATCCTCTCTTTCTCCTCTTAGCCGGCCCGCGAGAAAGCAAGCAGGACGGCTCCCTTCCTGGTCAAGTTGAACGCGCGGGTCCCCCTTGTCTCCAGCCGTGCGCCTTTGCGATTCATCGATCTCAGCAGTCGAGTGGTGAGAGAACATGCGGGTCTGAAACATTCAAGGTAGGACCGTCGCCTTGGAAGGTAGAGCTGCTTGGCCAAATTTTCAGATGGCTTGGCGATCATGGAAGGCGGGGCCGCTCTTGCTCCTCGGACGTCCTGAGAGGCTGCGCGCGTGCAGGTGTGAGTGCCGTGTGGTGCGCGCAAGCTGAGGGTTTCTCTCTCTTGTTGAGGTTAACGAAGCGGCTTCCAGAATCGAGTCTGATCATCGTTGATCTGGGGGCCTCTTTTTTTCTCGCTTGTCAAGAAGGGCTCTCGAGAGGATTGACCCTCGATCGAGGCGACCGCACCCTGCTCGTTGCTGACCTGGTTGCACTTCCTCTATGCAATATTGCAGCTCCGACGGCTCAAACGTTCCACACCCAGGCTTGAGGTCACCCAGTGAGCCGCCCTCGCCCGCGAACCGTGCGGATTTCGCAAATCCTCAGATCCGCACCTTGCGCGAGTGCAGCTGAGTGCTGGGCGGATCTCCTGGCTGCCAAGTTTCGTGGATCACTCCTCCGCTCGCTCGATCCTTTCTTGAGCTTCCACCATCCTTCTCGCGTTTCGGCATCCAACGGTTCCAACGACCAACGCTTTCCTGAGTGCCAAGGGCGCAAGGCATCGTCGGGTCTAGCTTCCTAAAGCTTGGGTTCCCCTGCTCGCACTTCAGCCCTCCCTGGCACCTTGCGACAGACACACACCTCGGCGGCTAGCTTGCTTGCTTGAACGATCCCAGCATCACCATGGTGTCAAAGCTTTAATCGGCATCAGCGATCATTCAGACTCTGCAGCAAGACCATCTCGCCGCGCCCGGCTTGTTGCTACCAACATGTCGCAACCGAACACAGCCGCCATCGCGGTCGCCGCCATTTTCGGCGGCATCGCCCTAGTCTTCGCGTCATATAAAGCATATCGCAAGATCTGGCACTGCATGCACCGCTCAGAAGAGCTGCCTCCCCTCTCGCAGCCTCCCACCACGACGTACCATGGAGGCGTCGTCACAAATACAGTGTCCGACATGCCAACAAGCAGGTCGATCAACAGGAGCGCCGGCTCTACCGACTACCTCATAACATCGTCAGCGTCCACGTCTACGTGGCATCAGGCAGATGGTCTAGGCTCCACTTCCACCAGCGAAATGCCCTCTCCGAACATGCAGGCTCTCGACTCTGTGGTGCTGTCGACGCCTTCCGAGATCTACGACCCCAGCCGGCCAGGCGCTTCCGTCATTTCGAGCTCCTCCTCCACCATGACGATCAAGCGCTCGTACCTGAGATCGCCTTCGACTTCGCAAATCTCCTACATGTCGAATCCGAGCCGGCGAGAGTCGTATCTGCCTCATTCACCGCACAACCGAGACATGATTCAGATCGTTCCGCCGCAACCGCTCGGATTCGGCGGCCGAATGGCCATGGCTAGCGACCAGAAGACGCTGGCTTTCAGCGAAGACAGCGGAATTGGGCTCTCGGAAGACTTCACGAGCGGCTTGATTTGGACGGAGCGCAATCCACATCGGCCTCACTTGGCACAGCAGGAGAGGAAGAGATATCTCATGGAAGGGCCTGTGTCCTCGCGCAGCAGCGAAGCACCTAGCCCGTTGACAACATCGCGCAGCGGTTCCTCGCCAGGAGGGGGTGTACTGGATTCACAGAGCGAAAGCGACCGGCCTTATGCCGCTGCGGAGGCATCACCAGAACAGCCGACGTTGCATTCGGGCAGCGTACAACCACTTGCACGTCGAGCATCCGCCATCCACCCCCAAGTGCTGGGCGCACAGGACAGTCCGCTTCAGAGGCTGCAAAGCAACGCAGGCCAAGCTCGTCCCTCTCCACAGACCCGCTTGCCATCCGACGACAACAGCCACCGATCCGACTCGGACGCCTCTCCCATCCTCAGGCCATTTGTGTCGCAATCGAGCCCCCCCAGCACGGGTGACGGGGCTGCCGCTTCGAGTTCTGACGTTTCGAGCGTTGCGGCGACTTCTCCTCCTCAATAGACGCCTTTCATTCACAGCATGTCGCAGCATCCATACTCTTAAACGAACATTATCTCCTTCTTGGTGTTGTCGTTTCGCGATTGAGTTGAGAGACCCAATGAGTGGTAACTGACAGCACAAACACGATCCACGTCCAAGGTCACAGGTGCATTGTTGACCATGATACGCCAAGATAAAGCCAAGAGAGGGTTCAAGCTGTTTCCACAATGGCGACGCCAATTGACGAAAATGGTAAAGACTGGAACAGCAAAAAAGGAAACACGACCCCTGGCGGGCTCGAACCGCCGACCTCAGCATTAACAGTGCTACGCTCTAACCAACTGAGCTAAGGAGCCATATGCTTGCCATCAATCGAAGAGGTGTGCATATATATACAGTGCAAGCACTTGCTCTCACCTTGTGACCGACAATCTACCTTCGCCTCGTTCACACTTCAGACAATCCGGCTTGTGTTGAAGCACGAGGCCTGGCTACGACTCTGGTCAGCATCTGCACAGTCTTGGCGAAGGGCGCGAGCGAGTAATTACAGTGTTGCGCGAGTAGCGAGAGGCACGAGGGAGATTCTGGTAAAGTGCGAGTCGCTACGAAGAAGTCTATGTAATTCGAGCTAAGCGGTGGTGGTACCGTTACCAGCAGCGACAGGAGCAGCGGCTGGGGCGCCAGCGGTTCCATCACGTTCGTGCTGTTCCCTCTTCTGCTTCTCTTCCGCCCGGACTTTCTCGATGATCTGGCGACCTTCGTCAGTGTTCCAGGGCCCGGCATCAGAGAGCGAGCAACCACCCGGACACTGGCACTTGCCGCCAAGCTCGACAGGCAGATTTTCGGCAGGAATCTGCTGGAGAAGCTCGTCTTGATACTTGTGACCGAGGATCTTGATCTTTTCGACGGTGACAGGGTCGAGCCAGCCCTTGATGACCGACCAGACGGTGGTAAAGATGTAAGGAGAGTTGATGATGTAGAATTTACCCATGGTCTCCGGGTAGTAATGCTGACCGATGTTGGAGGCTTGCTGAACGTAGCCCGACACTTTCCAGAATTGGGAGATGCCGACGTTCTTCAGGTCCATGATGGTGCAGGAAGTCTCGACGAGTTCGCCTCGGTGAGTCGAGCACACGGGAAGGCGTTCGCGCTGGAACTTTTCGTATTCGACAACGAGCTTCTGGATCTGGCGTTCGGGGGTGGTGACTTGGTAGAGGGCTTTGAGGTCAAGCTTGCCAAGCTGCTCAATGTAGATGGGTCGACCGTCCTTGTCGGTCTTGTGGTAGTACTGAGGGTAGTACTGGTCGACCTTCTCCTTCTCGGGGTACTCGAAAGAGTGGTAGAGCTCCTCGACGTTGAACTCGGTCCTCCACTTTTCAGCCTCGGTGAACATAGCCTCGGTCAGAGCGAGATCCCACTTGCGGGCGCGCAAGAAGCGGCAGAGGCAAGCATCATCGTGTCGTTCCGGGTTGAAGATGCCCTTCTGCTGGATGTTGGCGCGGAAGGTATCGAGCGCTTCCTGCTGCGAGGCGTCGAGGTTGCCTGGGCGACCGCTCTTTGCTGCGTCGGTCATTGGTGGGTCTGTCTTTGAGGTCTTCTTGCTTCCCTTGGAGGTGTCTTTGTCGTGTTTGCGAAACATTCGTTTCTGTGCAAGTGGAACGACGACTGCCGATGCGCCGAGAGAGAGCCAAGGTCAGGTAGGTGGAAGAAAAATGCAAGAAAGGCCCGTTGGACGCGGATCTAGAGCTGCGCAAGAAGGAAGTGCGGATGCAACGTCAAGAGCTAAGTAGTGGTAAGGAAGCAGCAAGCTCTTGTAAGGTAGGTGCAGAACGACGAGACGGTGGATGTGAGACGATTGAAGGATCGGTTGGAGATGTCGTCCTTGGTTGAGTGACAGACGCTGCTTGCTGCGCGTGCGTGTGTGTGTTCGTGCGGTATGTTAATTTGTTGACCTTTTTGGGCTTAGATTTAGTGCGATTTTTGTCATGCATAAGGGTGACATCAAGCTGCGACGACAAGCGTGTGATGCATCCGTGCTTTGGGCGAGGCGAGGCGACAGGAGCGAAAAACAGAGGGTCGAAGCGCAAGCTTTGGCGATCGGGCCATTGAAACAAGGAAGGTATCGAGATACGTCACGTGTTGCGCAGTGAGCACCAAGGGTTCAGAAGAAGTGGAAGTGCTTATTCGCTACTTCCTGCATGATACCCTCTCACCTTCACTGAGCTCATCACCACCGCAATACGAAAGCCACGATGAACATTCGCGAGGCGACGGTATGTGCCCGGACACTCACATACAGTTGTCCAACGCCGAACAACATGCTGATCACACACTCTGCCACGACTTGTATTCGCAACAGATCGACGACCTGCTGGGCATGCAGAATTGCAACCTGCACAACCTTCCCGAAAACTACACATTACGATACTACCTCTATCATGCGCTGACATGGCCACAGCTCTCGTACGTGGCTGAAGATGAAAAGGGAAGGATCGTCGGATACATCCTTGGCAAGATGGAAGAAGAACCAGCCGATGGAATCGCGCACGGACACGTCACCAGCATCAGTGTGCTCCGCTCGTATCGTCGACTTGGTCTCGCCAACAAGCTCATGAAGCAGAGTCGTGAGTTTTCTTTCTACTTGGGAGAAGGCAAGATCCTGCAGTGTACTGACGCATTGATGGATCCGGTCTTTCTCGTATTGTTCCTGCTCGTGACTTGCTCGCAGAGGAAGCTATGCGAGACGTCTTTGGCGCAAAGTTCGTCTCGCTACATGTCAGGCAGACGAACCGAGCGGCTATTGGCTTGTATCGCGACACACTCGGATTCGAGGTCCACGGCGTCGAGAAGGGCTACTACGCTGACGGCGAGGATGCCTTGCACATGCGACTCAACTTTTGACCAAACGTTGTTGGTGTCTCTAGATCCCTCGCTAGGACTTCTTGCCGCACCGGCTTGTTGTCACCCGTCAATGTATTTGTATCTCACAGCATACCACAGCATATATTGTCTCCTACTCACATTGTTTGACGAGACATAGCACAATCTGGCCTTCTCCCAAGCGTCTGAACCATACTGCTGAATCTCTATGGCTGCATCCGTCGTTGTCATCTTTGCTCACACATGGACTGAAGGTGATCAATACCAGGGCTCCAGTCAAGGACCATACGGCGAACGTCTTTCAGGTGGAGGATGCGTGATTTTACGGACTCGAAATCACCGGTGTGTCGCGCGCTGACTTGGCTTTGTCCTTGCGCTCGGGTCACACCCAACTCAGCAGGATGTGACTACCCACATCTATCTTAATACTTTCACCTTATCACTCAGACACGACTCAGCCATCGGGTTCAGCGGACGTAAGCACAGCTCCTTCGACGCTGGAAGAGACGACGATGAAAGCCGTCGTGCAACCAAGTCGCTAGCGTCCATGGCATTCGATTGATGCAAAGGGGCCAAGTCCTCTCAATGGCAGCGCAGAATGCTTCCTTCGGACAGAGCGACGCAAGATGATACCACTTCGAGCTCGACATGGTCCCGAGATCCAGCGCTCGCCAGTCCGCTCAATGCTCTGCCGCCTCGATACGACACACACCAGTTCCCTCCTACACCTCCGGCGCTGTACAGCGCTCGACTCAACGGTGGGTCTTACTTTGACCAAGGTCACCTTGCATCTCCAGACCAATCTCTCCAGCTGGAATCGGCTTTCACACCGTCAGAACCGCCGCCGAACTTCGTTGCTTCACGCTTCCCACGCTGGGGTCCGTGGCTAGAGAAGCGTGCGCTCGAGCGGCATTATGCTCGACTCGAGATTCAGCAGCAAGCTGATTCCGATCAAGCACAGACGCCCAACAGAAAGAAAAGCTGGGGCGCTTGGGTCAACGATCCTGATGCCATTAGCGATGACCTGTCGGCTTCGACGTCACGAGACAAGCGTGCAGCCGACCACACAACACCGCCGCCTTCACTGCACCTCCACCACTTTGGTTCTCGCTTCCTTCCGCATCTTCCTACGCAGCCCCTGTGCAGTGTTCTCATCGAACTGCCTGCGCAGAGAAGCCGCGCCGCTCAAGACAATGAGCCGAACAGACAGATCTTGCTCGTGGGCACGGCTACAGGGCTGTTCGCCATACAAACTCGAGCTTCGTCAGCGTCGTCTCTAAGCGGGCACCCAGGCTCCTCGACAGCCAGCTCTTCCAACGCCAATGACCCACAGTGGAACCACAACATTCGATGCCTGCCCATCTGGACAGGGCTAGCCGTGTATCAACTGTGTATTCTGGCTTCATCAGGTCACCAACACGCTAGCTCCAGCCGCGCCGCACGGTCCAGCGATGCGTCCAACACTGGCGTTCTGCTCGCCCTGACGTGTCCCTCCTCCGCCAAGGATGGCTTCTTGACCTCGTCTCTCATGCAACTCAGTGCACACGCCGGCTCCGTCCTTGACAGCGTATCGACCACCGGCTCCTCGAGCTCTGCTCACAACAGTCACGCCTTTCTTGAGGGCAAGGAAGGTGTTGCTGCGGCCAACTTTGGGTCCACGGCCGGAGGCGGGCCAGGTCGTGCCGTCCCCCCCGGTGGCGCCGGCCTCGTCAGGATGTGGCACTTGCAGGCCATAAGAGAGCTTCTCGTTTACGCCCTCGACGAACAAGACGCACAACTCCCCATCAACCTCGCCGAACCCTCTAGCAGCAATGCAGACAAGAGGGCAGGCCTTAGCACCATGCTCAAGAAGACGTTTGCGAGGCAGAAAGGTAGATCGGGGGACGTGACATCGGAGCGACGGCCCTCGGACTCATCTTTGTCGGCCACCGTGCATCCCTTACCGAGACCTGGCAGTGCTGCATCGTCCCAGATCGGAGAGCCCAACTCTCTTCAGGACGATAGCTCTCCACAATCATCGCCTCCCTCAGCCAAACGCCAGAGAGAGGCTGCGCATGCCGTTGCTAAATCACTTGCACAGAGCTCTGTGCCCATTCGACCACCTTCCCATGCCACCTCTGCATCGCCTGGCCAAAATGCCTCGTTCAGCTCGCTCTTCGCCGATGATCTCATTCAATCTTTCTCAGCGACAAGGCAGACTGGCGGCAAAGGCAAAGATCGTGACGCTGACGCGCTAGCCGCCTCCAAGGGCGTTCTATTCTTCTCGGTCCATGAGGCGGACAAGCATACAAAGGGAACGGGCACATGGTACCTGGCAATCACCTATGCGCGCAGCGTCATGGTGTATGAGGCTTCCATTCCAGATGGCGGTTCTGCAAGAGCTTGGTCTTTCGTCAAAGAGCTCTACGCTCCCTTTCCTATCAAAGCCGTTGCCTTCACCCCCGCGTCAGTTTCAGACATTACAGACACCTCTACGAGTCCAGGACCAGTGTCCACCAACGCCAGCACAACGATCCTGAGAGTTGCGTCTGCGCAAGGTCCACTCTTGACTTCCAAGAAGGCCCCGCATCGCGAACAGGGCCGTCAGAGCGGTCACTCGAGTCCTGTCAAGCCATCCCGCGGAAGCGCGGCACCGGCGTCCTGGCACAAGGCGGACCTATGCCTCATGCTCAGCTTTGGCCGTCGTGCGGTGCTGGTTCGTCTGAGAGACTCTCACGTACGTGAAATGGAGCTCAAGCCTCTAGCGCAGATCATTGCTGCCGCTTCAGACGGAAGTGAAAGCACGATGGAGGCTCATTTGTCGCTACAGAAACGTGCGGGTCAGGAGGGTCGGCCATTGAGCATGGTTGCGGATGCAGCCAATGTTCGGCCTACAGATCGACAGCTGTCGACTGCCTCTGGACACTCCCGCACCAGCTCTGTCGAGCAAAAACTTCGAGATGTTATCGTTGACAAGAGATCGACCAAGCACAACTGGACAGGCTTCTCCAGCGTGGAAGCGCGCATATTCGTTCGGCAATGGTCTGAGGCAGCAGTGCAACGCTACGGGACGTCAAGCTATGCTTACCCAGCCGGTCAGGGTACACCGGGCCCCTCGCTGACCGGTCTTTCGATGCCAAGAGGATTGGACACCACTTCGACCACATCGCTTGCAAGGACAGATAAAGAACTTCCTCGAATTCCTGCGCCTCAAAACGCCTCCTTTGATCGACGCGACTCACAGCTGCACTTGTCCGAGCAACATTCTCAGTATCACAGTCAGCTGCAAGCAGACAGCGACAGCGATGACGGTGACGATGGGCTCGAACGTGTTGACAAGCTAGGTCATGCAGCAAAGTATCATCTCACGGATCCCGGTCCGTGGCCTCTGCCTCGGACGAGCGACAGGCCGGCCGCCATGCGCACCGCTTCTGCGACGCCGACTCGCTCCTTGTCCCTTCCGCCGATGGATGCCCTCACGGCGAAACTGGCGCTTGCCTCAAGAGGCGGCTTGACGCACGTTCTACGGCTGCCCATAGTAGCGAACGTGGCTGACACAAATCCTCTGGCCGTGATGCAGTGGTCCGACACGCCCAATGCTGTCTCCGGATGGGCTCGCGTGCTAGGAGTTGAACGCGCGTCCACCAAAGGCGCCACCACGCTGGGTCAACTGAAGCAGACTGGGACTGCATTCCTCGCACCTGAAGCACAAGGACCGCCCGGGGACAGTCGCGCAGGTAAGGCCAATTCCGCAGCGGCCGCGGCCGAGACTCGTCGCAAGAACAACAGCCTCGTGCTGCACATCGGCGTCACCTGTGTGGCCTTCCTGGCCAGCCGCATTGAGTCGAGGAAGGTCTCTTTCAAGATGCCTCTGGAAGCAGACTTCGATCTTTTGCCCGAAAGCGAGCTCGAATTGATCCCGCTTTCGCCGGACACGGGGTACCTGCGCGCAAACGGAAGCCTTGTACAGGCGACAGAGATTGAGGCGCCTGAAGCAGCGAATGACGAGTCCCCAGGCGGTGAGGCAACGGGCTCAGCAATGTTCACATATCCAGCTGTCCACACAGTCGGACCTGCATCTGCTGGTCACTCGAGCGAGACGAGCGCCATCAGTCAGGAACTGGAGTACCTGTGTGCGCCTTTGCTCACCCTCAATCCGATCGACCTCGACCTGCACAGCTGCGGAGCACAGTCTCTCGTCCTTCCCCTCTCGCACGCACCAGGACAGGAGTCCGCAGCAAACGCCATGCTCCCCGACCTCGCTGGAGACGCTGGCATCATCGCATTCGACTGGCGAGGCGCTGACGACTTCCGCATCTTCACCGTCGGCATCGCCGGCTGAATCAAGGACATTTCACACTCAACAGACTTTTCTAGACGCAATGACAAAAGATATCATTTCCAAAGAGTTTCGCATGCCACAACAGTCCATTTCTGTCGATCCTGACCATCTATTGAGATCACTCACTTCTTGCGACCGAACATCCGGCTGAAGAAGCCTCCCTTCTTAGCCTGCGCCTGGTCCTCGTCCCAGCCGCTCTTCTCGCCATCGGCATAATCCCTCGCCGTGGTCGACTGCCACTCGCGCTGCTGTTTCTTCTTCTTGGACTTGGGCTTCCAGTTGTAGTCGGCGTCCTCGGGCGCCGGAGCACGGAGCGATGGCGTGGAGCGGTTCGAGAAGAGTCCGAACTTGGGCTTCTGCGGCGAGGCGGATTCTTCGGGAATGTCGCGCGCACGACCGGCCTTGCGCGTCGAGCGAGGCGATTCGGGCACCTGGCGTCGTCGCCCGTCGACACTCTGGCGTGAGTAGACCGAGCCGCCATCCCATCCACGAGTGGGAGGCACCAGGTCGTCCATCTCCGGATAGTCGCTGTTGGAAGACATGAGCCGGCTACGCGGGTGTCGCGGACCACGCGAGTACGAGTCGCTGATCTGCAGCGAGCGGCGCGGGACGTAGTCCTCCTCCTCGTCTTCCGGGAGGACAGCGGCGGAAGCGAGCGCGTTGCGGACGCTCTGTGTACCAGGATTTTCGCGAATCTCGGGCTGCGATTTGGCCTTGTAGACCTTGCGCCTGGTGTCGAGCGAGCCGCGGCGCGGGGCATCGTCGGGAAGATCAAACGACATGCGATCGCGACGTGAGTCGAGCGACAACCTGCCGCTGCCACCGCCTCGCTCGGAAGCAGAAGGGGGCGCCAGACGGCCACCGCGCATCGTCGACCGTCTCGCAGCAACCTCCTCCTTCGCATCGAGCTGCTCTTGCCTAGCACGGTAGTCGTCCCTCTCGCGCTCGGCTCGCGTCGACTTCTTCGACCTCCCCGACCTCCCCGACTTGGACGTCCTCGCCGATCTCACCGACTTGGCATCGGCCGCCAGATCGTCTTCATCCTCCTCGGCAAAAGTGTCGAGCTGCCTCCTCGCTCCCCTCAGATTGCCCGCAGGCATCGAGGTCGCATTGCGCAGCTTGCCGCTGGCGCTCGAGACGATGCTGCCCCGGTTGCTGTTGCGACTGTTGTTCCTGTCTGCTCCGCGGCGCGAGGCTCTCGACGTGCCCGACATACGGCTACGCGTCTCGAGCCACTCATCGTACTCGTCGTCGAGCACTTCGTCATCGGACAGACGGGCCTCGTCGACGTGCAAGCCAAGCTCGGAGCGCGAATCGAATTGATCAGCGTTCTTGAGCGGGTTCCCTTCGGCTTTGGCGACGGCACGCGCCATGCGGTCAGCAGGGTTGTTGCTGCGGTCGATGAGGTAGAAGTGAGCGGAGCCCTTGCGGTCACGCTCGACGCGGGCGAATTCGTAGCGAATATCGGCGAGCTCGCGCAGGAGATCTTCGTCCACCAGACGTTGACCGGGGGCTCGGCGCATGCCACGGTTGCGAGAGGAAGAGCGGCGAGGCGAGTCCTCCTCCTCGGAAGAGTAGTCACCTCCTCGTCGTCCGGACGAGGTAGGGGCGCCGCTGCGTCTCCTGCCGCCATCGTAGGGATCGCTCGAAAGCCAGTCACGGCGGTCGTCGAAGCTGCTGCGAGAACGAGAGACTCGAGAGTCACGGTTTCGGCTGCCATCGCTGCGGTAGCCTTCTCCTCTGCGTCGATCGTCGGGCAGATCCATGTATCGACCGCCAGACTTGTCGTAGGCCCTGCGTTGCCCCCTGCGTCTCTGACTGTACTCCTCCTCCCAACGATCGTAATCGCCCTCCCTCTCGTCATCCTCGCCGGGCCAGCCCTTAGCCTCCCACGTGGGGATCCAGGCACCCCAAGCCTTGGCGACGTACGCCGAGTCGATGCAGACGTGAGCACACGCACGGCCCTGGTAGAGCTCGTAGATGGTGTGAAGTGCCGTTACGGCGGAGCGCAGCTCGGCGCGACGAGAGAGCGAGGTCGGCGTGGGCGCTTTGGGGTTGGGAATGTGACTCGGGAAGCGATCCTCGTCGGGCAGCACCGAAGCCATGTTCTTGGGGTGACCGGGGCCAAAGTAGAGTGAGACGGCACCCGAGACGTGAGGCTGGATGATGCTGCCAGTGTCGATCGCAGTGGCGCCAACAAAGACCGCGATGGGGTATCCGTTGCATCTGTGGTCCTGCAAGTTGTGGCCGGCGAACTGCTTCATGACACGTCGCATGGCTTCGTTGAGCTGGGGCTCGATGTACTTGCGGATGCGGGTGCCGGCATAGACCTGATTCTCGGCATCGAGCATCTTGGAAACGACGGAAGCGGGTCTGCGGGCAGTTCCGCGCGAGGTGATACTGAAGCGATCAGAGTCGCGCGAGTAGATGCCAGCGCCGCCGGGCGATAGGAGCTCTCTCTTGGAGGGAGACCTGGGTTCCATCAGGCTCCTTGCGTAGCGAGATTCGTGATCGCGCATGGCGTGATCGCGGGTGGACTGGAACGAAGAACGTCCACTTCGGCCAAGGTCGTTCATCGAGGCGGCGGGTAGAAGACGGCTGGCTCTGCTGCCGCCTCGTTCCGACTCGGAGCGCTTGCGTGCGTCGCGACCGCCCTTGACAGGCGAGTCGCCCCCGATCAGGCTTGCTGCGCGGGAATCGGAGCGCGCGTTGTAGCCGGTCAAAGTCAGCTTGCTGAGACGATTGGATGCATCGCGTCCATCGCCTGCGTCGGAGCGCTGGTAGGGCAAGGTGAGGTGGCTTGCGTACGAATTGCGAACGCTCTTGCCGCCTCGGCGCTCCGGAGAGAGTGCACTGTCGGCGACAAGGAGATCACGACGCGAGGACTTGGAGGGTAGAGCGCTGCGTCGATTCTTCTTAGAAGCGTCCTGGGAGGCAGCGTCTTCGTGAGACGTGGGTGGAGACTTGGGCGCAGTGCTTGTTTCGCTGGAAGGCTTTGTGTTGAAAATGGCGGGCTCGTCATCTGACTCGTTGCTAGAGTCGCTGTCCTCATCGTCCCTGACAGCTGCGGCTCTCTTTGTATCTGTCTCATCTGCGCCATTCGAAAGAACGGAGCGGCGGCCGTTCTTGGAGCGGGTCATGGTATCTTCGCCTTCAGAGGCAATCTCGTCATCATCGTCGTCCTCGTCATCCTCCGAGGCAAAGTTGCCAGGTGTGTGCTCAGAAGCGCCAGTAGCGGTCTTGAACGAGCCGATAGAGGAGCGGCGCGAGTAGCCCGATTCCGAGCGACCGGTTGCAGATGGGCGGCGCTTTGATTTGGGTGGAGCGTTGTCCGCACGCTTGGTTGCAGTTGGCATGGTTGCAGTTGAACGTCCAGCGATAAGGGCCTCTAGGCGATGTAGACGCCAGAAAGTATGTCTGCTGGTATATCGAGAGGTGTGGTCTAGTGGTGCGTTCTTGTTCCAAGGCGGCGCTAGGTGATGGACCGGATTGGGGGTATACAGGAAGAAACTACCGTAAGGGATTGGGGAAGGTGGTGATGGTGGTTGGGAAATAAGTCGGAAGCGCTTAGAACGGCAAGAAAGTCATGTCTCAGGGCAAGGAGACGGCTGGCTGTGGTTGCGGGGGGAGAGAGTGGGGACTGCATACCTTGCGGCAGATACAGTCGGGCAAGCGGACTGAGCCATCCGCCGCTGCAAGAGAGGCCGGGAAGAAGAAGGAGAGGGGCCAGACGGAGTAAACAAGCCTGCTGCAGTAGCATCCAACCAGCAGCGGCGACGGCATGTGAGAGAGACAGACTGCATTCCGACGGTCGCAGCCAAATATTTCGGTAAAGTGACTGAGTTGGTGCCTGAGGTGGATAGCCTCTTTTCTCGCTTGTCCCACGACTTGCCTCAAGCTGCCCCTGAAGCGCTACCAGTGTCCCATTCGGTGAGGCGATGAACCGACTATCCTTCTTCCCACGTTGGTTGGTGACTGGACTTTCGGCTGTCCCGTGTTGTCGCTGAGCGATAGAGCGACGTATCACAACTGAGAAGCAATATCCCGTCGGAAGTCGAATTGCCACGCACCATTCGATCGATCTCTGGTTCAGGCGCCACTCTCCTGTCCATTGCCAAGCCCAGTCAATCTATCACCATTGTGAGGCTGAGAGTAGGACCTCGATCATGTGCAGCCCATTCAGACTCAACAAGCATGCTACTGTAGCGGCCAGCAAGCTGATGTCACAGAGTGGGTCTGTCACAAAAGGGTGTTGCAGAAAGGCAGGACCCTTGCTTGTCACAATTGTCCGTTGTTGTGAATGCTTGTGACTGCAGGCAGCAACGAAAATCCGGCAATCACATGATGGCGATCCGCTGGACAAAGGGTCCTTGCGGGCAGCAGTCCTGCATCGCACAGAATTTCGGCTGGTCGATCCCCCAGCTGGTTGTCAAGGGGACGCGTGGGTTGACCCGCGTGGGCCACGAGTGAGAGAGAGTGCTCATGCAAGTCACCGCACACTCCGGCCTAACGAATCTTCTCTTTTTCTTTAGGTCGAATTTAGAAATTCGCCAGCTGCCTTCTCCGCTATCCATCGAACTTCATGTGCACTCTGAGGAGCCCGTCTTCCAGCGAAACATCGTCGAGGCAGCTATTGCAGGGCTACCAAGGGACAAGGATATTTGACGAAGAAGTTGAAACTAAGCAGGAAGATTCTGTGGAACGGCGGCCTTCCCGTCGGCGAGCATCTGCCGTGGGTCTGTGTCGTGTCTTTGGAAGGTCAAAACGGCAATCACATGCATCTCGACCTGAGCACCAGGGTCTGAGCGTCAGACTTTCTCCCAGTTTCCTGATCGCGAGGTGGGTGGCAGCTCGCAGTTGCGGGGCCCAGCAGCTCGGCTCAAGTCTTTCCTTGTTTCGCGGAGCGGACGACTCTTCGAGGAGACGACCCCGTTGCCAGCTCATCGGTTCCCACGATGTGGTCATATCGGGCCGATTCCGATTCGCTCTCCTCCTCAGCTTGCCACCTCGTGACTTCACACCGAATAGCCCATCACACAGATCACACAGTCGGCTATGGACCGATGCCGCTTCTCAGCCAGGAGTGCAACGATGCATATGATTGCACAGTGGCACGGGTCTTTTACCTCCTCGGACTAGCCGCAGCCCCGCCTCTCATAGACGGACTCGCCGATCTACTCCCTGGCATCGCCGCTGCACCCACCGGCAAGCTTGCCACCCTCGCTTTGCCCGCATTTGATCCGCTGGATGCCATCGTCGTGGAACGTCGACTATCCCCCCTCCCGCCTGCTACCGAGTTGCTGCCGCTACTCGATCCGCCGCCACTGCTGAACCGACTCGCCGCGCCCGTCACCAGCTCCTTGATCATCGAATTGTACATCTCCGAGTCGGCCTGGTAGCTCTCCCGTAGCGTCAGGTGGTGCGTCAACAGGCTCGATGCTGACGTTGTCAATGTGTTGAGCTCTCGCTGCATCGACTTAAGCGCAGGAAGCGAGAGCAGCGTCAGCTGATCCTCCGTCTTGCTGACCAGCTCTAGGGCTCGACGCAGATCCACCTGCGGTGCTGGTCCGAGGCCTAGCTCCTGCATCCTTCGTTCTGCCATGCGTTCTTTGTTCGTGCTCGACCCCAGCGCCGGGCTGGAGTTGCCGTTGCGTGGGCTGTTGGTCGCTGACGCTGATCGTTGAGCTGCTGTTGCTGCTGATGACGGCGTTCCGTTGCCCGGCCGCTTCAAGCTCGAACTTCTCTGCGGAAGCGAGTCGTTGGAGCCCAGCGAGCTCGAAGCGCGATTGTTTGGCGACTCGTACTTGAGCTTCAATGTCGGCATTTGGCGTGATCCGCCCGAGCCTGATGCAAAGGAGGAATGAATCTCGTCGAGATTGACGGGCACTCCCATGGAGATGAGGTAGTCACGTCGAGTCCTGCTTCGCACCCAGTCGATGGGCTGCATGGAAGGAAACGACTTGAGATCGATCCACAGCTGGCGCGACTCTCCGCTCACCAGCACCTGCGACGGGCCTTCTACTTGACGGAGACCGACGTTCGAGAGGTGCTGTTCTGCTGCTGCGGAAAGCGGGAATAATGACTTGACCGAGTCCGCCAGATCGTTCCGATTCGACTTGCTGGTGACATCAAGGGGTGCCCAAGTCCGCGCCGCTACTGGTGCCGGCGCTGGGGTGGGCTCTGTCGGGGCCACTGGTGTTATTGAGTCCGCCGGCTGGTCGAAAGAGTCATCGCCAAAGTCATCATCGCCGAAGTCGGCATCGTTCTGCGCATCGCCCGTCTCAAAATCATCGAAGTCGCCAAAGTCGTCGTTGGCACTTGCACCTTGCTGAGCCGCCGCTGGCTCGTCGAAGTCATCGAACCCATCATCATCCTTGCCTGCAGCGACAGGGGCTTCCGCAATTGTGATCTTTTGATCGAATTCGTCCGGCGAGACGCCATCTTCGATGTGTTCGGCTTGCTCCTGCCGCGATTCTTCGAAGGCGTCCATGTCGTCGTCGTTAGCCGCAGGATCCGGATGTGTCGCGTCTACAGCTGCTTGAGTTCCCTCTGCTTCTGAGACATCTGCGGGGTCTGTCTCCTGTGTTGCTACGATTGTGGCAACCGGGGCGTCCTCCTCCAATTGATCTACAGCGTCGCGGTCCGCCCCATTCTGAGACGCCAACGTGGTCGTCTCCTCGGGTGCTTCTGACTCTGAGACCTGCTGAATGGCGCTTGGGGTACGCGAGAGGGATGGCTGCTTCCTCGACTTCTCGGGGCTGTTTGCTCTTGAAGCTGATCCAGAAGGCGCTCCCCAGCCCGGATCCTCGTCCTCGTATTCTAGCGAGAGTCGGACATTCTCTTTGATAGCCTGATCATCCGAGCTCGTCTCCGCGATCTTGGTCGTCGAAGTGCCCGTGGTGGAGATCGATGCGGGTGCAGGATCGTCCCACACCGCGAAGGGATCCGAATCCATGGCTATCACGATGTGGATGTGGTTGAGAGGGAATGACAATGGCAGCCGAAACAGACACGAATGTCAAAGGGTCGTTCGCTGGCCCGACCGCGTTCCGAGATAGATCAGCTGCAAGCGCCCGCCCCGATTCAAGATTTCCGCGTCCCACGCTGCAAGAGAGCAACACTTTTTGCCGCCAACAAAGCTTTCCTTCTAACGGCCATATTCGCGCACAGCCCTCAAGCGACACCATGTCGGCGATGGAGTCTGCGATACCGCAGCAGGAGACGCCCGCGCCAGATGCTCTCGACGTTAAACCGTCATCAACAGCTTCAATAGACCCCACAAGATCGGAAGAGGCGAAACCCTCCCCAGTTCCCACCAAAACGCAAATCCTCAAGCAGGCGGCCCTGTCGCCTCTGTCCCTCCTATCTCTCCTTCCGATCCCGTCGCCCCAACAGCTGCTCCTACACACCCTCTCACTTGGCCCCATTCCGCGGCACATCGCCTTCGTCATGGACGGCAACCGCCGCTGGGCGCGCACCTCGCATCACACCATCCAGCACGGCCACCTCACAGGCTTTGCGACGCTCAAATCCGTCCTCGAGGTCTGTCTCAACCTGCGCGGGCTCGACACGGTCACCGTGTATGCGTTTGCGATCAACAACTTCGGGCGCAGCGAGAGCGAGGTGAACGCGTTGATGGAGATTGCAAAGACGCGCTTGATCGAGCTGGCCGGGCATGGCGAGCTGATTGCGAGGTACTCCGTGAGAGTGAGAATAGTAGGGAGGAAAGAGCTGCTCCCCGCAGATGTAAGGGAGGCGGTCGAGAGGGTAGAGCATATGACAAAGGACAACACAAAGGCGACACTCAACATCTGCATGCCGTACGCGAGCAGGGACGAGATCGCCGGCGCAGCCAGGACGTGTCTCGACCGCAAACTGCGGGACGTCGAGCGAGCTGCCGTGGCGGAAAAGGCGGGGCAGATCGCATCCAACGAACAAGCGGACATGGATCACATCCTGGACAAGATCGACTTCGATATCACACCCGACGACCTCTCCGACCACATGCAGCTCGCCCACTCGCCGCCACTCGACATCCTCGTCCGCACCTCGGGCGTCTCCCGCCTGAGCGACTTCATGCTCTGGCAGTGCACCGAGGCCACCCACATGCACTTTGTCGACAAGTTCTGGCCGCAATTCGGCCTGCTCGACTTGGTGCCCATCATTCTCGACTGGCAGCGCCATCAGTGGAGTGTCTCGCTTCGCAAGTCGTGCGGCTGGGATTGAGGCGTCCAGCCGTCTTTGTCCGTCTGCCTCCATTGCATCTTCATCCGCATCCCAGCACACTTCTGCATTTATACCCTACCACACTGTATCACTAGCCCAATCATCCAACCTCTTTCGAAGAGACACATCCTGAGTGATGCGATTGCCGTGCCCATTTCAATCAACGAAACTGAGATTGTTCGTCAACCACCGCGGATTCGGATACACCCTAGCGAGCACCTTGCCCCTCACCATACCCAGCGGTACAGGTCCGTAATGCCTGCTATCCGTCGAGTTGCCCATATTGTCGCCCGCCAGCCACACATGCCCCAGCGGCACGGTGACATACTGAACATCGCCCTTGGACCGTATGTACGTATTGGAGATCTCTGTGGCGGCGGCTGAGTTGTGTCTTTGCGTGTCGTCTTCGCGCGAGTGTGGTGCGTCCGTATCCATGCTTTTGAGCAGGTCGACGTCGGAATTGTTCATGGTGGTGCTGCGTCTCGATCCTGGCTCGACCGGTTCGCCAACGGACGCGAGCAAGTCTTCAAACTTGACCATCCTGCTGTCCAATTTGTCGTCCTTATTCCCCCCTTCTGGCCTCGGTTCCGCCTTGCGGCCCCTCCACGCATGCATCGGCAACGGCCTCATCCTCGGATCCAGCGCCACTGTGTCCCCTGGCAACCCAATCACCCTCTTGCACACCGTTCGACTCGGGTCAAACGGCGATAATGCCACGACCAGATCGCCCACCTTCAAGCCTGTCCCCTGCGCCTGGTCGGTCTTGCTAAACGTCGGCCCGCCTATCCTGCCCTTCCCGCTGCGATATGGATGTGCGCCCTCTTCGTCGGTCTGTTCTTTGCTCGAAGTGAGATCGCGAAGGGAAGCGAGAAAGCGCGCAAACGGCAGCCGCAGCTGCAGCAGGAAATCCCCCTCGGGCGCCAGCGTAGGTAGCATCGATGCACCTGTAGAATTGCGGATCTCGAAGACATGCTCGTTGATCAGATGGGCAGTACATGCGACCTGCAGCGCGATGGCCGACGTGTAGGCCGCTCGCGAGATCCATGGTCGTCGAAAGCCTACTCGTGATGCTGGTCGGAAGGCCATCTTGCGCTCGACTGCTGACCAGCTCTGCAGGGCTGCTTTAAAGTTCTTCCGTAAGCCCGGCGACACAGAACAGCGGGCAGTAGAGTGCCACGCCGGCTGCCGAGTGTGTGCGGCCTGGCAGCGATCCTGCTTGGTGTGCGCGAGGTGCGGTTGACGGTCAGAGGAACAAGAAGAAGCATCAAAGCGCCGAAGATGTGGAGAAACCTCACCGCCGAATTCCGCGATTTCACTGCAGGCCGCTGATAAAATCACCTCTCTTCTTCCCACATCACATCACAGGTCTCTCACTTGATCATCACCTCTCGTCACCAAAGGCGCAGAATGGGATCCCAGTACAGCCCGTGAGCTCAGTGGAGACGACAGAATGACAGCACGTCTTCAGAAGCACATCGCAATCAAACTAGTCTCAAGAAGATGGGAAGCTCAGCGAAGGTCGACGCGAACCACAATGCGACAGTCTTATTTGAAGGAAGCTACGAAATGCTAATGGATCAATCGATATCGTTTCTGCAAACGGAAGCTACAGTGGCGAAATCGTGGTATCATGCAGGATCAGAGGCCATTCTTCGATGGAAGCGGTGAGAGTCGGTTGTTGTGCAGAAACTTGAGCGGATTGAAGCCCTTGGATGCTCGTCGAGTGGCCATAAAGCCTCCGTCGCGCTGCTGCTCAGCAATTGTGCTCAGCTGCGTGTCGGATGCCCTCCTGATGCCCTCGGGCTGCACGGAAGTCTGTCGAGTCACGGGAGTGCTGCTGGCCCGGTGCGGCTTCGGAACTTCCTTGAAAGAGTCGAAGTCAACGTCGGTGGACGGGACTGTGACAATGCTCCTGAACGACGGCTGCCTCTGAACCTGAAAACTCTGCACGGGCGCAACGGCCTCCGCGTTGACGCGCTCAACGACGTTGGCAGCGGCCGAGCCGCGGAACCAGTTCTTCGAGTAGTTGAGCATCGTCCTCGACCTTCGCAGAGTGTTGGAACCAGACCTGCGGATCGTAGCAGCTTCGGCCAAGACTGGCACGTTCTCCGTCGAAGGTGTCTCGAGCTCAGCCATCGACATCTGCCTTTCGGGCTGCGTCGCGCCACCCAGCGATTTGGCGACATCGCTCTGCGTACGCTTATGTTTGAGCGTCGCAAGCGATGCATTGGTGAACACTCTTCGAATCGAGCCCGTCACCGAGGTGATGGAGTTGGTGCGCGATCGGCCGCCAGATTGGGTCCTGTGCTGCATCATGTAGACACCGTCCGCTGAAGGTCGTCGTGAGGTGCTGCCAAGTGCAAAGTCCAGCGGTAAATCCGCTGTGCTCGCCATGGGCGACGCGCAGGTCGAAGAGAGAGCAGAGTTGGTGCCAAAGTCGATGGTAGGGAAGCTTTCGCCGAGGCCAGCTTGCGCTGACTGCGTTCGGCTTCGCCTGCCGAAAGTCATGGTGAGGGACTCCTTCATGCCATAGAAGCTGTTGCGGGATCGAGGGGGCAGCGATGTCACAGAAGCGCGCAGATTGGTCGAAGAGTTGCCCGCAGATTCGCTGACAGCGGTCGGAGAAGAAGTCAGCGACTGACCAGCCCCGGTGGGGCTCAGAGGCACGACGCCAAAGCTTCCGAACTCGTGCACTGGAAGTTCGCGTCCATTGGCCACGGGCGAAGTGGGTGTCGATGTGGAACCGGGACCCCAGGTCGGACTTCCCAGTTCGGTGTTGACACTCAATCCATTGGGCGCAAAGATGCTGGCGGGTCTCACCCTGTTGGCCTTCTTGAGCAGCGACGACTTCCATCCTTCGCGATCGGTCTGCGCGTCCAGCTGCAAGCGTGTCGAAGATCGCGAGCGCGAGCCGGGCTGTACGAATGTAGCCGTGAAGACCAAGTTGTTCGGGTCCTCGTCTGCATCGGCGTTCTCGAGCAACCCGGCACAGCTCTTCCGTCGCTGGATCTTGACCGTTGCGGTCTCCTTCGCAGACAGACGGTTGAGACCCAGGGAGGATCCAACAGCCGAGCCAATTCCAGACCCTGAGGCGGCGTAGAGCGTGGACAAAGCTCCACCATCTCTGGCGATACGAGCAGAGATGACCGAGTCTGACAAGATCATGCCACGATCCACGATCGCCCGCGAGTTGGGCGACGCATGTCGCAGCAAGATCTCGGTGGGCATCCAAGGGCCGGACGAGGAGCGCTGGGTCTTCTGGTTCGAGGTAGAAGCCTGTGCTGCTCCGGCCGCATGCATGGCCAGGAACTCCATGAGAGGATCCACTGTGGTAGATTTGGCTGCGTCGAAGTAGCCCTCGAACTCGGAGGGTCGGCTTGCATTTGGCGTCGGTGCCTCGGAAGCCTCGAGCATGTCACCATCGGCGGCGTCGCCAAAGAACAGACTGCAAGGGAAGGCTGCCTCAGATCCAGGCGGCGAAAAGGTCGCGCGAGAGATAGCGAGCGAGAGCAGATCGATCCAGAGCTGCCTTTCTTTTGCGTTCGATGCAGCCAGCTCGAAGTGGTGGTCCTTGACGGACAGGCGGAAGGAGTTGGGAATCAGATTCCTCTCGTCTTCCACGTTGGACAGGCGTGCGGCCCAAAGGGGGAACCACTGTCGGCACTCGTAGGTCGAGTTCTTGCGGACCTTGACCATGAGCAGGAAGCTGTGGTAGATGAAGACGCCGAAGTATTTGAAGCGCAAGGGAGCGACCAGCGGGTTCAACACGCGATGATGGTGCAAGACGTCAAGAGTACCAGACAGCTGACAATCGCCGAGAGACTTGACGAAGGACGAGGTGACGCCTTGGTTCGGCTCGATGCGGGACGAGATGAGGTCTGCCCGAAGTTCGGACTCGCGACGCTTTCCTGCCTCGTCCACCTGGTCAGCGACCTCCCTCATCAGCGAGATAGCAAGGGCGAGCTCCTCGACCGAGTCGCCGGTCGCCGAGCTGTGCTTCTGCAGCGTTTGAAGGACGAGCGGGTACAGGCAGAGGCGCTGGATCGGCTTGATGAGGAAGTCACGGAAGAGCAGACGAGAGGAGTTCTCGCGAAGAGCGTTCGTTCCGGAGCCGGGCGTCACTGCCGCGCTCGCAGGGCTGGAATGCGTGCCTGCCGTCAGCGTCGAGGTGGATTCATTGGAGATGGTCGAGGCGTTGGCGAGCGTCATGGGAGTAAAGTACGAAGAGGGGCTGTTGACCGATACGTTGGGCGTGTTGGCGCCCGATGGCGGTCGTGAGCTGCCCTTCTGCGCCATTCTGGTCATTCGGAGAACGTCGGCGCAGTGCTTTTCAAACGCATCCCAGTCGGCGTGGCGCTTCTCGGCTTCGCGGATGAGCGCAAGTGCTTCACCGTGACGCGAGCAAAAGGCCTTGTAGCTCTGGAGCGATGGCATCATCTGATTGAAGAGCTTGGCCACGCGGACGACGGCCTCGTCGGCTTGAGGACTGAGCGCTTTCTCGAGATCGGTCCTCCTGTCTTCAACAAGTCGTTGATGTACAGGCTTGCGCAAGCCCAGGTCGATGAGGATGTATTCGAGTTTGGCCGACAGCTTTTGGTGGGTACGCAGGAGATCCTCCGAGTTCCTCATGACCAGGGCTTGTCGAGCAGGCTGATCGTTGAAGAAGGGCATCATGCAGAGATTGTCGAAGAAAACCAAAACTAGGGTGGCCAAGTCGTCTGCGTAGTTGCGTTCGGTGTCGATGAGCTCCAGCAATGCAGCGTATCGACGAACTTTGGCTGTGGTATATTTGGCCTCGGCGACGGGATCAGCGGTTCCATTTTCGATCAGACCGGGGTATTCCAAGAGGGCACCGTCGACTTCAGAGATAAGGGAGACAGGGGATGCCTGGCTTGGATGCGCATTCGAATTGTAGTCCCCAATGTCAACTCGCAGGGTATCTGCCGAAAGTTCATCGGCTTGCGACTTGTAGTGGTCCTCGAAATCGGTGCCTGATGGCACGGAACTAATGGCGGTGTCGAGACTGCCGGCGTGACTGGAGCCTGTGGTGGAAGTCGACGGTGTGCGACTGATGTCCGACTGCGTCGCCGCGGTCTCGAGGCCACTTCCATCGCTGCTGTCCTGTAGTTGCATCTTGGGTGTAACGAGCGGATATTCATCTTCATCATCGACCGTGCGGGCGAGGTTGGAGCCGAGAGCAGCATCGATTTGCTCTTCGCTGATGGTGCTGGAGAGCATTTGAGAAATGCGGCGGCGCGACGAGGCGTCTGTCGGAGACAGTTCAGGCGAGCTGAGTGCGGTAACATAGTCGGAACTTCCAGATCCTTGTCGAGCCAGTGGTGCGCTCTGAGCGCCAGAATTGCTCGCTTCTGCGCCGGTTGACCTGCTTTGTTGAGACGCTTGCTCGGACCTGTAATGGAGGGCAGATGCCTCCTCGGCATCGGTGAGAACTTGAACCAGGGGGCCAGTGACGTTGCGCGAGACTGCTGACTGCACCTGAAGCGCCAGCCCGGCCACCGAGGCGGGAACGGTGGGAGAAGCGGTGGTATCGAGGCTATTGCGGACAGCCGCTCTCCTACTGCGGGGAGGTGAGGGTGAAGTGGCGCGGGGAGTCGATACTGCGGGCGAAGCTATCGAGGAAGAGCTGCTGGAGCGCCTGGCAGCATCTTTGAGATCGCTGCCCGAAGCCTCGAGCGAGCTACATTCTGATGAGGGGAACGTGACCGCCGTCGAGATCTTTTCGATGTGAGGGTGCCGCGAAGAGGAGCCAGAGGAAGCTGCTTGTTGTGCGAAGAGGGTATCTGCGGAACGAGCCGTCGAGCTGTGTGCAGTCATGGTCGATGTGCAAGTCGATGCTGCTCCAATGGTAGGAAGAGCAGATGAGATGGAGAAAGAGATTGCGGTCGAGTTTGGTGGGGAAGAGAGGAGCGCTTTGCCGCAGCTGAGCTCTGAGACGGAAAGAGAGGCAGAGGCTCCGGTTAGTTGACAGCGCAGAAGGAGAAAGTTGCGCCTCTGTGAGAGAAAGAGCAAATGAAAAGGGACAATGCCTTGTTGAGCGGTCCCACCCGGGGCTCGGAAGATCCGCGATGAACTGCGCAGCAGCAGTCAAGAGTCGGAAGGCGAGTTGCGATTAAGGTTTTTAGGTTGACAACAATGCCATGTCGCCTTTCAACGGCTCGTGCAGCGACCAGTCCACCAAAAGTAAGCAGCGGGCCGTTCCGAAATGAGCGGCGTGCTGTAGAGTCCTAGCCTCCGTGGCTCGGCAGAGATTGAGCTCGTGAGAAGAGTGGGATAAGATGAAGCAAGCCGGGGTTCGAGTGCGAGATACCTGGCCGATAGTCGTTGCTGCCGTTAGCGTGAGGGCGAATGCAGAGGAGAGAGAGTGTGTCTTGGGAGCCGGAAGTCGCTCTTTGCGATGGGTATAGCTGGCTGAGCGATGAGTTTCGATCGGAGCACAAGGGACAGAAAGATGGCGGTGCTACGAAGCTGACACGGCTCGATGGTCGCTGTCCTGCGTGTTTGCTGGAGTCGAAATAAAAGAGAGTCGATGATGTGATGGTGTTGACAGAGCAGAGGGTCGAGACGAGGATTAGGACGAGGATGAGGATGAGGGTGAGGATCAAGTCGTAAGGCTGAGTATGAAGGGTTCGAGAGGTAGGCCAAGGCCAAGAACATAGCGGAGGATCCGGAACACCCAAGTGCAGAGCAAATCAAGCGGAAGCGCGAAACCAGAACGTTTCGACCAATCTACGAGAGAGGCGTCCAGGTAAACGGGTTCTGGGCGGGCATGCAAGCGGTGTAAGCGAAGTCAGGACGGCCTGTACATGCCACTCTCGAAGAGATTTGCTGGATGAGCGAGAGGGTCAGCGGCACCCAGAAGCGGAGAACAAGGGAGAGCCAAAGCGAGGGACAGGAGGAGGGAGAGAGAGGGGAGCAGCCGTGGCCTCATTTTGCATCGACGATGCAGGGCAAGTGCGAGCGGAGCGGCTGTGCAGTTCACCATCGAATGAGGCGGCTGCCAACAAATAAATTTTTATGATAAATCGATTCTGACAGGTCCTAGCCGGCCCAGGAATCGATCCTCGCAAGCGAACGAGGATCGCAACTGCAGCACCCTGCAGCGAAATCACCACACGCGCGCTGCCAATCGCGAGAGCGGAAGTTGCTTACACTGCGCCAACTGGAGCCACCATCATCGGAATGCAATCGACAAAGACTTGGCCGGGAATTTGAGGTCCCGCTCATTCTCTCTTGCCGTCTTGCTTTCCCACACGGTCCTGTTCCCCCGTACACCCGCCGCGCTTCATGATACCTTGTTCGTAGGCTTCGTTCACGCCCCACCTTGGATCGGATTCTGGCCAAGCTTGATCCCATGATCGGCGGATCAGCCGACTTGAGCATGGCTGGGCTCAAGCTTGCTCAGCAACGTTTTGTTAGTCAGGCTAGTGGAGAAAGCATGGAGACGCCGAAAGCTGCGAGCAGCGGATCCACCCACGGGACAGGCGACATGGTGAACTGTCGCTTGGCCCGCTAGTATTGGTCATGAACGCGAGATGATCCCATGGGAGCAATGGCGTGCCCGTTCTGGTCGGCTCCATCGAATCCTCAAGGCTCGACTCTCGATCCGACAAAGGCCAAACGAGATGCGGATGAACCGGTGTGCGGAGAGCGCCACCAGATGAAAGAGGCATGAGAGCGAGATTGGCCGGCGTCTGCTCATCTCTTGGTCTTGGCTAGGCTTGGCCACAAGGCTTTGTTTGACCTACTGTATCCGACAAGGGCGGAGGAGCGGTGAGCAAGATCTCCGTCAGACGACGCGGAATGTCGCAATTAAGCGAAGAGGGAGACCCTTGACCAAAGAAACCAAATCGATTTGTTTTTAAGGACACCCAGGCTTGGATCGTCGCTGAACTCACACGCCTGCCTCGCCCTCTCGCCCTCTTCTCGGGCCGTCTCGATGGTGAAGCTGTAAGCGCCGAAAATTAGCAACCAACCCGCAACACCCACTCGTTTCCTCGGCAAACGCAGAAATGGCCAGATCGAGTCTTGACCGCTCGCCGTTGCAACCGCGTGCACACACATGAGAGCGGTTGCAGGGTACAGTCAGAAGCAGTGCTCCGTGGCCACGTCTAGACGGCAACCTGAACAACCATCATCGAGTGACCACACCATGGCTATTGCTCGTCATCCTCATCGGAGACAACAGCTGTCCGTGGGATGTGGTGCCGGAGCAAAGTGGCGCGTTGCGATGTTGCGAGCGAGAAGGACGAGGCTGCATTCGAGACAATGCGGTGGTACAAGGTGCCAAGATCGAGACTAGCTCATCATCACCGCCTGCTGGACGGAAGAAGACTCTGATGGGCAATCAGCAAAAGGAATGTGACCTTCCAAAGCCGCGAACAAGCATATTTTCAATCAAGCTCGATCGCTTTCCATGGCGAATCGCGATTTTTTGTGGAATGGTGTCTCTGGTTAAAGCCGGATGGAGTTGCGTGCCTTTTCTCGTCCACTCGTTGGATCCTGGGTTGGTTGAAGAAGTGCGGAGCGAGCCGCTTTCAAGAGCGCGCTAGGTCGATTGAACCCTGAAGCCGAATGGTGATCTGCGAGATTTTGCAACACGGCAGACCGCCCAGTCTCGGCTTGGAGAGCCAGCCTCAGGGCAGCCACATGGGTTCTTTGCGCTGCTCACCCTGATCCGTTTCATGACCTTCTTGATTGTCGTTCTGATTCCGGCTTGGTGGAGCTCTGCTTGCAAGACAGCCATCCGCGTGAATCGCCGAGAGTCGGGTGCAGCACGAATTATGAAGATGGGGACGCCGGTCCGAGGAATTGGCGTGAAAAGGCCGTCTGACAAGCTCGCTTGCGATGACTTGTTTGCGATCGTGGCTCGCTACGCGCCCAAGCTCGTGATCGCGAGCGAAACTAATCCTCGGCAGCTAGGTTTGCGCGAGGATCGTGTCTCAGTCGGATGGGCGTCGTTCTCCTCGGGCGATCTGGTCTTCCCACGGCCAACAAGGGAGTCCGATCGGTTTCAAGAACCAAATTTTCGAGCACGCAAGGGTCGACGGGTGTCCCATCGGACATGCAAGCTCATCATTGGTCGGTGGGGTCGTGGGCTTATGCTGATGCTTGTCAATGAGGAAAGGGACAGGCTCTAGCAACGAGCACCTTTCCCAGCAGCCGAAAGGAAGTGAGAGTAAAACGAGAACTGGTGCGCGCGCGGAAAGGAAACGGTCCGACATCGAACAATGCAGCTTTGAGACAGCCGGCAGCAAACGACGGTGGTACCGATGCTTGTTCCACGGAGCAGGTTCGGCGCCGACGTCTCGCAGAGTCTGGGTGCAGTTTTTGTTTCGTGATTCAAATTTGGCTAGCGCATCCGACCACTCCAATGGTGCCACCTTATTGTTTGTTTCCGCGGTCCTCCGAAGCAACAGACTGGAAGGCTAGAACTTTCTCGCAGATCATGCCATTTGCAAGGGTTGGTAGCTTATCATCATGGCTCTCTCCCTTCGAAGTCTCGAGGAGATGGCTGTCCATGAGCCTTTTGGCACGTTCAGACGCTGTTCAAGCGCAGTGCAATCGAGTCTTGGGTTGACCGGCGAACCGAAACCTCGAATCAGGAGTCCGAAAAGTCATCTCAAGCCAAGTTGACCGCCCAGGCCGTGCCATCGAGCGGGTCAGTTCTCGTCTTTGCTTACCCGGCTCGCATGCTATCTCACGGTTGACCGATGCGAAGGCGCCATCGGAGAGAAACACCATCAGACCGTAGGCTGCGATTGCGGTACCACAGATGGTAAATTGCGTGCCGCACATCTTCCTCTCTCATTGCAGTCTACACTCGCAGGTCGTCAGGAGACTTGAAGCTTCAGCTCACTACGTGGCCCACCCATGGCGATCATCACGCTCCCACTGTCGATCTCTGCCCGGCTTGCTGATCGACAAGATTTGCCGCGCACAGATTCACGGAGATGGCAAGCCGCGGAACGACACAAAGCGTTCCGACAAATGCTAGCAGCTGGACCCTGGCCTGGAAATGTGGTTTTGGTTTGTCGATCGACACGAAGAAATTTGCTGCAGCTGCGCAAACTGTGTCCCAGATCCAACAGAGACAATGACATCACGTCGCAGCGGTTCACGAATCGCGAGATGCAAATGTGGGTCAGAGATTTTTTACTTGTGTATGTATGAAGTCGGCCTAACATTGTAAATTACACTCGACCGCCTTGCAGCCTGTCAACGTGCAACACCATTCGCGACGTGCTGTTTTCTTGCGGTTGCTGCTTCACGCTCTTGACACACGTTCGGCCGACGGTAGCAACAAAGGAATCGAGTGTTCGTATCCGTCTGAATCAAAGACCAGAGCTCCTTGCATCTGAACATGCGCTCGACCTCTTGCCTAGCAAGAACCGAAGAGCAAGATCATTTTGTCGCTGCCTTCAACAAGCTTCTCACGAAAGCTAAGCGAGGATCGGAAATGTCCGACGACCGCGTGCTCTCTTCTCGCGCGCTCCTGTTGAAATCTCGCTCATCCTTCACTTGGGTACACACATACGACTGTTTGAGAGCCGCGCAATGAGCATTCGGGAAAGCCGTTCGCCAAAGGCCATCGCTTAGTGTACAGAGCTAGTCGGTCCATCCGAGTGACCGAGAAGGCCAAGAAGCACATTCGGACGCCATCCTTGACGCCTCCGCCACCCTCGCATCTTCTCAGGGTCTTGGCAGGCGTCGGAAATTGACCGATGTGGTCCTAAATCAGCCGTTTTGCCTCTCGTCGCATTGTGTCCGTTCCCGCGCCATGCCGTCTTCCGTCTCTTTTTGCTCTGAGTGGCGACTCCATATCGGATGAAGTCTGTCGGTGGACAAGCGACGTCCTCGCGCCGAGTCGCGACCACACGCTCACACCCAGGAAGCTGACGTCGGGTAGACAAGCGAGCAGGTCAAGCTCTTCGAGGTCATGAGATTGGGACTTATCCTCCGCTGTCCCGTTGTCCTCGGGGCGAGAGAATCCCGGTCGGGTAAGGCCGTAACCTCCCCTCCTCAGGGTCTGCCCTTCTCGCCCTGCCCCCTTTCCATTGACGTACCAAGCCTCGGCACCTCGCAGAGACCCTGCGTTGGAAAGAAGGCGGGCAGCGCCCTGACCGAAATTGACCGTCGCCCGGACCCAGGGTCCGCTCGCGCCCGCGCCAAGCGCAATATCAATATCATGTGGAACCGAGCCGCATGCTTCTTGCAAGGCTCCCCGAATGAGATGATGTGACCGCCGTCGGGTGGCAAATGCGCCAAGAAGCACTAGATCCGCTCACCCCAGCCTCCTGCAAGATTGCATGTGCCCCGCGCCAAGAAAGGTGCTGATGTGCAGCGACATCATATGAAGCCTAATGGTGCAAGCGAGAGCCCGGTCCAGGCCCTGCCGCCGTGGAAGCCTGGACGCAACGTCTTGCGGGAAGCGATGCTCAATGGAAATCACGGGCCCCTCCCGCCCGATACACGTCCGGTTCGATCCGCAAGAGTCGCTCATTTGTGTCGACATTTTGCCCTATGCCGCCGGAAAGGTAGCTCCCCGGTGCGTTAGCTCATCATCCTTCACAAAGGCCAGGGGAGCAACCAGAGCTGTTGAAATCAGGTCTGGAAGACCGACGGAGGACAAATTGGTTTGCGGAAGAGAAGAGAATGTAAAGACAGCTACGGTACGTGGATCACAGCTCGTTGTGATCGCGTCTGAACAGTATTAGTACTGATCTGAGGCAACGCTATCAAAGTTAGCATCGAAGAAGAGATCCGTTCCCATCAGCGTGCTGATCTCCGAAGCGATAGTCTGGCCCTGCCAATCCGTGATTCTGAACATGACGCCCGTCTTGGCCTGATCGAAACCAGCAGCACCGCCCAGATCCCACTTCCACCAGCTGGCATCCACATGGCTAGCCTCCTTCCACCCCTGTCCACTCCAGCGCATCTCGACCTTGACCACGGCCTCGTGGCTACCGCGGATCTGGACCTGGAAGAAGCCCGGGTTGCACCCTTCGCGCCAGTGCACCTGGAGCTTCTCAATCCCGCTGCCCTCGAAGGCATCTTTGCAGTTGACGAACCGCCAGTTGACGGGGAGCTTGCTGCCGTCGGCATTGCTCGTGACGCTGTTCCAGGCATCAAGGTGCATGTCGAGTCCGGAGAAGCATTGGTTGACGCCCGGGCAGAGGTCCGAGACGATCGCTACGGTCTTTTTGCCCGCCGGCAGCGTGCCTCGGCGGGGTTTCTCGACGGTCCACACCGCACTGTTGCTGAACTGGGATGCGGAGGTTGGGCCGATCTCGACGCAAGTGCCGCATGCCAGACCGTCTTGGAAGAACGACTGGTCCATTGCGATCGAGGGGAGGTTGGTGTGAGGCAGGCTGTCGAGCATGCATGCTCCGCCTTGCCACAGGCCGGGACCGCCGAATTGCGTGCCGGGACCGTGGTGGATCAGATCCGGGCTGAACCACGAGGGCTGAACCGAGCTGGTGGGAGTGAGCACGGTGGTGGAGCGCACACCTTTGCAGAGCAGACCGGTGCCTTGAGCGCCCTTGTACTTGCCCGAGCTGGGGCTGTAGCCTACAGGTGCAGGGCCGGCGCTTCCTTGACCTTGACGAGGTGCCTTGCCATACGATCCGTGATCGAAAGCACTGCCAGAGCTCGCGCCCGGCTGCGGACCGCTCGCATAGCCGTCCGGCTTCGTGCCAGAACCAGCGCTGGGGCTCGAGTACCCTGTAGGACTGTTGTCGTCGGTCGATGGCTTGTCGCCAGAAGCACTACCAGAGCTCGTGCCGGGCTGCGAACCACCCGTGTAGCCCTCTGGCTTCGTGCCAGCACCAGAGCCGGAGCTCGAGTCACCTGGTGGAGCATTTCCTTTCTGAGAGCCGTTGCCAGGAGAGACTTGGCCGCCGCTACCACGACTAGGAGCGTCAGTGCCTGTGGCAGGAGGCGCGTCAGCGTTCTTGGAGCCGCCACTCTGAGGAGGCTGTCCGTACGACTCTTGGCCCTTGGGATCGACAGCGCATTGTCCCTTGACCTTTTTCTTGTGCATCTTCTTGTGGTGATGATGGTGGTGGTGTTGGTGGTGCGTATGTTTGGTGGTGACCGGAGACGATCCAGCGTCGCTGTCGGGGTGCTGTCCAGCAAGAGAGCAGCTTCCGCGAGCATTGGCTGGCGCGTGCCCAAGACCAGCTTGAGGCGAGGCGAGGACGTCTACAGCCGACGAAGCGAGGAACGTGGCGATGAGCGCCAGAGCAGGGGTAGTTCGCATCTTGGGAGTTCGAGCTTGAGGAAAAGAGCAGAAAAGGAGGAAGGTTCCTGAAGCACCGTCGAGGCGATCAAGATTGGGAGAAAGTAAAGAGTGTACAGTGAGAGCCTGCTCAGATTCCGGATGAGGAGAGGAAAAACGAGGACAAGTAAAGATGAGGAGTTCGAGACAGGGGAGCACTCAAGGGCGCTCCTTATGTATCTTCTTCAGCACTCGTCGCGATACTGAAGAATCACAGAACGGAGAATGAAGGGCTGCCAGACCAGAAAATTTTCATCATTGCGACAATGAGTTGCAATGCTGTGGATCAAATGCAAGCCCACCGCCCATTTGCTGTGATCGTCAGGCGATCTCGGCAAGGCTCTGGCAGTTGGTGTGTAAGCAGCTCGGTACAATGACTAACCGAAGCTGGACCGAGATTACTTGACCCCTGTGCGAGACGGTCAATCCATTTGGCTTGGCCTCATTGTCATTGAAGGTGGGCGACCTGCAGCCCCACTCTTCATGAGCAACCGTGCAGCTCGCATATGGGTTGCCTTCGACTCGGTCGAGGTCTTCGCCCTTTGTTCCTTCGTCAGAGCACATGCCTCTGTCCGGCAAGCTTTCTGCTGGGTTTTGACCGGATCAAGCCGTACGCAGTCCTGCAGTGTGCAGCAACCCATGACGATGCTTAAGAAGCAACCGCGTTCGATGTTTGACAGCTGGATCGCAAAAAAGTCCGCCTTTTTCTCCGTGGAGAGAGACGCGCGGACCAACACCAAATTCTCTTTTCGAGACCTACACTTTCTTCTGATCTTCCAACATCTCAAAAGATGAGCCTTTCGGTGGGACAGCGCGTTTCTCTGGGCCCACACAGAGGTACGATTCGGTACCGTGGTCCTGTGCCACCTTCGACTGGCGAATGGCTGGGCATCGAATGGGACGATCCGACCCGCGGCAAGCACTCGGGAACATCCGCTGGTGGCACCCGCTACTTCGACGTGCGCGTCCCCGGCAGCGGCTCCTTCGTCCGAGCTACGAGCAGCAAGCTCTCCAGCGGATGTGGCTTCCTTTCGGCGCTACGAAACAAGTACCTCCCTGCTCCAGCGACAGAGACAGAGCAAAGAAGTGGGACAGAGGAGACGCAGTATTCAAGGAAGAACATCGCCGAGATCGAGATCGAGACGCCCAACCTCGAGCGGGTGGTGCAGAAGGCGGCGCGGCTGGACCGGCTGAAGGAGGTCGGACTGGGCGGCTGGCAGCAGAGCGTCGCACTCGAGGAAGGAGGGGAGGACGCGCGATATGACGTGGCCAGAGCGTACGATGAGGCGGAAAGGTTGGGGTCAGGGTCGATACGAGAGACATGCCCGAACATTCGATGGCTCGACCTGTCGAGCTCATTGTTGCCAAACTGGGAGGAGGTATCGTTGATAGCAGGGGAATTGGAGCAGCTCAAGACGTTGCTGTTGCGCTTCAACCGGCTGCAGTCGCCGCCAGTGGAGGTGCCGGCGAGCTGGAGGGAGAGGCTGGGACGGATCGAGGATCTCCGGTTGGACGGCACGCTTGTGCAGTGGAAGGAAGTGGTGCGACTCTCACCGGCGTTGATCGGTCTCAAGGCTTTGCATCTCGGTGGCAACGACATCGGCACCTTGACCGCAACGAGCTCCGACAAAGCAGACGAGAAGACGTTCCCATCACTGACGCTGCTCAGCTTGGAGGACAACGCGATGGCATCCTGGCCTGACCTCGTTGCTGCTCTGTCCCGCTTGCCCTCGCTCGAGACGCTCATCTTGGATCGCAACCGCATTACCGCCACCCCGTCCGCACCATCTTCAGCTTGCAAACTCCCCGGACTCAAAGAGCTCTATCTGCGCGGCAATCAGCTCGACTCGTGGTCATCTTTGGAGAACATCACTACATGGCTCGGCTCAGCGTCCGGTCTAAAAGCGCTCCACATCTCGGCTCTTCAAGACGACCAGGAGACCGCAAACGCAGCCGTCCCTGTCACTGCGAACGGCGACCTGCTCTCGAAGTACGAATACCGCGACTTCCGCGCGATCGCCATCGCCCGTCTTCCGACGCTCAAGGAGCTGGACAAGACCTCGATCACGCCCAAGGAGCGTAGAGATGCGGAACTCTTTGTCTACACCCGCATTCGCGATGGCGACGCGTACATTCTCGACGGTGGGCTTTCGCGGCTTGGAACGAGGGAGAAGTTGGACCTGTCTCCGGCCGAGAAGGCCGAGAGGTTTCCTCGGTTCCTCGAGCTCGCCAAGGCGTTCGATGATGAAGTGCCCGTTGCAACGGCATCGCAGGTGGGAAAGGGGAAGTCGACGCTCCGGTCGAAAATGCTGAGCGTGACCGTGGTGGCGTGCGAAACTGCACCGAGCGTCGGCAGACCTCATCTGGCGGGTGTGTTGGTGGAGAAGACGGTGCAGGTGTTGGCAAGCACCCCGTTGCGGCTGTGCAAGATCAAGCTGGCGAGTGCGGTGGGCGTAAAGGTGGGTCAGGTGGCGGGCGTGTGGGCGCTGATGAAGCAGGGTGATGGTGGGGAGGAGGAGGAGAGGATCGTGCTCGAGATGGACGATCTGTCGAGAAATTTGGATTGGTATGAAGTGGCGTCGGGTGACACGGTAGTGCTCGTTGTCGAGACTTGACTGTTCTCATCACGACAATTTCTCACAAACATAGGGGCTGAGCTTGAAACAAAAGAAAGACTTGATTGACAACGGAACCGAAGGAAGACCGAGAGAGGGTGTGACATAAGTGAGCTCAGCCGTGAAAGACGCGCAGATGCGCGACTGTGTCTCCAAAGAAGACCATCAGTTGGTCTTACCGCCCTCGTCGACGACGACATACTTGACGCCCTTGCGCTGGAGATAGTTGAGCCAGCGCTGCGTTTCGGCAGTGCCTGCGGGGTGTCTATGGATCATTCCGTCCGAGGTGACGACCACCATCTCCCCGGGATGACCCTGCACGCGGCCGAGCGAGCCGCTGAAGCCGAACCACCACCTGCGGGCAAGTTGGGTCACAGAGGTGGTGCCATGAGCAGTGGTGTCGAGAGATCGACGGATATGGGGCATCTGAGCCTGAGACGTCGGGAGAAAGAGAGAGGGGCAAATGGTCAAGAATTGGCGTCAGCGACGGCCATCCAACGAGCATGAGAGAAGACGAAGGGCCCGGAGACTTACGCCTTGCACGATTTGCAGGAAGCAGCATGCCACCAGGGCAGCGATGAGAATAACGCTACCAGAGAAGAGCTTCATGGTCCAAGTTTCGTGTGATAGGGGCCGCTTTCGACAGCTTAAGGCGGAGGGATGTTGAGAGTGAGAACGACAGTGGACAAAAGGCGATTGGCTGTGAAGTGTCTGAGTAGATCGCTGCGACCGTGGAGAACGCCCATCTCCAGCTTATTTATGTCAACTCGAAGTGTGGGAGTGTTCCAGATGAGGGCCTGGCCTGACCTCGAGCAGAAGTCGTGTGGGTGGGAATTCGATATAAACGCTGGCGAAACCCCACAGCGACCCGTCAATGGAACGGTGCTATCGATTTTTGGGACAGAAGCGGTGATTGCAACGGCCTGTTGTGGTCTGACGGCGACGTTCGCGACTCCACTCGCCGAGTTCGTCGACGCCACCTTCATCGACCGAGACAAAGAGCATTTCGGTCCTCGGTCCTCCAGAGAACGTTCGTAAAGACTCATGACGGCCTCGGCGTCTCGTGCCTCACCCTTAGCGCCCTCCGCGTCTTCCGCATTCCGCTTACGTTGAAGGGGACACCTGAAAATCAGGTGGGCTCGCATTTAAGCCGACGAGGGGTCTTCTCGGGCAGCAACCTTGCATCGCTCTGCGGGATCGAAATGAAGCGGCGTTAGCGCGATCGGTCGGCTCCGGCGGCCGTCCCCTCTCATCGCACCGTGACGTTTCTCCTCCAGATGATGCTCGAGCTAGACGGCGCCTGTTACCAAGCCCAGAAGCGTATAGCAGCTTTGATCGGATGCCAAGCCCGAGCTTGGGACCCGCACCCGTCGTACATAAGCGTGCAGATTCGATACCTTCCTGCTCCCCAACGACCCGTGTCGACATTGGCGGCACGACGTCCGATTGAATCCTGGACCTTCCTTTTGCTGCAGACTCATCTCGAGTAGGCGTGTTTTGGAACCGTGACACCCTTTCGGGGTTCGTCGTGGCCTCTGGTCCGAAAAGGCTGATGAATCTCATCTGGCTGGTGGGGTGGGAGGACGTCCGGACCCGTTGCCATCTGCAGCAAGAGATGAGGAAGCCACCGAACTCACAGCGAAAAGTGACATCCGGTGGGGGCGGCAATCGAGTCGTCTCAGAACAATAAGGGTGTCAATGGCGCTGTGTTTGGCGTGTGTGTGTGTGTGCTCTACATCACGCAAGATCGCAGATGAAGTCTCGAGCATGTACTTTTGAGCACTGCCCGTTGCTGCATTGTGCGATGCCCTGCTGGCCCCTCTGTGCTAGAATGACACTGATGAGATGCATGCAGTCTTGATTGATCCGACGCAAGTCATGGCCATTGTCACCGTGCGGGTCGGGATCGGTATAAATATCCCATCGATGCTTGAGACTCCTGACTGAACGAGGCCGAATGCTCTTTTTCTGCATTCGCTGCCTCTGCAAGCCCACGATACAGGTCCGGAACCTACGCAGCGCGATCTTCTCGGCAAACACTTCATCTGAGGGACTTTTCGCTGGTCGGAGCCTCACTACTCGCTTGTCCCTCGCCACCTACTCGTTCGCTGGCCGAGACCACCTCCTTCCCTCCATCTCCTTCTATCCGTTCCTCCAGACCCTGCTCGTCGCACGTCTGTCGACATGCAGCGTCACGATGGCCTCGAGTACGTGCCGGCCATCTTCGGGGGGCAACCGCCTCACGCCGCCGAGGCGATTGCACTAGTCCGCTTCTCTCAAGAGCAAACCACGTGGAATCTTCCGATCATGATCGCGCAGACGTTGCTGGTTGGCGAGATCATCCGCACCTATCCAGCCGAGTTTCGCATGTTCCACCGACTGTACCAGCGCAAGAAACCCAACATGGCCGAGATCTTTTTCGTCCTCATCAAGTACCTCACCCTCACGGCGGTGGTGTGCGACATTCTGGTGATGGACACGTTGGCGGCGAAATCGGACGGACAGTGTCGATCGTGGTCGTGGACGGCGTCGACGCTGTACTTTGTGTGTTCGAGCTTGGTCTTTTGCGTCATTGGGTGGCGGGCTAGGATTGTGTTTCGGACGTCTCGGTTGGCTAGCTATTTGCTGGGTGCTGGATTGGCCGTGCAGTTCGCTATAGCGATGTGGACCAATTACCGCGTCGACAAGGCGGATGCGATCACGCCGGCGGGTAGCTGTGCTCCAAGCACCCAAGTGCACGGTTCGTCCGACGGCAATCCGGCGCTCACCATCCGTTTCTGGCAGAGCCACACGTTCTGGTACCTCCTATACAACTGTTTCTTCGAGACGATCGTGCTGGTGGCATGCTGTCTGCAGCTCAGACGCACGTCGAGTGGCCCCGGCGGCCTGACGCGCATCGCCAAGGTGCTGTTCCTCAACAACGTGCACTACATGGTCGGCGTCGAGGCGTGCAACGTGGTGCAGCTGATCATGCTGTTGGGCTGGACGTCGAGTTTGCCCCCCGTGCACGTGACGAGCATTGCGATCCAGATCGTCGTCGGTCTGCAGATGCTGATTGGCGAGCAAGAGGCTGTGTACAGCCCTGCCAGCTCAAGGGTCACGTATTCGAGTCGGACGCTGACGTCGAGCAATGGGCACTGCGAAAAGCCCCGCCATGGTACCAGCCCGAGCAACGTGACGTTCGTCTCGCCAGGTCGATCGGTCTCGTACGTCAAGCGACCGGATACCGCCACCACGGGCACAGACGCTACGTTCACCACCCTACCCGCTCGCAAGGGCACCTTCTCGTCGTTCAGCTCCGTACCGGCTTACGTCAAGAGCTGCGCCGAGGAGGAAGCGCCGCAAGTACCTCCCAAATCGTCCGTCTTGGTCAAGGAGGAGACGCGCGTGTCGATCGAGGCGTCCCCGCTCTACGCCCATGATGGCGCGCTCCCCTAGTCGTTCGTCAAGATCTAGACAAACTCGTCCGTTCAGCCCAGCTGCTGCGCACAATGTCTCGCACAAGCCTTTTTCGTTGGGGAAGAGCCGCACAGTATACGTGACCTCTCCACCCGACCTTACACAATCCTTTCCATCTTTGTCTCCGCTAGTAAGCTTCTCTCCTTTGCGTCCCAATTTGCAATAGTACTACATTCTTTCTTGCTACCGACGTGGTATGAGTGTTGCTACCCCGGCCAGGCTTGAGAACCACGATGATCGGACTGAGGACGATGCAAGTGAGTTGGATTAGAGGAGGCACTCCTTGGCTGATAAGACACTACATGAGAAATGCGATGAGAAGATGCTGGATGCGCTATGTGTTGCTGTTGCTGTTGTTCGTGCTGACCTGCCGCAAATGGTGCGACTCTGACCGCTTTAGCGAAGGCATGGGCGGTTGTGAGCCGGCACTTCCAGTTTCCTGGTCTGAGCCGTTGTCCGAGAGGCTCAAGCTGGCTTGGCGTCGCATCTCTTCTAATGGCCGGGAAGGTCTAAGCGGCGGAGACTTGTGCACGGAGCCGTAGGCGTCTCTGGAAGGAGGGCGGTCGTAGGGCTGGTCTGCTGCTGAGAAGGGGGATGATCTTCGGATGATGGGGGTCTTACCTATGCTCGAGCCTGATGCGTGTGGCTTGTGACCTCGCACTACATCGTCTGGGCGGTCCATGCTTGCTCGACCGAATGGCGAGCGGCCTCGATCTCCGAACGAGGATCTTGACTCGGAAGGGCGAGTCTCGCTCGAGGCTCGGTCCGAGCGGTTGATGAAGTCTTCGTCGTCGGTGTTGACTTTGGAGTATGCAGAGCTGTACGGATTGTGCCTGAGAAGGGAATCGATGAGCCAGAACTGTAGGACGTTCATGGCGAAGGGGAACAAGGCCATGGAGAAAAGGATTTGGACGTCCTTGTGGCTGCCAAAGAGACCGAGGATCCAGGAGCCGACATCGAAGAGGAAGGGGAAGAAGTAGAAGATGATGAGGACGGCCAACTTCATGAGGAAGAGGACGAAAAGGTAGGAGCCGAGCTGTTTGAGCCAGTAGTCGATCCTGGGTCGGTCTCTGCGGAATGACATCCGAGATGCGCCGGATCGGACGGATGAATTGGAGCTGCCAGGCTCGGAGACGATGCCAGGCAGCGGTGGCGTGTACTGCCCAGAGACGAAGCCTTCGAGTTCCAATCGTTCGGTGAGGTACCAAGTAAGCCACTTGAGGGTACTGTAGATGAAGAAGACTCCGATGGTGGTGTCGACGAGGATGTTGAGAAAGTAGAGCGAGCACGGATTCTCGTCTCCAATGCTGGCGACAAAGTCAGAGAGGATGACGTTGAGCATGTGAACAAAGAGCTGGCCGAGGAGCTGCTTGGAAATGTCGAGCGCCCAGATCTTCCACTTGCGTTTCGGTGTTTCCCTTTGGCGCTTGTATACGAGTGAGCCGATGACGAGGACGCCCATGATGGCTTGCACGGCGAGCGCGAAGGGTCCCAAGAGCTTGCAGTCATCGTCTACTTCGACGTCGGGAGTGCCAATGATGGGTGTGGTGGTAGGCGTTGCTGTTGGCGGCGCAAGGATCGCCGAGGAAACGAGTGTGGCTAGGACAGGAGTGGGCGGTATGATGTCGCGAGCTACGCCAACCAGGCTAGCAAGCCCTAACGACCCCATGGCTGCAGTGAAGGCCGGTCGTGCCTGCAGCGAAAGTGATCGCGACTGACTGCGATGGCTGGGTGAAGTAGCGACGAAGAGAGCACGACGGAGTTGGTGTGTCAAGAACAAGGAAGACCCTGTTAGCTGAGTACAAATCTTATTGTGATTTGCGTGTTCCACTGCCTTGGCCTGTGCTTGGCAAGAGTGTAAGGCGTCCGGCGAATTCCAGCACAATCTACCCCACATTCGTCACCAGCAAATCAGTCGGACAGGAGCACAGCACATGCTGCGAATGGAGCAATCTCACGAGCATCACAATGTCGAGAGGTCAGATAATGTAACGCACAAGAAGATCTCAGGGCGAAGCGTAGTGTTGCAAGTGAGGAATAGAGTACAATGACAGGACAACGATGATGAGCACGGAACAAGAAAAGCAATGCAATTGTGGGCACCCAGCCAGTATGCTGCTGCTCTAGAAGAAGGCACCGAAGTCGTACTTCTCTCCAGGCGCAGGACCTGTGGCAGCCGAAGCAGCCTTGGCAGCAGCACCGGCGAGCTTGGTAGCCTTGTTGCCGTTGCGTTTAGAAGCGGCTGGCTTGGCCTTGGAAGGGACCACCACTCGTGCCTTCTTTTGCAGTCTTCGGTCCTTGCGGGAGAGCGACTGAGCTGCTTCGTCGTCTTCCTCCTCCTCTTCATCCTGCCACGACTCGTCCGCATCGACAGCGAGGTCTCGCTTCTTGGAGCGGTTCTTCTTGAGGATCGACTTGAGCTGTGCGGGCTTCTTGGATGCAATCTCCTCCTCTTCCCCTTCTTCGTCATCATCATCTTCGAGGCTATCGGCGTCTTCTTCCATCAACGACTCTTCGATCTCGTCCTCGTCCTCCTCGCTGTCCTGCTCAGGTGGAGGTGGGAGCATCTCGACTTGGTCCAGCACCAGAGCTTCGCGGCCGAGCACCAGGGAGATGGGCCTGAGTCGCAGCTCGCGCGACTGGAACTTCTTGCGCCATTCCTTCCTGGCCAGAACGAGGGGTACGCTCTTGGAGAGATGCTGCTTGACTTGGTCCGCCGTGGTTTGCGCCTCTGCTGTCAGCTTGGGGGCCTGAGTGTAGTAGCCAAGCATCTGGTGCGACCAGTCGCGTAGCAGCACGCGCGAAGCACCAATCTCGTCTGGGATGTTGCGCTTCTTCATGCGGCCAGTGGCACGAGCCAGAGCGATGAGGAACTCTTGTGTGTCGGCGTGCACCTTTTGTCGCCTCGCGACTGCCTTGATGACCTCTTCGTCCAGGTCCTCGTCGGCAAGAGACGCCTTGTCGGGCTGGAAGGAGCCGAAAGCGGGGACGTTGTAGACGAGCATGAGATCCTCGGGATGCGACACTCGCGACATCAATGCCCAAGCCAGTGGCAGTGGCTCCTTGATCCTTTGCACGTGTCCCTGGTTGCGCATGAGCGTCTGCATCGACTTGAGCTCCATACGTGCCATGAAATTGTGCTCGTCGTCCTCCTCTTCGTCTTCTTCGTCGTCTTCCTCCTCTTCCTCGTCGGACTCTTCGGCCGCCTCGGAGCTCTTGAGCGGGGCAAGAGCCGGGGTGTCGAGCACGGCGGGCCAGTCGCTCGTCTCGTTGTCTTCATCCTCGACGTCTTCATCTTCGGGGACGCCAATGGCGTTGATGATAGCATCGGCGACGGTACTTCGGCCTGAATGTGTCAAGCCAACGACGGCAACGTCACCCTTCTTGACGCCCTTGAGATCGAGCTGTTCTACGAGCGCTTCGGCACCGGTGTTTTCGGCAAGCTGATCCGAAGGAGAGGAGATGGGGAAGACTGGGATGCCGGTCGAGGTGGAAAGGTAGGCTGTCCATGCGGCAACAGTCTCGAGCGGGACCATGTCGGCGCGGCTGAGCGCAAAGGCGAGCTTCTTGTCCTTGCGACCGCTGATCTCAACCTCGAGCCACGGGCTTCGGAAGCTCTGGGGGTCACGGGCATCGAGGGCAAGAACGACGGTCTTGATCTCGGTCGAGTCGAGCAGCTCTGCAAGCGACCCACGGAAGAGAGGTGCTGCCATTGGAATATCCTCGAGCATCTCAGCATCTTCGGCGTCCTCGTCGTCCTCCTCCGCGGCTTCGGCATCAGAGCCGCTCGCCTCGTCGGCGTCTTGTGCAGCATTGCGTTCGGCGAGCTTGTCGGCTCGTTTTGCGAGCCTTTCTTCTTCGGCGAGTCTACGCTTGGTCTCGATCTCGTTGAGTAGCTGCTCCTTGTAGGGGAACGAGTTGGGAATGCCGAGATCCTTGCGAGCCTTGCTCTTCCATTGAGTGTTTCTTCGTTCGTCTCGGTTGGACTTGCGGCGATGCTCCTTGACCTTCTTCTTGATCTTTTCCCTTTGTGCGATCTTGACACGCTTGGAAGCGCGTTTCTTGACCTTGACCATCTTTGTCCTGGTTTGCGTTTGTGGAGGGCGGAAGGAGATGGATGAGGAGAAGAGAGCTAAGGGCAGCGAAGAGCAACCGCAACTTTGTCTTTGGCCTCTCGTCAGGGTTCTCAGGAAGATTCTCGGCAACTCGACTTTTTCTTGGAAATTTTCGGGCTGCAGCCAGGGTTCTGGTCTGTGGTCATGCTTAGTCACGGCTCACCACCACTGTGGGTTTTGGCAGGAAAATGCGGAGGTCAGCTCGGCGTGACTTTTTTTTCTGGCGTGCATGCTCGGCTGAGAGGGCTGAAATTTCAAGAAAAAGTCGAACGTCGACAAGCAGCAGCGGAGAGCGTTAGTCACAAGGAGCCTCCCAGTCGAGTATCGCGACCTCCTTCTCGACTTTGAGATTTCAGCCACTTGACCAGGATCCCGACTACACCCATCAAAGCCCTGGACGACGACGGAGGACGACTTACACGGACCGTCTTTGGCATCATACCCGATCAGCACCACCCACCACATTATGTTCGCGCTTCCGTAAGGTCCAGGCCAGCGTCTACGTGGCGTTCGACTCGACCCTTCACCACAGGCATCGATTGCCATCACTTGGTGACGACTATCACATCTCCTCACGGCAGCCGCGTTCTTAGACGTACATCTCATTCGCAAGACTAAGGAGCAGCTGTGGTGATGCCGTCCGTCGAGCCCGTCCGAGCTCGAAACATCGCGCCCCTTCCTTCCAAGACTCTATCGCAGCGACGCGCAACTAGAATAGCCATCGGCGCACCGTCTACGCCTTCCCATCTCGCCGACATGAAGCGGGCTTCCCATTCCAGCCCCTTCGCCATCGATGCCGACGTCGCTGTACCACCATCTCCCGCTAAGCGCAGGAACTCAGCATCCGACGAGTCAGACTTCTCGTCGCCTTCACCCACCACGCCCTTGAAGCCTCTCCGCTCCAGCCTCTCCAAGAAGGCTCCGCCACCTGGCAGTATGGCTGCCATCAACTCGATTCGCACCGGCGCCGCCAACTACCAGGGAATGTACCTCAGCTTCGTCATCAATGCACTCTCGGAGAAGGAGAAGGGCAACACCGGCCCCTACTACGAGCTGCTTGTCCAGTTCGCGGAACCATCCACAGGCAGGTCCGGCGCCTCAATATCATCTTTGCGGTCTTTGCTCGCAGCCCTTTCGCATGTCGTATCTGACCTAGACCGATCGCATGCCAAGCTCGTCGAAAGCATCTTTGCTCTACCCTGGACGTCTATGGACGACAGCTTTGCCCAGATGTGGATCAAGTTCGTCTGCAGCTTGGTCAGCGCAAGGAGCGAGTGGCTCTCTGTCATCCTCACAAAGGCCACCAAGGCGCTCTCCTACCGTCTCGAATGGCTGCCATATCAGTTTGCAGAAGAGAATGGCAAGCGTTCCGTCTCGACGCTCAAGCGCAGACAAGTGTACGAGCGAGTCCATCTCCTCATTCGCTCGCTTCTCAGCGTCGTCCCCACTCTGCCGGGTGTCCTCGGTCCGCTGCTGGTCCAGTTCTTGCCACACAAGATGGTCCACCGCTCCGACCAGCTCGTCTACATGCGCAACATCCTCCACGTCAGCGAATACTGTGCCGAGCTCTCTGAGGCCATCCTCGGCGCTGTTGTCGACCGTGCCATTCAGCTCGATGTCGAGATCCAAGTTGAGCTCGACGAGTTTGACGACGACGAGGCGGAAGAGCTCGGACTGGACTTCGAAGACCCTTTCGAGCAAGCGCTCGACGAAGCAGACGATGCAGACTCCTCCGACGACGACGACGAGAGCGACCAGGGAGACTTTGCCGACAACCTCTCGGACCTCTCCGACGAGAACTACGATCAGAACGTCGCAACCGAAGAGCAAAAGCGCACCCAAGAGGATTTACAAAGGTCGATGCGACGCATCCGCGAGTCGGTGGCCAAGCTCGACGCTATCATGATCGCGCTCTTCGAGCATCTCCGCAAGCTCGACGCACAGTACGTCGCCGGGGCCAATAGCCTGACCTACAACAGCCCCATGGACGCCGATACCAACAGGCGGAACTTGTTCCACACGCTACTCTCTATCTTTGCCCGCAACATTCTTCCGACTTTCCGATCGCGGCATGTCCAGTTCCTGCTCTTCTGGTTCAACTCGCTGGATCCTGAGTTCTCGGACTACTTCCTTGGCGTCTTGCTCGAAAAGAGTCTCTACAGCAGAAAAGCCGAGTATGGAGAGAAGGAGGAGCCAGCGGTGATTCGTTCCGCTGCAGCAGGCTATGTAGCGAGCTTCGTCAGCAGAGCTTCGTACGTCGATGGGCCCACCACGCGGGTCGTCCTATTCAACATGTGCGCCTTCCTGGACGCACACATCGACGAGAGCAGCCGCACAGACACTGAAGCGGGCTCGGCAGCGCCAGGGACTGGTGCGCACTCGGTCTTCTACTCGGTCGTGCAGGCAGCGTTCTACATCTTCTGTTTCCGCTGGAGGGACCTCAAGATTACCAACGAGGAGCAGGACGGAGGCGCGGATGACCTCGACTACCAGGACGCCGACGAGATCGGTGGCGGCATGCACGACAGTGTCGGTAGCTTGGGTCAGTTCGGCGCCGAAGCGTGGTGTGATGGCCTCACCTCGTTGCAACGAGCGGTCACATCTCGACTGAACCCGCTCAAGTATTGCTCGGCCAACGTGGTGAAGCAGTTCGCTCGCATCGCGCAGCACACGGGTTTCCTCTACTGCTACTCGATCATCGAAGCCAACAACCGGTCGGTACGGGGCAATCGAAGCAACCCGGTTTCGCGCTCCACCTCGCTCAACCGCATCCAACTCGAGGCTTCGGGTTCGTCAACACCGATGAGTCAGGACGGAAGCGACCGCGGCACCCCCCGCCCGGAAGCGCAGAGCATGGATCAGGAGCAGCAAAAGTCGAAACCGTCGGCCGTGACAACCGCCTCGGTGCTCGAATCGTTCTTCCCCTTTGATCCGTACAAGCTCGAGTCGTCGGCGTCGTTCATCGAGCCTCTGTACCGCGAGTGGTCCGAGGTGGCTCCGGATGAGGACGGCGAGGACTCGTCCAGCGAGGAGGACGACGACGATGATGACGACGACGAGGCGGACGATGCGCGACGCAACGAGGCTGGCAATGGCGTCGCTATCCCTGGGTCCACTTCGCCTCGTCGCAAGGGTGGGGCTGACGACGATGACGACGAGGAAGAGGATGAAGATGGAAACAGCTCGTCGTTCGTCTCGCAAGTCGAGGCGATGAGTATCAGTCCGTACCTTTCCTAGATCTCTCAGCCGTCCTGCGCCGCTCTTGCTAGTCGTCCGCGGTCTCCTTTCTGTGTATCTGTCCTGTTCTCTCCCAGTTTCACCGCATCAGCATGTCTTCTCGTCCGCTTTCTGTACCCATGCAAGCCTGTTGTAATCCTACCCGATCTCAGTCCTCGCTTTGTTTGTGTTTGATTGTGTAATTTGAGCTTTTGATTGCTGTTGACGGAGACTATTTGAGGTTCTGGACGAACTCGATGACCTTTTTCTCGGGGAGCATGCCTACGAAGCCGTCGAGGACCTGTTGACGCGCGCGAATCGAACCAAGCCGAGGTCAGTACAAGCGCGCTTCTCTTCGGCACATCCGCTTTGTTGTGTGGTCAACTCACCTTTCCATTCTTCATAGCGATCACCGTGGGCATGGCGCTGACCTTGAATTGCTGTGCGATGTCCTGGTGTTGATCGACATCTATCGTCACGAGATCCACCTCTTTGCCGCCGACGACCTGTGGGTTGGAAGCGACCTTCTTGAGTGCGGGCGAGAGGAGCTTGCACGGCTGACACCAGGTGGCGAAGAAGTCGACCAGCACCGGCGTCTCTGCGTCCGCAGCGGAAGGGGAGAGCACGCGCGATTGAAAGGTGGATGCATCGACGTTTTCGTACACCTTTCGCGCCGAGGGCGTGGTGCTGAAGGCGCGAGAAGCCGGACGCAGTGCGCGGAAAGACGAGGCTCGGAGCGCTCGAGAAAGCATCTTGGACGTGTGACGGACAAGTGATGCGGTGGTAGTGATGTCGAGGAAGTGGATCAGGTCGAGTCGAGAAGATGTGGAGCTGAGCTACGCGGCTTTGTCGCGATTATGTAATTCAGGCGATGTCGGGCTTCGAGATGGACTTTTCAGACCATCTTTTTTGCCATGACTTTTCACCTTTGATGCATGACATTGAATCCATCAGAAGACGACATCACCTTTGACCTTCTTGGGAACTTGACCTAGGCACCGCTTTCAATCCGGTCTTTCGTTCCAGCTTCACACTGTGATCTGCCACGATGAAAGCCAGCTTGAAAACCAATCACCAGCACAGCTAGCCACTGCAACTGGCATCCGTCAGCGATGGCGCAATCGACCACTAGAAACGAGCCTGGTCTATACTGATATCACACCTATTCGACGAGACTGAATCTGTCAACAGATCAACATGACGGAAAGGATCTACACCGGATCAGAGGATCGACATAGAACGACGAGAGTGGAGTGCGTCGGTGTCGAAAGGAACGAAGCGAGGCGGACTTTGGAAATGAGCAAAAAATCGACTCCGAGACGCAGAGAAAATGCCGAAGCGCTGACCACAACACTGCGCCCTCTCACGCCTTTCAGATGAAAGCAGACACGCCACTGGATACTGAGAGAACGCAAGCTTGCTAGATGACACAGTCAGAAGCAACGAAAGCAGGAACGAGCAGCACCAACCAGAACGGGTCACCCGAAAGCGAAGACGAAGTGTTGGCAAAAGGGATCTGAAGCTTGTCAGCGTGTCAGAAGGCAAAGGTGAGACCAACACGCAACCCTTGCTGTCAAAATTGACACGAGGCGAAAGCGCAGAGCTTTGCTGAATTCGCGTTTGGTCTCCGAGAAGCTTGCAGCAACGCGCAGCTGGCCCGCCGCGAGCTCGCCTTCACCCTCTGCACTGTCACCGGCTGGCTTCCCCTAAAGCTGGCTCCCACGCTCTCACAGCTCTACGCCCACGAGAAAGAACAAGTCTCTTGGCTGTGGAGCTGAGCTGATCACCTTTGAGCGTGGGAAGAGTGTAGCAAGAGCAACTGAACGAGACCTAGCTGTTGCCAGTAGGCAAGCGAGCGCATGCATGAGCCAAGCCAAAAGAGGGTCCGAAGGTCGACTGCGCGACTCTGCTGCCTCGTTATTTCTCTCTCGAGCTGGCCCGACGCACTCCACGTCCGAGTGGCCGAGTTGTTTGGCATGCAGCCGCCAGCCTTTGTACCCTTTTGTCTCCTTCGCTGGCTGCAGGTCGGTGTCTTTGCGCTGCGTGTTTGACAGCTATGGATCTGCATGCGCTCTCCAATGCTGTCCTTCTTCCTTGCTGGCTGGCTGCAATGCCAATCCAAGCCGCCGTCTCGTACTCGGTACGCTCTCAAACCATCGGATCGCCTGCAGCTGCTTCTCGCTCTCTGTGCCAATCATAGCCAAGCCTGAGCAGAGGATGCCTGCCTCTTCTGGGCTCGGAGCTGGCTCTCTCTCATGCAGGCGATGCTGCCTGTTGGGTGCTCCAGCACTTGTCTCGCCTAGTCTGCCACGAGAGCGTCTCTGAAGCATGTCCGTCAGCTGCTTCGCTTACCACTCCTTGGCCTGGATCGTCCGTGCTTTTGGCTGAGTCCATATATCTATCCTTGCCTCCCTTGTCACCGTCCCCTTCCTTCTCTCCTATCATATCATCCTACATCGCCCTCCTCACTCCTCTCTCTCTCTAGCACGCTTCCCTGTTCCCTTCCCTATTCCCCCATCGCATCGTCACGGTCCACTCTCTCGCCCATCATTTCTTGCAAATCTCAAGCTTCTTTCCAACTGCTCGGCTTTGACAGTCAACGTAAACACACTCCCTTTACAGCACTCTTCTCGGCCAACAGCAACACCTCCGACCTTTCTCCAGCAATCTCTACTCAGACATCTCGATTCACCTTCAGCATCATAGGACATTTCCGCAATCCATCTCAAGCACAACTGTCTCGACGGGTCCAACACACTACAAGCTGCCACTTGGTGCCCTCCAGTTTCTACCACTTCAAACGCTGCAACAATGTCATTTGCACCTCTTCCCGCCCCAGGCTCGGCTGCCTCGTCGTCCATCTGGGCACGTCGCATGATCACAAAGTCGGTGCCTGCAACTGACGCCGAGGTGGATATGGACGTTCTCTCCCTCCTCCTCGACGCCAACCTCGGATCGTTTGGCGAGCAAGACCTCGCTTCTTCGCCCGTCTCGCTGCACAGCCCCCATTCCCCTTGGTCATCGGCAGCTGCAGCGCCCAGCATGTACCGAGCTAGCTCGTTCGGTGCAGCCCCCACTTCCTGCAACGTGGACCCCTTCCGAAGCACGAGCCCAGCTCCGTTCCCTGCGATCCAGCGATCCAGGTCGATGGACACCGCCCAATACGAGGACGGCTACAACCTGGAGATGCACGCGGCTCACACTGCGGTCAAGGCTGCTCTCGATGTCCTTGAAGAACCCAGCCTGAAACGCGGCCTCCGCATCTCGACCTCGATCGGTGCTGCCAACGGTCCGTCGCCCAACGGCGGCGCTTTGGGACTTCGAGGCTGCCTCACTGCTCCTCTTTCTCCAAGTCTGTCCTCGCCCGTCTCGCCCGCCGAGTCCTGCTTCTCTGGTACCGAGTCCGACGGCACCAAGAAGAAAGGCCGAGCTCGCATGTCGCAGGAAAAGCGAAAGAGGCTCGCTCGCCGTCGCGAACGCGAAGCTCTCATCTCGAATCTGACTCCCACTTCCGATCATCACCACCACCAGCAGCAGCAGCAGCAGCAGCAGCAGCAGCAGCAGCAGTTCCTGATGCAGCAACAGCAGCAGCAGCAATATGTTTTGAACGGCGCGGAGATGCACAGCTTCTTGGGCCACTCGTCTGCATCCGTCAACGCATCCCACTTCAGTCACAGCGCTCCCTCCACGCCTATGCGCTCGTACTTTGCACCTTCCAACGGCAGCGGCTTCCCCTTCTCCTCGTCGCCCACTGGCACGAGCAGCAACTACGAAGCAGCCTTTAGCACACCTCTCTCTTCGCCACGCGCAGTCGGCTTCATGACCGACCTTCCCTCGCCTGCACTGACCACCGCTTCGCTCGCGGACACGTCGGGCTTTGGCTCGATCGGAACGCCTTCCTCTTCCCCCACGACCTACAATGCCAAGGGAATGGACATTTCGAGCAGCCCGCCGACTCTCGTTGTTCAGCCTCCTTCGCCTCAGCGCATGCGCACCAACTTTGCCTCCAAACAGCCCGACGCTTTCCACTGGAACGGCTTCCGATCCACTTCCAACCTCGCTTCCGTTTACTAACCTCAATGGCAGCTGCGACGCTCCAGTCCGTTCAGCGCCAAGTATACCCCCCCTTGTCGAGTTCCGTTGTAGCCTTGACTCAAGAATGTAGCCCTACTAGCCCCGCTCTCCCCACTGCATCGCTTCCATTCCACACAGCTCACACATCTTACTGCATCATACAAATACATTGACTTCGCCTTCTTAACGTGATGCGCAGGATCTTGCGTGTTGTTCCCATGACTGGGCCAGTGCGCTACTCCCAATCGACTCTTCTGAGCGCCAATACGGGCTGAGTGCCCCAAAGAGGCTGAGCTGTGCATAGGAAGAGGGCGCGAGAGACAGGAGGTGACTCCGGCATGAAAACCGCACATGCCACGGCGAATTGTGGGAAAAACCCGACGGCCGTCTCCGGCAACGTCACGCAGCAGCCCACCAACAAAAGCGGAAAAATCTCCACCTCTCCTCACACGACATCACCTTTCTCGTCTTTCCACCATCACCCCATTTGAAACGTTCTCGCCCATTCCTCAGGTGTAAGCACTCTCCTCCGTATCGATGTGCATCGAAAAGCGGTGACTGACAAAAGGATGCGCTTCTGACCTTGACAGTGGGTGCTACAGAGTAGAAGTAGACGTCAGAAGTTGTCGAAGATGTTCCGTCGACGTGGATGCTACGTTTGTGGCCAGCGTAAGTCTCCTCATCACACAGACCTTCTTCGACGGCATACATCGCTGACGCAATCTTATTCTGCACATCCTTGCACCTGCGAACCGTTTTTCCGCATGCTTTCGTACCGGGCACCGTTTGCTCTGCACGCATCCTCCAACACAGAGGGCCATCTGGCGCAGAACTGCTCCTTCCCCGACCGTCGATGCTTCAACTGCCTCGAAGCGTCGCACGAATCCTCCTCCTGTCCGCATCCGCCCAACCCCGCGACCAAGTCGTGCCACAACTGCGGCGGCGCTGGCCACCTCAAAGCGGACTGTCCGACGGCCTCCACGGCCGAATGCTACGGATGCGGCGGCAAGGGTCACGTCAAAGCCAACTGCCCCACCGTCGAGAAGGAGAAGAAGTGTCACGGCTGCGGTGGCACCGGTCACATCCGGGCCAATTGCGCCAGTGTCGGTGTAGCGGGGGTGAGATGTAGAAGGTGCGGTGGGGCGAATCACTTTGCCAAGGATTGCAAGGCCTCCGCTCCCACCGGTGCAGGAGCAAGGGGTCCCAAGACGTGTTATAGTTGCAATCAGCAGGGTCATATTGCGAGGGAGTGCCCTAATGCTGCTGAGGCGCCGGGGAGTGCCCCTGGTGCTGCGCTGACTGCGTAGTCGCCCTGCGCCGAACGGGTTGATCGGTGCTCTCAATAGCATGCTTGCCCAGCTGCCACATCTGCCACTCCACCGCTTGATATCGTTCACGCTCGACGCTGCCCATTGTTCAGCGCTCTGTCTTTGTTCAATGACAGTCGTCTTTGCAACCGACAGTGTGGCAACCCGTCTGTGAACACACACTGTGAACACACCTTGTGGCAGCATCTCGCTCTCTTGCTCACCGCTCTCAGATGTTTTCGACATTCCATTGCAGCATGCACATCACAACCTTCCCTGATCCGTCGCCAACACGGCCAGCAACACCCTGAGCAGCTCGGCACTGACCAGATCGTTCGTCGTCCTCACCGTCAACCTGGCCAACTTGGCCTCCTTGTTGGGCTCCAACCTCAACAGGCAACCGACCTTGCCTGCGTCCCGCATATGCAGCACTCCCGCAGCGACGCTGTTAGCAGGATTCGCATCGACGCCGTCCAACACGCCCAACCGTGCGCCTTCGAGCACCCTCTTCTGCCGACCCACATCCACCTCGCCCGCACTGGACAGCTTGAACCCAAAGATCTTCTGCGCCTCCCTTGGCGGGCCACCGATCTGACGCCATCGCTCGAAGAAGTCCGTCGCACCCAACTGCACCGGTTCGACGAACTTGTGCACCAACACCGGCAGTCGCAGCCTCAACTCCGTCAGCGACCCCGCTAGGTAGCTCACCTCCAACACAGGTGGCGCACTGAACAGATCGCGACACTCGACGAGAACGAGCGTCTGCATCTGCGTCAACCCACCCAGGGTGTTCGAGGGGATCTTGGGTAGGGTCACCGATAGCGAAGTCGAAGGGTTGCGGATGGTAAGTGTAAAGGAAGTGAAATCGACGGCGATCTTGTTACCGAAATAGAGCTTGATTCGCCCCTGGTGGCCGTGGTATTCGGTCTTGAGGCCGATTTGAAGCGATGCGTCTTCCCAGAGGATGCCTTCGGAGGAAAAACAGAGGCGCTGGAAGAACTTGTCGCTGCCCGAGGTGATGGGTTTGCTGCGTTCGAGCGGTGCCGGTGTCGATGGTGTCGAACCGTTGGGCGTGCCCCCGATGAGGGGTTGTTCCGATAACAACCCGGCATCTTCCATGACCGAAGGCGTGGGCGCGGACATATCCAGCCCTTCGAGACCCGCAAGAACGTCGTCTTCGCGCATGCTATCCGCCGTCACACCCTCGCTCCGTTGTCCAGCCGGGATCACACCGCCCAAAGTGCCCGTCGGCATCGCCCCCCCGTTCGCCTTGCCCTTCTTGAGACTCTCCAGCCGCGCCTGCTCGCGACCCCGGTTGGTGTCCTTCCCGCCAATGATCCACGTCCTCTTATCCTCCGTATCCGTGTGCTTCTTGTGCAGTCGGCTCAGCAGCAACGAAGAGCGCTCCGCGAAGGGAGGCATCTCGTCACACACGCTCTGCAGCAGCTCGTCATCGGGTCGCTCGGCGAGCGCGACGTACTCGCACGCACGCTGTTGCAGCTCGGCATCGAGCACGTGGCGGTACCGGTTGAGGACGTAGAGGATCTGCTCGCGGATCTCGGGGAACAGGTTGAGCCACTTGACGTACGTCGATAGCAACAAGGCGCGGGTGGATTGCGAGCAGAGGTGGGAGCGCGAGTGCAGCGTGTGGAACTGCTCGATGGGGGATGCGCCGGGATCGTTGGCGATCAGATGTCCGAACTCGCCCAGAATGTAGCCGCCAACCTTGATCATGTTTTCGTGGCAGGTGGCGGATTTCAGGTGCTCGAGCACTTTCGTCGCCGCATACGACTGGACGTCCTCGTTGTTGACCACGATCTGGATCACGCGGTACCACACTTCGTCGCTCACGTGGTCGCCCGCCGCACCGAGCAGTTGGAGGATCGTGTCGACATACCAGGTGTATTCGGTCGCGAACTTCTCCGTGAGGATGGCGATCTTGAGCACCATCTCCTCGCGCAACGCGTAGTCTGCGATCTGCATGTACTTGAGCAGTTCGGAGACGATGACTTTGGCGTTGGTGACGTCGCACATGCTGTAGAGCAGATCGACGCCGCGTCGCCGGACGGAAATGTCCTTGTCGCGGAGTGAGAGGATGATGGTATTGGTGTGCATCTTGATAGGTTCCAGGCTCTCAGCGCAGGCGGCGAGGTGTGCCATCGTGTCCAACCCGAGGTAACGGACGTTGGTCTCGCGTGAGAGAATGAACTTGCCCAGTAACACTGCAGCTTTGGCAACCACGGCCGACTCGGTGTCGAGCTGGATGGCGAGGTTGATCGCCTCGAACAAGATGGCGTTCTGCGCATTGTTGTGCTGGACGTTCTTGGGGCTGTCCTGCGAGTTGGTGATGATGGTTTCGAGGACGGTCTCGATGATGTTTCGGATGTTGGGGTCGTCCGGGGCCGGATAATACTGAAGCAGGCGCAGCAGCTTGACCTGCAGCCATGGAATGGGCACCTTGTAGTAGACGTACTCGGCAGTGAAGTCGCCCTCCACGACGATCCTCTGCATGCGATGCACCGCCTTTTGGTACGAGCTAGAGAACGCTTCCGGGTGATCCTGCGCCATGGCCATCACCAGACTCGTCACAGCGAGAGCGACACCGAGGTTGTCGTCGTCCATGATGGCGATGATGCGCAACGCCCAATCCTCGGCCGGAATCACTTCCGGATGCTTGCGGTACAACCTGAGTAGCGTCAATGCCGCTTTCTTCTTGACGAAGCTCCTCGACGTTGGCGAGATGAGCAGTCGATGCACGTCCGGCGCTAATGCTTCCGCCATCTCTGTGCCACCGATGTTGGCAATGGCATGCAGCGCCAGACAGTTGTTCACCTCGCTCATCTCGTCCAGATCCTTGCGGATCGAGTTGACCACCAGGCGAACGATGTCCGAGTTCTCGTGCATGAGCAGCGTGATGGCCAGATACCCGATCTGCTTCTCCGAGTACTTGTTGGACGAGATGAGGTTGACCGCCTCCATGTGGCCAATGTCGACCTGGTAGCCTAGGATGTAGGTGAAGACGATCTTGGAGAGGTACTTCTTCTTCTGGTAGCCGTCTAGCTGGCCGTCCTTGAACTTTTGACGGATGTGCGCCATCTCCTTGTTGATGCGGCGCTCTTCGAGCTCGCGGACACGACATGCGCGCAGGTCGGCAATGTACTGCGTTAGACCGCGCATCGAGGAGGAGGAGTTGGACGTCATTGTGAGGTGTAGTGTGTCGAAGCCCGGCCTTTCGAGGTGGTGGTACGAAGGGTTGATGGGGGCTATAAGAGGCTGTCAGGCGGCGTCTCCGAGAGGAAGAGCGGTCTTATGTGCTGCAAGGATGCTATGCTGAGATGTGTCTACGTCGGGACGGATTCGACGAGCGGGAGTAGGAAGATGCTGTATCGAAGTCGAAGACGGAAGTCGTACCGCGCGTCTTGTCGTGTGGCTCGGGGTGAGAATGCAAGGAGACACTGGAAGTCACGGTCCTCTAGCTCGACCTGATCATGGCAGCGGTCGTGTGCAGGTAATTTGGTACGATGGGAAGGACAAAGGGAGTGCGTCGGGATCAAAGGAGTATGGAAGTGCTGGAAGTATGTTCTTTGGATGTGCCGCGCTGCGTTGGCCGTCGGCTGTGCTTTGCAACTCCACACACGTACAACACGGCGGCGCGCAGACACAAAGGGGCCATGATTCTTCGCAGTTTGGAATTTGACCCTGGCCAAAACCCTCTCGCGCGGCCCGTGCTCCTCGTCAGCTTTCGAGACAACTCGCGCTGCTGCTCGAGGTTGGGGCTTGGCCGTCATCCTGTTCAGAACAGGCTTGAGGACAGTGCCGGCTCGTCTCGCCTTCTCATGTCTTTCTGCAGGAAGTTCGTGGTGAACTCGATGAGACAAGCTTTGCGAGAAACGGGGAGGGCCACGCTCGCCTCATATTGACACCCGCCCTTGCTGCAGCCTGACTGGGCCAAAGGATGATCCTGTTCTGAGTACAAGACAACGAACCGTATGATCGCACAAAGCTCGTCCTGGGCTCATGTCAAACCTGCCTGGCCACACCACACTTCTACGATTGTAGACACCACAAGAGCGAGAGAGACTTGGAAAGTTTGTTCTGGATATAGCACGACGTCGGATGAAAGAATCTTCGGTTACACGACCTGAGAGAAACAGGTCCTTGCACAATCTCTTCGTCCCCCCTTTGGTTTGCGCGTCGCATCGAAGCCAGTCCGATGTGGCACACTGTGTCGTATGAGAAGAAAGGCGGGCAAAACGCAGGCATCATCAATCGAACCTTTTCGCCGTCTCGAAGAACAACTAGGAAGCTCGGATCTGATGCTGCACTTGAACACCCACTCTTCGGCAACAGTGCGCGCACATCAGGTCAAGCGGCGACAAGACGGCGAGGGGTGCGACAGAGACGAAAGCGACGGCCTCCAAGTGACGTGGAAACACAGGGGAAAAATGAAAGTCGGAGGTGGTGGTGATGGAAAGGAGGAACGAGGAGGGCACGAGAACGGGACACTTTTTCTTTCGATCTGTACACCGCTCGTTTAGGCAGCCTCCTCGCCCTTGGCCTCGGCAGCCGGAGCCTCGGCAGCAGCCTCGGTGGGCTTCTCGGAATCTTGCATGTCCGAGGTCCAGAGGGTCAGGTTGTCGCGGAGCAGCTGCATGATGAGCGTCGAGTCCTTGTAGCTCTCCTCCGAAAGCGTGTCGAGCTCGGCAATGGCGTCGTCGAAGGCCTGCTTGGCGAGGTGGCAAGCGCGGTCGGGGCTGTTCAAGATCTCGTAGTAGAACACCGAGAAGTTGAGGGCAAGACCCAGGCGGATGGGGTGGGTAGGGGGCAACTCGGTGACGGCGACGTCCGAAGCAGCCTTGTAGGCCTCGAGCGACTTGTCGGCGGAGTCCTTGCGCTTGTCGCCAGTGGCGAACTCGGCGAGGTATCGGTGGTAGTCACCCTTCCTGGGGAGTGCGCAAGCGTAGTGTAGAATAAGGCAAGTCAGAGGTCAGCGTGCCGTTCTTTTCAGCAAAATTGCAATGGAGACTGCAGCTGGGGGTCTCTCGAAGAAGTCGAGGTACATACATCTTGTGGTAGAAGACCTTGCTCTCACCCGAAGCGGCCGAGGGGATGAGGTGCTTGTCCAAAACGTCGAGGATGTCCTCGCAGATCTGAGCGAGCTCAGCCTCGATCTTCTCGCGGTAGGTCTTGATCATCGAGACCTGGGTCTCGTTGCCCTTGGACTCCTCCTTCTGCTCGATGGAGGAGACGATGCGCCACGAGGCACGACGGGCACCAATGACGTTCTTGTAGGCGACCGAAAGGAGGTTGCGCTCCTCGACGGTGAGCTCCTGGTCGGACGAAGCGACGCGCTTCATGTTCTCGACCATCTCTGTAGCGTCGCGGAAGTAAAAGGAAGAGCGGGAAAGTGTCAGCTCCGGACGCTCGTGTTCGAAGAAACTTTACCTAAACCGAGTCCTTCGCAGTCGCAAAGCCAATCGATCGGCTCTTCGGGGAGCCAAAACGCCTGTCTACTGCGGATCCAGGTTTCTTTGCATGAGTACTTACCCTCGTAGCGCTCAGCCTGCTCAGCGAGCTTGGCGAGGTAGACAGAGTCCTCACGCGATTCCGGCATCTTAAAAGTCGGTTATGAAAAAGGTTCTAGGAGTTGAAACTTGAGACGGCTGCGAGATTCGAAGTGGAAATGAGGGCGAGTGAGGTGGAGATAAGGAAGAGTCAGCAACTGCGCGCTTCGAATTTGGCAGATGTGAAGGCCCGTCGACATTCAGAACGACGAGGTGGTTTTTTTCGTGGCGTGGTCAAGGCGAATATCGGCGAAAGTGGCAAACGGAGTGCGAGTCTCGCTGGTAGGGAACGTCGTGGTGATGTTCAACGAGCAGCTATCACTGCCATTGCACGGGTGCTGGCGGCGTCGAGCCGCTCGAGGGGCGCTTGTTCTCGTGTCAAGAGACGAAATGCCACAAACAGCACGTCCGCCCGCATGGTGACAGAGAGCGAGAACCATCTTGACAACACGGCGTGAAATGTCTCTCCTGCGATGGCTAGAGGCGTGTCCTCCGCTCTGACGAGGTCCAAGCGAGGAGGAGCGGATCCAGGCATCGCTCCGTCCATCCGAATTCCATGACCGCGATGATGACAGAACAGCTCGTGTGTCGGATGACGCGTATGATGGCGGCGACTGCGGTGTCGTGCGGACGTGTCTGGGGTGGTCCCGAACAATGTTGAACAGACTGCGATGGAGACTGCCCTGACGGAGTGCGGGACAGGGTCGACCGGATGCGGATTGGCCGTAGCGGCTGGTCTGATGGCGTCGAGCGGCTGATCGCCTGTTTGCGCGTCTGTGTTCTGAATGTCGACGGGCAGTGCGGAAGGGCGTTGTAAGAGATACTCACCCTGATGTTAACAGGAGGATGTGATCGATGACAAAATGGTCAAAGTGACACGGATGATGATGATGGTAGTGGTGATGGTGGTGGGCGTAGACTGACGATAACAGCGGGAGCGGACAGGAAGGAGCTGTGAGCGAGTGAGCGGGCGTGCGCTGGTCAGAGAGGGGAATTGCGAACG